CTCTGGCCTACACCCCAGCTCTTGTATGAATAAAAAGATCTTTTAAAAAATTAATTTAAAAAATAATAATAAAATAAATAAAGTCATTTTTCTCTCTACCTTCATCCCAATTCTATCAAATAACACAACAAAATATATTTGTCATCAAAATCTAACTCCAGTCTCTTTGGTCTAGTTTTACATAAGCTCATAGGACAGAATAATCAAGTAGAATTTCTCATGGCTTTGTTGGAACTTTCCATAGGGGATCTTAGATTGAACTCTCAGCTCGGCCTATCCAGGCCTCAGGAGCCACACTACTGGATGGTCTCACAAGATTCTACCTGTAACGTTTGTACATTTAGGTAGATTTCCTCTTCTCCAGATTCCAAGACTTTTGTAGTCCCCAGGCCTGTCCACAGAAGTAAGCTTCCTTCCTCTCCTGGAGACCTCTGGAGCCCTACAGGCAAAGTAGCAGACTCTTTTTTTCTCTGCTCAATCTCAATTTCCAGAAGGTGTCAACTGTAACAATATCATAATTTATTTAATAAATCCTCTGTCAATGGACATTTAACTTGTTTCCCATCTCTTACTAGTTAATAAAACTGTAATGAATAACCTTGTGAAACAGGCATGGACAAGGCAGGAGGCTGGAGGGAAGGCTGGAACAGCCACCCACCTGCCCAGGCTCTGAGACCAGAGAGCCGTCATAAAGTCCCCAAAAGGCCAAAAATCAAAAGCAAGGGCTATGGCAATATGACACCCACACAACAGGGGCCTGTGCCCGATAAGAGGACAGGGCACTGTCTGTGGGTTCACCTGCACACAATTGCAAGAGACCTCAGACTCCAGGAACAACCACCATGGGGTTTATTTTATAAACCGGGGAAACAAGTGGCAGCTCTCTCACCCAGCTGGCATCAGTGGTGGTCACCACCGATCACCAGGAGTGCTGGACAGCACTGGCCAGTAGTGATGGTCACTACTGGTCCTGCAGAGGCGGTGTCAGACACCCCCAGTGTTACAGCTCTTTGTGAGTTGCTGGGTTACACCAACAACAAACAGCTCTCTGAGACACCAGGCCCAGGGCCTTGGTGCTCCTTCCAGACGATGTCAGAGACAGGACCGAGGCCCAGTCTGTGACAGAATCCTTTGGCTTCTCTTCCCTCCTCAGAGAGCAGCTGCTGGATGCTTCTTTTCCTCTTTCTTCAGGGGCCAGGAACAGAGTCTCCCCCTTCTTTCTTCCTCCTTGTGGGGCTGGAACTGTCTTCTTTTCTTCAGGGGCTGGTGTCGGCAGTGGCTCTCTCCTTAGGGGCTGGCATCCTTTTCTCTTCTGGCATAGTCTCCTCAGCTCCCTCCGACCCTGACTAATACCCGCTTTCAGGGTGCCCCACCCACAAGTCCGATTGGACCGTTTTTCAACCCTGTGGCTAATTGGACCATTTACCATTCAACCCATAGCACCTGATTGGTCCATTTCATAATTGGAAGTGTGCATTACATGAAAGGGCTCAGAGGGGTAACTGCCACAACTGACTTGTGGTGGTTATGTTATGTCATTTAACAAGTGGAGGCAGACCTGTAGGATACAACCTAGAAGTGGTATTTCCAGGTCAAAGGGAACACCCACCTGTAATTTAGATATATGTAGCCAAATTAGCCACTTTAGAGGTTGTGCCAATTTACCTTTCTACCAGGGGTGTGTGCGATGATGCTTCCCTGTGCTTAGTAACAGCATGTAGCATTAGTTTTTTGTTGGTTTGGTTTTTAAAGATTTATTTATTTATGCATACAAGAGCTGGGGCACAGGTAGGGATGCTGGGGGTGAGAGGATTCACCAGAGACAGAGTGGGGAACAGAACAGGCAGAGCGACTGAAATACACTCCTGAGGGGAGCAGTGGGTGAGTCAGGAGAGGTCTGCTGCGCCATGTGGGTAGCTCCCTGGCCAAGGATCAAAGTCGTACTGCAGAGTCTTCAGATTGCTTCATAGTGCAGTGCTTAACCCCTTGCGCCACCAGGGAGGCCCCATGTAGCATTAGTTTTAATCTGATTATAAAAATTATTCTCCAGTATTGTTTTAACTTGCATCTCTCTCTGTGATGTTGAACACCTTCTTATGTTTGAGACAAATTTTCCATATTTATATTTTCTATATATATTTTCCATACCTTGTGCTTATTTTTCTATTGGATTGCTGATCTTTTATTAATTTGTAGGAAATATTTAAGGGAAATTAATCTTTAAGTTTATTATCTTGGTATAAGGTGTAAAGTAGGGGGTCCAGCTTTTTTCCAGATGACTGCTCAGTTGTCCCATACCATTTACTGAAGAATCCATCTTTTGCCTTTGAAGTGCTGTCTTTATAACATAATACAGTTCCATATGTGTTTGCATTTATTTATGAACTCTGTGTTCCCTCTCATTGTGCCTGTGCCAGTACCACACTGCTTTAATTATTGTAACTTTGCTTTAATTCCTTTTACTCCTTTCCAGCTGATTCCCTCTCATGTTACCAAAGTGCCTCTATCCAGAGCATATGACTTTCTTCAAGGCCTATCTTTAGACCACCACCCCTCCTACTTTGTTAACTAAAGAGAGTGAAGCCATACTGTGCGAGCTTTAACTCCCCCCACCACCATACACACTGCTGCAAAACTTCTTTGTCTCTTTCTCATCCTGCGCCTTTGAACTTTTCCCCTCCCATCAGTCATCCTGTTCCAGCCTCCCCTTGAATCTTTAGACTTCTTCACAGACCTCGCCTCTACCCACAGCTCACTCAAGTTTTCTCTAGTCCAAGAAAATTCGTAATGGTGTTGCTACTTCCTCAAGCTAGCAATCTGTTATACATTTATTTCCTTCACATAATTACAGAAAAATTTAATCTCAGCTTTCTCACTACCACTTATTCTTCAGAGTCCAGGTTTTCCTCCCAACCACTTCTCCAAAACTCACATCACAGTCATTGATGACCTCACAATGATTAAATCCAGTGGCATGTATCGGTTTATTACCCTTAAACTTTGCAGCATTTGAGACAGTTCACTTCTCCTTCCAGAAACAGCCCTCCCCTTCACTCGGAGATAGCCAAATCTCCTGAGTCTCCCCTGCCTCTGGTCACCACCCTCTTGTCTGCTCTGATGCCTCTTCCTCTATCCTCCCTTAACATGTCGCTCTTACCTTTTGTGAACAGAATCCCTTCTTGTGTCATATCAACAAGGATGGTCACCAAATATGTAGTTTCTCAACTCCCAGTTCTAGGGCTAAATTTTCAAACTGCCTTTAGGAGACTGAGAGGTTACGATATGAGTCCAGACAAGGGAAAATGAAGGCCTGATGGAAAAGAATGGTTATAGGAACAGTTTACTGTCTGCTGGAAGCTTGCCGCCAAGAGTGGTTCTCAAGCTTGACTATACATTACAATCACTAGGGGAATTAAAAATAAAGCTCCCCAGGGCCTCCCCTGGTGGCGCAGCGGTTGAGCACTGGGCTACAAAGCTGCCCTCAGCCTCAATAGTGCCGGTTTGATCCCTGGCCACCGGCGAGGGTCCCACATGGCACACAGACCTCTCCTGCCGCGCCCACTGCTCCCCTCAGCAGTGTATTTTATCGGTCTGCCTGTTCTGTTCCCCACTCTGGCTCTGGTGAATTCTCTCACCCTCCCGCGCTTCTGACTGTACCCAGTGCTTGTATAAATAAATAAATAAATCTTTAAAAAATAAATAAATAAAGCTCCTATGCCAAAACTGCCCCACAGACCAATCAGATCAGAATCTCTGGGGAAGGGCCCAGACATCCACATTTTTTGAAACTCCCCAGTGATTCCACTGTACAGCCAGTGTTCTGCCTGGGGCAGAGTAAGACAAAGGAGTCTCAAAGAACTCCCACCTTCCGGCTTTGATAAAATGATAGCTGAGGAGTGAGTCACTAAAGCAGAGATTACCAGAGGAAGGGCAGGTTTGGGGGGGGGAGATGGTATGTTTGAGTAGGTTGAGTTTGCGCCACCAGAGGGCCATTCCAGAGAAGGTGTCACACAAACACTTGATTCTTCCTCAAATGGCTCTTTTCTGTTCTTAATTCTTCCAGGCCTGTGTTGCTGGGACACAGAGGCCAGTCTCACTTGCAGGGCAACTGAAGTACATTGCATACAGCCTACCTTCCCAGACATCCCTCCAATTCTCTCTTATAACACCCCACTCCCTCACCACTACTTCTCACCATTCCCCACTGTGCTGCCTCTAAGTCTTTGCTCAGGCTGTGTCCCCAAGATGAGTTCCATGCCGACTCCCCGGTCAAAATGCACCCCACTCTCAGGACATCTCCCTTCTCTTTCCTGCCAGGATGACTCTCCACAGCACTTTATGATCTTCCCACCTACCACTGTGGCGTTTGTGGGTTTGGAACTACCTCTTCCCGGGTGATGTGGACATGGAAGTCAACACCCTGTAACCTGCCCTGGAAGGACTCCAGGACAGTGCCTCTCCCTTCCCCTGATGACTCTGTCACTGAAGGTCGAATTGCAGATCTGCTGTCAACTGAGGCCCACTCCCTTCAAGAATAGTGGCTTAGTAGAACATTTATTCTTGGATCTGAGTGCTCTTGGTCAGGATGGGTGTTAGGAGGTGTGATGCATATCAGGATCTCCTGGGGGAATTTTAGAGAATTTGAAAAAGGCCCCCACATCATTCTAATGTGGCTCTTGTAGATTCAGGAGGCTGGAAGAACAGGCTGCGGCTAAAGATGCTGGCACAGTGCTGCGTTACCCTCTCCAATTAATAGAGACTGCACTCAACCCCAGAAACATGCCATAAGAACCAAGTGGTCAAAGGTCGGGAAGGGAAGTGACTTGTAGTGCAAGGAGCTGAGACCATGGTGTCACCTCAGGGTGACGATTTCCTGCTCTGAAAGTACAGGAGCAAGGGAACCTTCCCCATGCTGTCCCCACAGATGGCAGTCCGTTCCCATCACCCTCTCATTCTCTTCACTGCCACCCCCAACCTCTTTCTGTCTCCCCTTTGCCCAGGCTGACGGGAACTGCCCTGTAGAGGTCCATCTGCGTTCAGACCCAGATGATGCCAGAGCTATGACCGGGCCTGCAGGCGTGGTGCCGAGGGGAAATCAGCCATGGAGCAGCCACCGGAGGAAGCCCCTGAGGTCCGGGAAGAGGAGGAGAAAGAGGAAGTGGCAGAGGCAGAAGGAGCTCCAGAGCTCAATGGGGGACCAGAGTCCTCGCTTCCTTCCAGCAGCTATACAGGTAAGGAGGAAGCCTGGCCGGGCTGGAGAGGAACCCGGTCTTCCCAGACAGACCACGGGCCGCGGAGCCCTGAGTAGTTAAGGACTGCAGCCAGACAGCGTAGGGTCACACCCCTGCTCTGTCGCTCTTCAGCTGCACGGCCTTGGGGAAGTTGCACCACTTTTTTTCTATACAACACATAGGAGCACGTGTGGACATGAGCCTCTGTGAGAATTTAATGAGTGAGCATTTGTGTGTATCCCATCACTCCTGCCAGGACCACCACAAAGGGTCGTCAGGCAAGAGCAGCCATACCTGTGAGTGCTGTGATCATAGCTCATCGACCTGGTGCTGTTACATACATCATCATCACGTTGCGTTGTAATTAGGCATCAGTGCTAAATAATTAGTATGAATGACTATAATTAATATGACTTTTGTGCATCCAGACAGCTTTTGACTTCTCTTGTTTCACATTTTTGGTTCTCCTTTATTTGTCCACTACCAGCAGCACTAAAGACATTTTTCTCTGGTACCCTGTGCTGTTCTGTTGTCATCTCCATCATCAGCGTAGCTTTATGTGCACCTTAAAGGGTACCCAGAATCTGCTCCTCAGCCCCAGAGTTTCCCTGTGCACTGCCCTATCCCCCTACCTCTCTCCTTTCGCCCCTGAGTGCCAGCACATCCAGCTGATCCCACTCTCTTCCCTCAGAGGAAACTCATGAGAGGCTTTGCTGTTGGGAGGGGATCTTGCCGCTGGCCCCATCTGGCCATGGGTGCAGGAGCAGGCCTACCCGTGGGTTCTAGTATCGGAGTTAGGGCAGAGTGGGGGCTGTTCAGGTAAGACATACTCCTCTTGGATCTACAGCTAAGGTGGGCCTAAGCCTGTGAGCCGTGCTGCTTTGAACCTGTAAAGTGAATTCTGGAATTTTGCAGAGGTTCTTCCTCTTCAGGGCACATGAGGGGAGAGCCATCTATCTGTTCTCTGTATGCCATGCACTGCCTCCTCACCCCCAGGAAGTCAGGCAGGACCGGCCTCTCCATTAGCATTCAGCAAGGAGGCAGCTTGTCTCAGTGCTAATATCCCACTTCTGTCCTCTTCTCCTCCTGCTCCAGTGACAAACATCCCAATCAAGAGGTCCCTCCCAAGAAAGAGGTCAAGGGTCTTTATGTGGGGTTGGTGAAGATTAAGTGACCTTCCTTGCAGCCTGGGTACTTCTTACTCAGCAGGCGTATGGTGGGTATCCAGGCAGGGGACTTTCCATTCAGTAATGGACAAGGCTGAGTGCCTGCCCTAAAGAGCCCAGAGTGCAGGCAAATGGAACAACAGAAGTGAGGAGCTTCTTGCTGGGTTAGCTGCCCGACATTCCTGCAGAATTGGTCCTGACTAAAGAAGTGGTTTGCAACGTAGATAGATGGGGCTGCGCACACTCACAGGCCTGACAGCAGGTATCTCCAGTGATAGATGTGCAGGAACGTGCATGTGAACAGGGGCAGTGGTGTCTATTTGTTAACTTGTAATGAAAGGTGGTACAACTGTTAATTCACTCTATGTTTATGTTGAGTCCAGACATTCAAATAATGGCATGGTGTCACTCTCAGCAGTGATTGTCTTATTTTTCATAATATAATAATGAATCCTTGATTAGTCGTAATGAGTGTGTGTGTGTGTGTGTGTGTGTGTGTGTGTGTGTGTGTGAGAGAGAGAGAGAGAGAGAGAGAGATTGATTGAGATTGTTGGCTCACATAATTGTGAGGGCTGGAGAGTTGAAATTCTCAAGGGTGGGCCAGCAGTCCAGAGACCAGGGAAGTTAATGTTGCAGCTCGAGTCCAAAGGCAGTCTGGAGGCAGAATTTATTCTTCCTTACTGAGATTTCAGTCTCTTTATCTTAAGGCCTTTGACTGCCTTCCTCACATTATGTAGAATAATGATTTAAATGTTAGTCACCTCTAAAAAATGCCTTTACAGCAACAGCTAGGCTGCTGTTGAACTAAATACTGGATACTGTGGGTACCATGGCCTGGCCAAGTTGCCACAGGCAGTTAACCATCAGAGCTTCAATTTCCTCATTTTTAAAATGGGGGTAACACATGCAATTTGCGGCAACATGGATGGAGCTGGAAGGGATCATGCTTAGCGAAATAAGCCAGAAAGAAAAAGAAAAATACCGGATGGTCTCACTCATAGCAGGAATCTAGAAAACGTAAATAAGGGACCAGTAAAAAGAATAACTATAAGAAAGAAAAAATCAAAATCAACAAACAACTATGAACCAGAGACAAACTATGCGGGAGAGCGGGGAAAGAAGGGATTGGGGTCAAAATAAGGAGGTTGCAATTGTATGGGGAATATAAAAATAAAAAAATAAATAAAATGGGGATAAGAGGGCTACCGGAGGGGTTGCTTTGAGGTTCATGTGAGATGAATGTATACAGTAGAGAGCCTCACACACAGGCATGCACTAAAAAAGAGATATTGGTACAAACACAGGATTTGTGGGTAAGTCAAGTTATGGTCAAGGCCTAGCCCCATCATGTATTGAGGGCTGATTCCTTAACCTCTCTGAGCTGTTTCTGCATCTTTAGTGGCCATTATTCTCTTCCAGAGTGATAGGAAATGATATTAACAAGCGTAAAGACACTAACTTTCTGGGCACTTGGGGACCTGGTAAATGCTGGATCTTTCTCCACTGGTGGGCAAAGGCAGACCCTCAGGAGATGTTTGGGAGGTCAGGCAGGATATGACTGCGGTGAAATTCAGAGGCAGGGCTCGGCCTGGTTGATGGCCCACAGGAGAGCAAGTGCACTTCCTGAGAGCCGGGAGGAGCTGCTTGAGAGGACTGGACTGGGCTGGCTGGGGAGAGCAACTGTGCAGATCTCCAACCGGAAGCCCTGTGTCTCTTCCACCCACCATGGGTGGGGAGTACCAAGGCAGGCACTCCTGGTGTGGGGTGGGACCTCTTGGAACCTCAGTCTCTCCCAGGGAGATCATGTGGGAGGTGGTGGGTCCTTTAGAACCTATTTCCTAGAATGGGGAGCATTTTGTTGCCTTACGTTGGGGTAGGATGTGATGATTTCAGATAAACCCTTAAGCCAGGTGTTCTACCAGAGAGAAACCGAAACTATCTTTGAAAAATGTGCTCCCCAAACTACCACCATTCATCTCCCAGGACCCCCACACTGCCCTGGGCTTTTCCTCCAGTCTAGGGTACAGCTCTTCCTGACTGAAGCCCTTCTGAGACACTCACCCTGAGTCTCCTTACAATACAGAGCTCTGACCCCTCAATGACCAGTGAGGCTTGGATATCATGGTTTCTTTCAGGGTTCCCAGAGTCCAAGTACCAACAGCAGGTCAGGAGAAGCATGAGGAAACTAGTTCTTGTTCTGAGGTCTGTGGGCCTCATGTGTAGACACGCCCCCTCCTCTTCTGAGGGTTGGGGAAGAGAGACAAACAATCAAAGAAGGCAGAAATGGCCCCAGCCTGTGTGGGGCATGCAGCTCAGAAACTGCGAGATTGCATTCTAATAAGCATCATGCTAACAGCTGATACTCGCACAGCACATCCATGTTCTGAGAACTTTATATTAACTCCTTTACTCCTCACCATGACTCTCCTGAGATAGATACTGGTGTCATCTCTATTCTACAGGGGGCAGGCTGGTTTTGAGCCCAGGACACCAGTTTTGACTCAGGCTGCATCACTCCTGAGTTGAGTTCTTACCCCATGTCTGCTGTTCTGAACACCTGGAACCTGCTTAGAGGTGGTGCAGAGCCCTCTCCTGGGAGCCAGAAGGGAATGATGACCTTCCCAGACAACACCTTTCCTGGGTGATGGCTCCTTCACAATCTTCCACCCCAGCCAGCATCGCCACTCTCTGCCTTGTGTCCTGCTTCTCATACTTTAGTTAATTGACAGCAGAGTCTGGGTCCTGCCCTGCAACACACAGAGCTCCTCAGATGTCTGTTGCATGAAAAAAGAGAGTTGCCTACAGGAACCTAATGACCAGAATGAGGAAGGCCCACTAAAAGAGAACAGTCGGAGGTGATTGGCCATGTGGACTAGGTGGAGGAGGTAGGCTGCGGGATCCAAAGGAACATGGCTGGGGATGTTCTGAACCTTGCAGAGGAGACAGGCATGCAAGCCACAAAAACACCACCGCTTATAAGAAGTGCCACAAGACAAACATGCACACAGACCACACAGAGAGAGGAGGAAGTGCCGGAGGCCCTCCCTTCCCAGCTGTACTGCAGGTCTCAAAGGGTTTTTACAAGTATCTCATTATCTCCCAAACCAGTAAGGTGAGTTCAGTTACCCCTGTTATAGTACCTCCAGCCAGTGGGTACAGAGGCCAGGACCCCCTGGCAGCTTGAGAACAGGGTAATCCAGAGTCACTGAGAGCCTGTCTCATGTCCAGCAGCAGCGCCCTAGTGGCCAGAGGTCCTGCCCTGCGGCACTCCTACTCAGTGGCGCTGACAAGCACACAGTAGACTGTGTTGGGTGGCAGCAAAGGCTGCTGAGAAGAACAATCAGTTTCACTCTCCCAGCCTGCAGGCTCCCCCAACAGCACTGTGCCCTGGAAGTGGAGGGACTCAGTGTGGGTCCCCCCTTTCCAGAGGAGGGAGCTTATATCTAAGTTTCCAAAGGAAAGATTCAGAAGACACTCCCAGCAGTTCTTACTGCGTTCGGATAGCACGTATACTTGGACAGCATGTATACCTATAGCCAGCTGCTTTCCTATCTGACACAACACCTGGCTCAAATGTCTATACATTTAATGGAAAAAAACTTGGAGAAATTCAGTATGCTGATTGAAATCATGACTGATGTTCATGCTCTGTCTACACAAGAAGTTTTCCAGGGGGTGGGGGAGGGGTGGTGACTGCTGAGATCTGCACATCTGCAGTCACCACAAAGCACATCTCACACAGCCCCACGTGGGCCTCTTAGTCAGGAGAGCTACCTCTGAAGGACAGTCTAAAGAGACGCTGGTGCTGCTTTCCTCTTGCTCTCGTCCTCCCAAAATACAGTATCCCCCACCTACCACCACATACCCTGTCCTCCCAGTTGGTGAGGTTCAGCCTAGGAAGGCTCTTGACTTTCCCCACATCGTAATAGTTGCTATTTCTGGAACACCTGCCTTCTGATAAGTCCCTGGAGAATGCTCTGGAAGCTTTTTCCCATCCTCCCAGAAAACTGTCATTGACCCTGGGTTCTAGGTGAAGAGACTGACGCTGAGGCCGCCTAGCTCTGAAGTGACTGAGCTCAGAGCTCTGTAATTCAGAATCATGGACTCTGGTCACCTCCCCTGACCCCCAGGCCTTGCAGAATGTGAAGCCACTCCCATGTTGTGTGTCCACAGACCTCTCCCAGAGCTCCTCGCCACCCTCACTGCTGGACCAGCTGCAGATGGGCTGCGATGGGGCCACAAGTGGCAGCCTCAACATGGAGTGCCGCGTGTGCGGGGACAGGGCCTCAGGCTTCCACTATGGTGTTCATGCCTGTGAGGGGTGCAAGGTATGTGCGGTAGGAGACAGTGCCTGGCTGTAGGGACTGTGGTCACATGGTAAGGTGACCTACCAGAGCGATCCCCCTGCTACTGGACAGGGCCCTGACAGTACCCATCACAGAATACCTTCTGATAGGCAGCCAGGCCCTTCTGCCCATCCCAGACCTCAGGGCTGGTCCCTGCTGGCTAGGAGGGGTTCTCTTTTCAGGCCTGTCCTGCAGACCACCTGTAGTGACCCAGTCACTCATCTGGGCTGCTGGCGCCCCCTGTGGACCTGGCTCAAGAACACAGGGAAGGACCTCCCTGGTGGCACAAGGGGTTAAGTTTCAGCACTGTGACGCTATCTGTAGCCCCATGCAGCAAGTTCAATCCTTGGCCAGAGAGCTGACCCACATGGCACAGCAGACCTCTCCCAGCTCGCCCACTGCTCCCCTCAGCAGTGTATTTCAGTCGATTTGCCTGTTCTGCTCCCCACTCTGTCTCTGGTGAATCTTCTTACCCCCCACACCTCTGGCCTACAGCCCAGTTCTTGTATCCATAAATAAATAAATCTTCTTTTTTTTAAAAAAAAAAGAAGGCAGGGAAGACATAACTGGTCTTGAACTGAGCCATCCCCCTGCAATCAGGGCTTCCTGTGACACAAGGTCTAAAATGGGCTCTTTGAAGAAACAGTACATTTCTTTTGCCAGTGATGCTTTTGGGTCCTTCCTAGCTGCATACCCAACATTGCACATCTTATTTTATTAAAGCACTACCTAGAAAATATACAAAACCAGATATGTTTATGATTAAATCAAGTTAACCACAATACAATTTGATGTTATCAAAGAGGCTTTACGACTTCTTTGAGTATTTAAAGTAAATATGGCATCTTACATTAATTATTTCATCTTAATTATTTGCTTTCTCCTACCCCCCCAAATTACCTATTACTTCTAAATTTCAGGAGTTTTTTCATCTTCATGCACAGTTGGACCCCTGGCACAACCCACTGGGCAGCGCCAGCTTCTCAACCACTCCCCCTCTGTTGTGGCCTCACCTCCCCTCTTCACTGTCCCTCAGGGCTTCTTCCGTCGCACAATTCGCATGAAGCTTGAGTATGAGAAGTGTGAGCGGAACTGCAAGATCCAGAAGAAGAACCGAAACAAGTGCCAATACTGCCGCTTCCAGAAATGCTTGGCACTGGGCATGTCACATAATGGTGAGAGCCAACCCTGGCGAGGTACAGGGGCTGCCAGCTCCATACAGCCTGAAACCAGGTTTCATGGAGCCCAGAAAGAGGTGCCCTCAGAGCAGTGCCTACCACACTGCAAGCCCTGCCAAGGTATCAGCTGTTAACTTTGCTGACACAGACCCTGAGTCTTGGGGCCAGCACAAGCTGTCCTAAATCTCTCTGCCCCAGACTGCCCAGCATCCATCGTGGGTCCTAAGCCCAGAGCACTCACTAGCTCTTTGTACCCGAGGTTGGCTCACTCTGGCTGAGAGGGAACTGCTGGGCATTGATACCAACTCCGATGGCAACACCACTCCCAGAACCTCAGGCCCAGCTCAGATGACCTGACACAACATGAAAAGCTACTCCCAAGGCCTAGAATCCCTTCAGCCTCTCTTGGTTACTCAGGTCAGGCAGGAGCCAGTAGATGACCATGTGTGTTAGCTGCCAGGAACCAGGCAGGAGTTTCCTGGAGGCCAGCCACTCTAGAGTCAGTGCCCTCCCCTAACCTCTGCTCCAGGCCTCCTGCAGTCTTATCTTTGGATCCCTAGAGTAAGATTTTGCAAAGTTCACCTTCCTTCCCTCTACCCTTGGGGTCAGACCCCAGAGTATAGTGGCGAACCTGTTGTTTAAACATCTCTATCCACAGTTGCCCTGTCTGTCCTGCATCTTGGAGGGTGGCAGAACCTGAGCCCTCTGCAGCTTTGCCTTGGTTTTAGGGTCTAACAGATCTGGGTTTGAGCAATCCCCTCGGTCTCTCTCTGCCAGGCCCCATTTCTTAGGCAGGGAGATTTCCTAGGACATCTCAGGGCTGACTGAATTCTTCTCACGTCTTCTTTGAGAGGAGCCATAACTAATGACTACAATTTTTAGCACTTACTTTATGAATGCATTTATTTAATTGTTCTGACACCCTAGTGAGCTTTAAATATTAGCCCCATTTTTCTAATGAATAAAGAAGTGAAATAGCCTGCCCAAGGCCATATGACTAGGAATCTGCAAACTGGAACTCAAGTGCAGCCTTTGACACCAAAGACTGTCTTCCTCCAAGCTGTGCTGCATCTCCAGAGGGACTCAGTCACGCTATGATTCAGAGCCCTTGTGTGTTGGGGCACTGAATAAATAAGAATCCCTGACCCCTGGAGCTTACATTCTGGAAAGGTTCTCCAACAATCCAACATGCTTGTTCTGGAGCTTCTGAGGGCCCTGGGCTCAGAAACAGTGTCTTCATGTTTGGCCTGTGTACCTGTAGAGGGACGAGGCAGTTAGGGTGCTGGCCCATGCCTGGGCTTCTCAGTGGCTGTCCCCCGCTCCCCATGCAGCCATCCGCTTTGGCAGAATGCCGGAGGCCGAGAAGAGAAAGCTGGTGGCAGGGCTGACAGCAAGTGAAGGGAGTCAGCACAACCCACAGGTGGCTGACCTGAAGGCCTTCTCCAAGCACATCTATAATGCCTACCTGAAAAACTTCAACATGACCAAAAAGAAGGCCCGTGGCATCCTCACCGGCAAGGCCAGCCACACGGCGGTGAGTGTCACTGCTTGGCCTGGAGGCATCCTGGGCTGGGGTCCCGCTGCCACCTGCCTGACTCCTGTGAGAACCGGGCCTCCTCCCTCCCCTAACATCGTGGCACAGGAAGGGGGGATGGGGAGCACATGGGCGGGGGTCCCCTGAGGCCTAGCCTCTAATGGGGCCTGGTTTTCAGCCCTTTGTGATCCACGACATCGAGACATTGTGGCAGGCAGAGAAGGGCCTGGTATGGAAGCAGTTGGTGAACGGCCTGCCGCCCTACAAGGAAATCAGCGTGCATGTCTTCTACCGCTGCCAGTGTACCACAGTAGAGACCGTGCGTGAGCTCACCGAGTTTGCCAAGAGCATCCCCAGCTTCAGCAACCTCTTCCTCAACGACCAGGTGACCCTTCTCAAGTATGGCGTGCATGAGGCCATCTTCGCCATGCTAGCCTCCATTGTCAACAAAGACGGGCTACTGGTAGCCAATGGCACTGGTTTTGTCACCCGTGAGTTCCTACGCAGCCTCCGCAAGCCCTTCAGTGATATCATCGAGCCCAAGTTCGAATTTGCTGTCAAGTTCAATGCCCTGGAACTTGACGATAGTGACCTGGCTCTCTTCATCGCGGCCATCATTCTCTGTGGAGGTGAGTGAGGGTGGAGCAGGTGGGCTGGACCATGCAGCCAGCCCACCTGTGGATGGGGATGGCTGTGACAAGGCTGAGCGCCAGCGTGTGAGGAGTATCCCTGTGGCAACGGCAGTGGCACACGTGCCAGGCACTAACTGCACACATAGGACCAGCTTCGTCTTAGACGAGATGAGATCAGAAGGAAATATACCAACATGGTAATGGGGGCTCTTCTGGCGGTGGAAACATTTTCCGTTTTTCATCTCCATTTTTCAAATTATAACACAATTAATACATTTATAACCACGCTAATAATGACATCGAGTTTATCTCATAGCAGTTGCTGTTCTAGTTCCTTTGTCTAGTTTATAACTCATTTGCTCCTCACAACATCCCTGAGTAGGAGGTACTTCTGATATCCCCATTTTACAAATGAGGAAACTGAGCCCAGAGTGGCCTTGTGACCTGCCTGTAACCTCATCACTGCTCTATAGTAGAGACAGGAATTGGATCCAGGCAGTGAGCCTCTCACCAGGGTACTGTACTGCCTAGCCAGGAAAAACCCAACAAAGGAGGTGGGCCAGGACCAGGGCCGGGCACTAGAATGCAAGGTAGTTATTGACAGGACGGAGCTTGGGTCTGTCACAGCCAGGTCTGCTGTGCCCTGGACTAAGTCACCCACACATGGTGGGAGAGGGGAGCTCCTCTGCCCACTCCCTCCCACACCTCCGCCCTGTGTTCCCACAGACCGACCAGGCCTCATGAACGTGCCACAGGTGGAGGCCATCCAGGACACCATCCTGCGTGCCCTTGAATTCCACCTGCAGGCTAACCACCCGGACGCCCAGTACCTCTTCCCCAAGCTGCTGCAAAAGATGGCTGACCTGCGGCAGCTGGTCACTGAGCATGCCCAGATGATGCAGCGGATCAAGAAGACTGAGACTGAGACCTCGCTGCACCCCCTGCTCCAAGAGATCTACAAGGACATGTACTGAGGGGTGTACCTCCCAGCAGGTCTTTAGGGGTGTCAAGAACCAGGGCCAGGTGGAAAGCACTGGGCCAGGTGGCGCCTGCCCTTTCCTGCTGACCAGCCCCCAAGCAGTGGGAGTGGCACAGGAGCCGTGAGATCACACACTTGTGTGTGTAGAAACACAGCTCTGCCTCCAGCATTGCCTTCCTCACCCTGTCATCTCCCTCTTTCTCAGCTCCTCGCTTCCTCTTCTCTAATTTGTTTTTTTCCCTTCCTCTTTGTAGGTTTCCGTCTTCCTCTGTCCCTCAGCCTGCCTTTCCCACCATCCCCGTGTTTGTCCCTGTTTCTTTCTGTGAGACGGTTTTGTATTATTTCACCAGCAGCATAGAACAGAAACTGTGCTTCTGCCCCCACTGTCCCTGGAGCAGGAGGAAGTGGGCCTCACTCTGCTCCTGTCTTCACAGCAAAGGACATGAGCCATCCAAAGAAACACTAAGCGCTCTGGACTCCGCTTTCTGGTAGGCCGGGCTTGGCCTCGGCTGACTGTAGCAGCGGCCTCTAGTCGTGGGCCCTGGCTCAAGGGCCGGGATGCCTGCCCTGGACGGTTGCTGCCCTCCCGAGGCTGAGGCAGGCATCCCTGACCCAGCCCACCCTGCTCAGCGGCACACCCCAGTCCACTGACACCGACATGCTTCCGTTCTTCTCACCTGTCTTCCAGGCCAGTGTCGCTGACAGCCCCCTGCGCTGGCCGCTGGAGGGGCGCCACCCCTAGCCTGACAAGAAGTGGGGTTCCTCCAGGTGGGGGCCCCGATGCTCCCATTGAAAAGGAGTGAGCCTCAGGAAGGTGGAAGTTGGTGGGGAAAGCAGCGAGCAGTGCACTTGACTCTGACTCCAGGCCATAGGGTCAGCCCCCCAGTAGCACCCATCCCATCCCTCCACCCTGAAGCAGCCACCGAGCCCTGCCTGTCTTTTGCAGCACCACAGCTCCCCTCTCTGAGTGCCAGGGCCTGGCCTCAAGTGCAGCGTTCCTCTCTCCAGCCTGGAGACGCTGGCTCTGGCTCCAGCTCAGCTGCCGTTCACCCCTCACACACTCCCCGGAGCAGCCACTCCAGCACACACCGCGAGCACTGAGATCACTTTACCTGCAGGTTCATCCCCCCTCCCCCGCCCCCCAGGCAGGTGGGCCCCCAGCGGGGCCTGCACATGGATGGGCCCAGCTGTGCTCCCACTCCCAGGGCTGGACCAGAGCCCTTGGGGGACAGGGGTATCCTGCAGAGTCAGCCCAGCACCTGCTCACGAGAGATGCCGGGTAAACTGATGCTGTCACTGTCCCAGCAGCTCTGCTGCCCGCTCCTCAGCTGTATTCGGCCCAGCTGGTCACCTGGAACTCTGCACAGCTTCTGTGACCGTGACCTTGCCAGGCCCATCCCCACTCCTCTGGCTCCTGCCCCGACCTCTCCCTGCTCCCAGGCAAAGTACACGCTCCCCAGAGGAGGAGCTAAAGTGTAGTTTGGGGTGCTACGTCTAAGCAGAAGATTGGGGAGCCCATTTAAGCTGCTTTTCCAGTGAGGAAACTGGCTGGGGGGCGGGGGAGGGCTAAGGAACATGCTGGGATCTCAGAGAAAGGTGGTGGAACACCTGGACTAGAGCCCGAGCTCCTAGGGCCTGTCTGCCGCTCCTTCCCAGGCTGACTGCAGCTTGGGGAGGAAATACCCCAGGAGAGCCAACCAGCCTGGCCTCTGCCCTGCCAGCGCTGAGGCTGGCTGTGCCCCGAGAACACACTACTGGCAAGATTCCTCCCTCTCCCCTCCTACCACGGGCTGACCAGGGATTTGCTTTAGGGGTGCTTTCTTTGGGCCAGTGCTGTGAAGGGCAAGACTGCCTGACCTCCCTCCTTCCCACCACCCCTCCTTACCCCCCACCCGGGTCTGGTGCTGAGGATACAGCTCTTCTCAGTGTCTGAACAATCTCCAAAATTGAAATGTATATTTTTGCTAGGAGCCCCAGCTTCCTGTGTTTTTAATATAAATAGTGTACACAGACTGACGGAACTTTAAATAAATGAGAATTAAATATTTAAGAGTTGATTTAGGCTCCTTTCTCGGTTCTTTGTGTTTCTCCCGTGAGCTGATGGGACTCTTCGCCTTCTCTGTAACCAGTGCAGAGAGAGAAAGCTGGTTGGCCCAGTGAGGCTTGGGGTGCTGGCCATGAAGTTTGATTCTGGCTTCTGGAAGCTGCCCATTTTTTCCCTTCCCCTCCTGCTCCACTCACCAGAAGATGCCATTCTTGTCCTGCAAGGAGAGTTTGTGGGGAGAGAAAGATGGAGTACAAAATATTCAAAAGGGTGTGCAGTGACCGCACAAGCCAGGTTGGCCGTGAGGTTCTAGGAGGCAACGCTTCCCGAGCCTTGGCTGGTGTGTGGGATTTGCAGAACCGCAGCCAGTCATTCACTCAGTTTTTTACCACCCCCTCAAGGGTTTTTTACCACCCCCTCAAGGGTTTTCTTCTCCTCAGCCAACACCCCAGTTTTTCTCTTATTTCCAGTGGTGCTTCTTCGCAGAGGCTTCAGCTCATCAACCAGCGGGTGTGGCTGCAGCATGACGCAAGTCCCGTGTTTGTCTAGCCAGGAAAACCACCACCGCTATTTCAAAATGCGGGGTTTACCATGGGGAATTATTAACAAAAGCACTGAAAGACCAAAAGGTGGGAAAATTGAGATCATCCCAAGTGGGAAGCCACTCACCCCAGTGCTGGGAAGGAAACGGTATCATCTAGAAGCTCCTGGCACTACATGTAGGGTAAGGTAAAAGTATCAGGCTTTTCTGCCCTCCCGTATCAGGATAGACGACGGAACCCTGTGGTCCCGAATGTATGCTTGATGGCGGGCACCTGGAGTAGGGTGTGGGCAGAGGTAGATGGGATTCACCTGGGCTAAGACTGGGCTTTTAAGGGTGACGTCATGGGGACGCCAGCAGAAGCAGAACGAGAAGCAGAAGCGAAGCAGAAGCAGAAGCGCCAGAGAACCCAGACAGAGTGAAGACTTGCTGGGGGCTGGGAGACCTGCCAGCCACACGGCCCCTAATACCCCTGCCTGCTGTGTACCTGGTAAATCCCAATAAAAGCCTGCAAAGCCACCGAGGGCTCCAGGACTCCTCCTTTACCTGTTCTGCTGCATCAGAAAACCTGCACTGTGGCCATTCCTGCCCCTGCACTACAGTACCCACGGATAACTGTGGAAACCCAGGAGCCCAAAGCCTCATGCCGATAACTGTCAAACCAGTCTGCACACACAACCTGTCATTCAGGGTCTGCCAGGGCGCTCTCGCCACGGCTGCTGCTGCTACCTCTGGGCCTCACCACCTGAGCAAGAAGCCTGGAGCTGACTTAGCTGCTCCTGCCAAAAGTGGCATCAGAGCTCCAGGGGGAGGGCACTTGCTCCCTTCTCTGTCTGCCAGTCTGTTGCCTGTACCTCCCATTGGGAAAACAACTGTAAGAGGGTCTAGGAAAGATAGTTTGTGGACTTCCAGGCCCTGGAGTATAGGGGCTGGGGTAGTACGTGCAAGCTGAGAATTGAAGCTTGAGAACCAGCCAATAACTAGCACAAAGCACAAACACCAGTCCACAGTGAGGAATCGCAGAAAGACCTGCAGCTTAAGGCAATGGGCCAATCCGACACTTGCCTGCCTGTTTGCTCTTGATTGGTCAGCTGCGCAGAGCAACCTGAACTCTGTCCAGTGACATGTGGTTCATCTCAGCCCGGACACTGACCATCCCAGGAGAACAAGAAAGAGGTGGAATGCTTGGAACAGGGGCGTCTCTGAAATTGATAGTCCTGCGATGGACTCCTCTGGTTTGCTTAGTCTCTTTCTCGCCTTCTTATCCTTTCCCACATCCTCATTAGGAGGTGGGGGTGGGAGTTAGGGGATAATTGAAGATTGTCTCTCAGTTGTTTAAGGCCAGTCTTCTTCCCAATGCCAAAGACGTAGAAATACATGATACCAAATAACTAGATATAACTCAGTTCTGGGGCCAAGCTAAGGCTCAGTACCAGTTTTCTTTCTTTTTTTTTTGGTGAGACCCTCGCCGGTGGTCGGGGATCGAACCGGCGCTGCAGAGGCTCTGGGCAGCTTCGCAGCCCAGCACTCAACCGCTGCGCCACCAGGGGAGGCCCTAGTACCAGTTTTCTATTGTTACCTGGCTGCTGGTGCTGTGGAGAACATGGCATCACCCTGGCACCTGACATTGCTAGCAAGTAATAATCATTTATTAAGCACCTGTTTTGTCCCAGGCACACGTACATCACCTCTAACCCTCATCACAACCTGTAAGGTAATATCACCTGTTATTTCACAGGTAAGGAAGCACAATAAGAGAGATTAGGGGTTACTCAGCCAGGAAGAAGCACAGCCAGGGTTCATCCAGGGCTTTCGAATCTGCTTTTTTTTAAAAAAAAAAAAAATACACTGCTGAGGGGAGCAGCGGGCACGGCGGGAGAGGTCTGCACACCATGTGGGACCCTCGCAGGCAGCCAGGGATCGAACCGGTGCTGCAGAGACCACGGGCAGCCTCGCAGGCCAGCTCTCAACCGCTGCGCCACCAGGGGAGGCCCTTTGAATCTGCTTTTTACCCATGAGCAAAACCCTGGGGACAATAGTTGGTCACCTGGTTTCTTTTTAATGATGCTCAAGATAAATATTTAGACGAAAAAGAAGAAAGCGATCTTAAGAGAATTCGAAGATAAAATATTTGCAGTGACTTGAACTTCTGAAATAAAAAGTTTATTTAAAAAAAAAAAAAAAGGAAGAAAATGAGATCCTGGGCTGATAATATCCCTGGAGAGCCTGGAAGAAGCAAATGCAAAATCTGGAGGATGGATGCAAAAATTTTTACAAAATTGCAAACATGAAGAAACAAACCTGCATGAAATAGACTTAACTAGTGAGTCAGGCCCCTCGCAGCTTTGAAAAATATATTGATTATAAATAGCAGGTGAATATGTTTTATATTGTTAAATATAGAAAGATGTTTTATGTTGAAAAACTATGAATGTATGTTACTACAGTATGAATGTTTTATGTTGTTCAAAATTTAAAGAAGTTGGGCCTCCCCTCGTGGCACTGCAGTTGAGCGCTGGGCTACGAAGCTGCCCACAGCCTCTGCAGCCCCAGTTTTATCCCCGGCCGCCGGCAAGGGACCCACATGGCATGCACACCTCTCCTGCTGCCCGCTGCTCCCCTCAGCAGTGTATTTCGTCAGTCAGTCTGTCTGTCTGTCTGTTCTGCTCCCCGCTCTGGCTCTGGTGAATCCTCTCACCCTCCCGTGCTTCTGACTGTACCCAGTGCTTGTATAAATAAATAAATAAATCTTAAAAAAATATATAAAGAAGTAGATAAACAATTTGCTTTAAGAAGAAAAGACAAATATTTAAGAAATTCCTGGAACTTCCACAGGAAAAAAAGTTTAATGAATAAAAAACAGAGCCAAAGGGATCATATCTGCACCTCAAGAAAGAGCTGTAAAAATTATGCAGGAAATAGCACAGCAAAATCAAGTAGAAAGGAAAAATAGCAGTAAGAATTCTCAGCACTGCAGAAGGGAGTAGAAGTTGGTACAATCAATTTGAAAAACAACTTGGCATAATCTGGTAAAATTAAATGTACTTGAGGCTCCCGGGGGCATCCTCCTGGTCCCTCCTAGGAGCCAGGCACTAATTTCCCCGCTGTGAGGAAAATTGGCTGCTGAGTTCACAGCAGAGTTCTTAGGCAATTGCCCTTTTGCAGAGAGCTGTCTTGCTCAGAATATGCACCCCTCCTCCAGGCCAACCTACATCCCACGCAGGGGTCTAAGGCCAAGCCTCCTCCTCCAGGGTGGGACAACTGGAAGGACTATCCGAGATGCAGCCCTGAGGCTTCTGTAGTAACTACATTGCATGTTAACTTCTCTCTCTACCCAATGCTCCATCCTTCATAATTCTTTTTTTTTAAGATTTATTTATTTATGCATACAATAACTGGAGTATAAGCCAGAGGTGTGGGGGGTGAGAGGACTCACCATAGAGAGTGGGGAACAGAACAGGTGGATCTACTGAAATACACTGCTGAGGGGAGCAGCAGACGAGTCAGGAGAGGTCTGCTGCACCATGTGGGTTGCTCCCTGGCTGGGGATTGAACTCGTGCTGCAGTGCTGCAGATAGCTTCATAACCTTGCATTTTAGCCCCTTGAGCCACCAGGGAGGCTCCCCCTCAAAAAAACAAACCAAAGCTTTTATTTTATTTTATTTTTTTTTTTTTTTAAAGGTTGTGTATGCTGGTTTTTTTTTTTTTTTTTTAATTTATTGATACAAGCACTGGGTATAGTCAGAAGCGCGGGTGGGTGAGAGAATTCACCAGAGCCAGAGCAGGGAGCAGAGCAGGCAGAAGGACCGAAGTACACTGCTGAGGGGAGCAGTGGGCGGCAGGAGAGGTCTGCGCGCCATGTGGGACCCTCCCTCAGGTGGCCGGGGAGCAGCCGGGGATCAAACTGGCGCTGCAGAGGCTGCAGGCAGCTTCACAGCCCAGCGCTCAACCGCTGCGCCACCAGGGGAGGCCCTTTATTTTATTTTATTTTTTTTTTTTTTTAGATTTATTTATTTATTTATACATGCACTGGGTATAGTCAGAAGCGCGGGAGGGTGAGAGAATTCACCAGAGCCAGAGCAGGGAGCAGAGCAGGCAGTAGGACCGAAGTACACTGCTGAGGGGAGCAGCGGGCGGCAGGAGAGGTCTGCGCGCCATGTGGGACCCTCCTCCTGTGGCCGGGGAGCAGCCGGGGATCGAACTGGCGCTGCAGAGGCTGCAGGCAGCTTCACAACCCAGCGCTCAACCACTGCGCCACCTGGGAGGCCCCAAACCAAAGCTTTTAAAATAATTTTGATCCAGTAAAGATAAATAACAAAGACATCCAAAACCACTGTTTTCCCAAACTAGTGTCTCGACTTACTGATAGATATAGGAAGCTGTTCAAATTCAATTTAAAAACATCTCTTTTAATTTTTAAGTGAATTTCTCTCATTTGGTTTCTCTCCCATGAGGCACAGTGCAGTCTGGCAGAGAGAGCATGGACTCTGGGGGAGTAAGATGAGAACTGAGTGGTTCTTAGAGGTCATAGTCCCCTTCCTTACCACCTCCCCACTCACAATGCCCATTCTTCCCACTGCAAGCTCTGAATGCACCCGGCATTTATACTGCTCAAGAGACAGTCTCTGGTTAACTGATTTGCCATCATCCAATTTGGAGTGTCCTCATTGGACAGAGCCCCAGGCGAGCCCCCTCCTGGCCACTGCTCTTGGCGGCCTTGGTGGAGCTAGAATGGCTATCACACCATTCTAGTTTCTTGGGATTAGGACAGCAAGTTGACTTCAATAACAAACAGTACAGGGTACAGTGACTTTTTGTAGAAAGAACATTTTGGACCTGGAAGCTAGTGCCCTTAACCTTTTGGATCTGTCCATTATGTGGTCAGTCCGGAACAGACCTCCCTGCACACCTCGCCAGTCTCACACCATCTCCTGAACTCTCCCAAGGCTCCCAAGTCCCCTACTGATGTCTCCACCAACCTCAGCTCCACATGTGGGGTTCACATAGCCCTGGGGTTCACATAGCCTTCCATCTGGCCTCCTCAGTTATAAAATCCCCCCAGACACAAATTACTTCTCCAGTCCCAGGACTTGAGTCTTCCAGGTTGCTGGTCCTTGGTATCAAGTCCCGTGGCACCCTCCCAAATTGTCCTGCTTTCCTGAACACTTTGGGTCCTTAAACTATCTCCCAGTTTCCTCCAGTAATCACGAGGGTTCCCTGACGACTTTCATGCCCCACCACACCCAGCTTGAAGCCTGGACTGGACACCTCTAGCCCCCACCCCCTAGCTGCACTGCCTCCATCTTCCATCCCTCCCTCCTGCAGACTGGGGGCCATGGGAAGGGATGGGCCTGGCTGTGGCGCCCCTCCTTCCTTTTGCCCCGCCCAGAGAGGGAGGGATAAAGGTGCTCCAAATCAGCCCTGCCTGATTTTCACTAGGGGCTGCAGCTGGGATGGACCCTGCAGGGCTGGATGGCAGCAGTCGTGGTGGGGACAACAGCCCCCACTTCCAGAGGCCATACAGGTAGGGTCTGGGCCTCAAGGGAATGCAGAACAGGGAAGGTGGGCAAAAATTCTTTGGGGTTCTGCCTGGTCACTAGAAGCACAAAAATTATCTGGCAGAGGAGGGGTTCCTTGTCCCCACCCTTCTCTGGAAAGGTCTAGAGATCATCTCACACTCCCCAGAGTCCAGAGGAGGAGACTAAAACCAGAGGTAAAAAGACATACCAAGGCCACACAGCTGGGTCAGAGCTAGCTCAGGGGCTCACCATTCGGGTCAGGGATTCCACCCAGCAAAGGTGCCTCTGCCCAGAGACACCAAACAGCTCACTGCAGTTGAGATTTGGTCTCCTGGTCACCTTTGTAGCCCCAGCATTTAGCTCTGCACCAGGTAGTCATAAATGTTCGAATGGGAACATTTCATGTTATATAGTCCTTTCAATTTGGGTCCTGCTGGCTGCTTCAGGGCCCCACGAGCCCCCTGTGAGCCCCCATCAGACTTTCCTGCCTTCACACAAATTCATCTTGCCAACAGCTGGAAGAGATCAGTTCCCTAGAGAGAACTGAAGTTTCGGTAAAAGAGGGAATATTGTGGATCTTGGGGTCTCAGCGTGAAGTGGTTTTCCCAGGCTGAGAAGAAAAGGTACCCAGAGGGAGGCATAAGAGAGGATGGAAATTGAGTAAAGCAGATTTTCTATTGTTTCTTCCTGGGCTGAGAGCAGGGCCAGAAAGGCAGACGCCAAGACAAAGTTGGACCCTCAAGTCTTTTTTTTTTTTTTAAGATTTATTTATTTATGCACACAAGATCTGGGGTACAGGCCAGAGGTGTGGGGGGTGATTGAATTCACCAGAGACAGAGCAGGGAACAGAACAGACAGATTGACCAAAATACACTGCTGAGGGGAGCAGTGGGCGAGTCAGGAGAGATCTACTGCGCCAGGTGGGTGGCTCCCTGGCTGGGGATCGAACTCATGCTGCAGTAGCTGCGGATAGCTTCATAGGTTGTGTCTTAACCCCTTGTGCACCAGGGAGGCCCTGGATCCTCACGTCTTAAGACCCTTGTCAGGGGCTCATGTGGCAGATTCCCCCTCTCCTCACTGTCTCCAGTTCTACATGTGTCAGCCCTGTGGCACCCCCACCCCTGATGCTCATTTGGCCAGTTCATTGCTGAGGGGCCCACTGCTGCCCCTCAGGCTTAGATAACCTGTGACCTCAGGGCTGCTCTGTTCCCACCCTTTCACCCCAGAACTTGGCTTGAGAAATTCCCCAAATCCTACAGTCCTCACCTGTGATGAGTCACTCATGGGATTATTGGATTGAGTGAGGACACCTGGGTTATAGTCCTAGGTCTTGTCCTGAGTTCTAGACCAGTTACTTTACCTCTCTGAGCTGAGTCTCACATTTTGAAAACAGAAAAAGTGATTCCTAATTTTTTTTTTTATTCCTAATTTTTAAGGCTTGTTTTGAGGATACCTTGAAGTAATTTGACATTTCTCCAAACAAAATGTGTTTTATTGGTACATTAAGCAGTACGTGGAGGGCTAAACAAGCAACAATAATAAAAGCCTGGGGCCTCCCCTGGTGGTGCAGGAGGTTGAGCACAGCGCTGTGAAGCTGTCGCAGCCTCTGCAGTGCCAGTTCAAATCCGGCCAGCCAGCGAGGGTCCCACATGGCGCGGCAGACCTCTCCTGTCTCACCTGCTGCTCCCCTCAGCAGTGTATTTCGTCAGTCTGCCTGTTCTGTTCCCCGCTCTGTCTCTGCTGAGTCCTCTTACCCTCCCGCGCATTTGGCCTGTACCCCGGTTCTTGTATAAATTAAAAAAAAAAATCTTTAAATAATAATAATAAAAGCCTGTTTAAGCAATGCTGGATGAAATCAAACAGGTTCCTTTGCAGGACTTATCAGAGCCTTTACCTTGTTCACATACAGCAAACAACAGACAAGACTCTAAGAAAATATAAAAGGAAGAGTTTTTGTAAATTTACTGGATGACACAGCACCTAGCCCCTTTTCTTGTGTCTCCTCCAATGGCCTGAGACCCCTGTGGACATACTGGAGAGTCATGTCCCTGGGCCCCTCTAGCTTGTGAAGGAACTGGTATGGCAGCCTCTCTGGCAGTCCTGGAAATGAACCTAGTTGGTGGTCTTTAGGGAAAGGCAACCTTCCCAGAAATTCCCCCTCTTCTCATTGGTGGACTGGACCCTGCAAGCTCTTCCTCTGAGGGTTACTGGCTCCTCCCCTAAGGGGTTGAGAGACTCCTGCTCTAGACTCATCCATCCCTTCCACAGTGACTCTCTCCACTCCCCTCCTGCACCCTTTCATGTCTTCCCTAACTTTAGTTGTACCCATTGATCTCCTCCCTACCCTAACTCAGCCTCTCCTGCCTACTCCAATATTTTTATTTGTGAATCTCCTAAAAGAACTATGAAAAATCATGTATCCCTTCCACACTCATTATCTAGTGTTTTTCATCACAAATGTAAATTGCTACAAAGGTTATTTCAAATGTATTATAAATAGTCCCATTGTAAAATAAGATTACATGATTTTTTTTTTAATTCCAAAACAACCTGATTTTAAAACAACAACAACCTGTATCACTAAATCAAGACTGGTACCTCAGCCAAGATTTTGAGGGATGTGTTCAAATCCTCAGTGCACAAGAATTTGCCCTTCACCTTCCTGCAGGAACTTCTTGATTTTTCCAAGGCAGACTATGAGAAGGATTACAGGCACCATGGAGTGCTGGGCTGGGGCAGGCTTTAGGCTCTGTAGAATCTCAGCCCAAGGTATTTTGGGCTGCTTGTTTTGGGTCCTGCCAGAAAACTTGCTGTGTGGGCAGCTGACAAAAATAGCAGGTGAGCAGGATGGATTTGAATATGTATATTCTACTTTCATATATCCAGTGGCATCTAAATAGCAGACATATAACATACAGTGTCATTCATTCTAAAAATGCATAAATGAACTAGTTTTATACAATTCCCTTTCTCCATGCATACCTATTCTGTTCCACTTCCCCCCACAGAATCTTATCCTAAAATAAATTTTTTTATATCCTTGAACTCTTCAATTGCAATATTATGTCCCTACAACAAAAATACTTGTGAAACAGAAATTTATTCTTTTCTAGGTTTAGCTAGTCACAGTACTCGGTTGATCAAAGCAACTTAAATATGCCCTTTAATTACTAAATAGATGGAACTGTTGCTTTTCTTCTCTCCCCAAAAAGCTCATGTATCTGCAGATAATATTACATATTGCTAAAACGAGACTGGGTTCAATGTCAGTTTCTAGTTTTTAATTTTTATATCCTGTTTATATAGACAGAACTGACCTGCACTCAATTCTTCAGGTTTCCTCTGAATTAAATGCTGAAAATTGTGTAGGGTGATACCAAAAAGTTACAATTTAATTATCTTACATTCCTCTCCTGGCCCTCATAGCAGCTCCCATAAAAATAACAACAGCAATAACGATAGTTTTGTTATAAGTCTAGTAGTATTGTTATAAGCCTCTTACTATAATAATAATAATATAATGATCATTGTAATGATTATTACTACCAGCACCTCCTCAAGGCCCTTCCTGACCACCTTGTCTGAAATTGGGCCCCACCTACCCAGCCGTTTACTTCTGTCATTTCCCATCTGCGTCTATCTGGGTTATTGGTGCCCTGTTGCAGGGCCTGGGGATGGGGATGGGATGGGCAAGTCAGGTCAGGTGTGCAGGATTGGATCCTTTGTTTCAAAGTTTGATATTTTGTTCATCGTAGATTTTTTGGCATTAATTTGGATTTTTTAAACTGCCCTAAAATAGTCCTTGTTATTACTGAGATTTTTGGGCCACCCCCGAAACCTGCCCCTGGTTTCTTGGTTTTGCCCGTCACCTCAGCGAGAGCAGAGGCTTCACACACGGAGGACCATGTGACTGACAATCTGGCACCAGTGCCTGTCACCCATCTTTCCTTCCCTCCACCTGCTTCTCTGCCAGGGCCCCACCCCCTGCTGTCTCTGGGGAGTGGTACAGGTTGCTCTAAGGCAGGCCCCCCCAGCACTAGCATCAGCCTCTATCCCTGTGCTGCTGCCTGACCTGTGATTGACCAAAACCTGCTATGTGCCTGGTGCAAAAACTTAAAAAGCGCTTGCAACAGTCTTGAGCTTATAACCAAGAACTGTTACTCTCATTTTTAAAAAAAACATTTATTTATTTATGCATACAAGAGCTGGGGTATAGCCCAGAGGTGCGGGGGGTACGAGGAATCACTAGAGTCAGAGTAGAGAGCAGAACGGGCAGATCTACTGAAATACCTCCTAAGGGAAGCGGTGGGCTCTGCTGCGGCTCCACGTGGGTCAACTCCCTGGCTGGGGATGGAAATCGTGCTGGTGATAGCTTGATAGCACTGAGACTTAACCCCTGCACCACCAGGGATGCCCTGTTACTCTCATTTTTAAGGCTAAGGAAAAGAAACTTTGGAGAAGTTGAGTTACCCACTCAGGTACCCAGCTGGGTCAAGATTTGCACACAGGACCTGCCCCAGAGCCTATGTCCTGTCACACAGCCTCTCCCTCTATAAGGTTCCAGTGGCAGAAACTAAAACAAGCCTGGGTGTAACTCACATGATCTCTTAGGAACTTTGCCCCCGGGGCCTGTCGCTGGGAGCCGAGCTGCCGGTTTGCTTATAATGGAAAGGTGTTACAGGTGTGCAGGTACTTCCAGCAAGGCTTTTGTTTCTATGGAGACAGATGCAGGTAAGTGACTCTTCCTTCCACTGGAGAATGGGGTGGGGGTCACTGGAGGAATCACCCCTTAACAGACCATGTATCTTCCCAGAACCTCTTCATCGACCCCTCAGTTTCAAGTTCTAGGCTGAGCTAGCTGAGTATCCTAAAGGGGCTAGCCCTGTCCTCTTCTCCCTTCTCTGCCCACACTATAGCTACCAGCATCTGCAGCCCCCTGGTCGCATGGAGTGGGGACGCCGACATTCGGAACCACGTGCCAGCCTGCCAAGGCCCTGGCTGGGGCTGACCCGCAGGGCCTCTGAGCCCACCTACCTGCCCTCCGTGGCTGTGGGTTGGGACAGGACTGGGGCCTGCTGGGACTCAGAGTCTGGTATGGAGGAGTTGGCTGGCAAGTCCCAGGAGATCAGTGGCAGTTCCTGGAAGTCCCTGTCACCATGTGAGTCATCAGGGGCACTGCAGATGGGCACAAGTGGGACTGAGGGTATAATCCCCGCTCTGACACTGAGCCAGGTTTTTATTTCCCTCCTTAGTATTCCCTAGAGGGATTTTTTTTTTCGAGTCTTGTTCTCTGTTCTGGAAAAAGAACATCATGTTGCCTGTGAAGTCAAAGCACGTAGTTTCCAGTACTGGCTGCACCCCTTATAACAGTGTGATCTGGCAAAGTCACTTAACCTCTCTGGGCTAGTTTCCTCACCTACAAAAGGAGACTTGAAATAGTACTTATTTCACAGGGTTGCGTGAGGGGATGATGGTGCTTAGCACAGAACCTGGCACAGAGTAAACCAAATAAATTTTAGTTGTTTTTTTTTAATTATTGCTCTATTTAGCACTGTCCAACAGAAATACAAGTCACGAATGTATTTTTTGTAACAGCTTTGTTGAGATACAATTCATAAGCCAAAATACTCACGAATTTAAAGTATACAGTTCAGTATAATACAGTATGCGCAAAGTTGTACAATTATTCCTAATTTTAGAAGATTTTCTTTACCCCCCCAATTGAAACCCACTCATACTAACTCTTCATCCACTGTCACTACACCGTCATCCCACTAACCTAATCTGCAACCACTTTTCTGTCTCTGTGCATTTGCCTATTCTGGATATTTCATATCAATGGAGCCACACGATACGTGGCCTTTTTTGTGTGTTTGACTTCCTTTATTGGACATATTATTTTCTACTTTCACCCACATTGTAGTCTGTGTCAGTATTTCATTTCTTTTTTTATGGGGCCAAATAATATTCTGTCATATAGTCAATTGTGTTTTTGTTCTATAATTCATCAATTGGACCTCCCCTGGTGGCACAGGTGGTTGAGCGCTACTCTGTGAAGCTGTCTGCAGCGCTGGTTCGATCCTGGCCGGCCGGCAAGGGTCCCACAGGGCACGGCAGACCTCTCCTGTCTTGCCCGCTGCTCCCCTCAGCAGTGTATTTTGTCAGTCTGCCTGTTCTGTTCCCTGCTCTGTCTCTGGTGATTCTCTCACCATCCCATGCATCTGGACTGTACCCCAGTTCTTGTATAAATCTTAAAAAAATAATAATTCATCAATTGATGAATGGTTATTTTGCTTTTGGGCTATTATGAATGATATTTCTAGGATCATTCATGGGTAAGTTTTTGTATGGACATATATTTTCATTTCTCAGGTATACTCCTAGGAGTGAGATTTTTGGATCACATGGTAACTTAAATATCCTGTGAAACTGCCAAACTATTTTCGAAAGTGGGCACACCACTTTATAATTCACATATGTAATTTAAACCTTTGTAGTAGTCCCATTAAAAGTAAAAAGCAACAGGGCCTCCCCTGGTGGCGTGGCGGTTGAGCGCTTGGCTGCGAGGCTGCCCGCAGCCTCTGCAGTGCCGGTTAGTTCCCGGGGTGCCGGCGAGCGTCCCACAAAAAAAAAAAAAAAAAAAGGAAAAAGCAACAGTGAATTTATATTTCACTTAACAATAGTTCAAAGCCATAAACAATATATCTAAAACTATTTTGAATATCAGTATTATAATTTCAACATGTCATCAATAGAAAAAATTACTAATAAAATATTATTAGTCTTTTTGGCTACTGAGCTTCTATATCTCCTGCATGTTTTGTGCTACAGCACATCTCAGTCAGGCTAGCTCAGGCCCTGGTGGAGCCACATGTGGTGAGGGGTTGCTGTATTGGGCGGCACAGCACCAAAGAGCTATGCTAGAGACTTGAGTCTCCTGGGGGCAGACTTTGTGCCCCCACAGAGCCTTACACGGAGCAGATACTCAGTATAAATGAGTAAATGAATGAATGGATCCAATTTTCCCCAACAGCTGCTGACGGCAGTCTCAGTTACTCCCAGGAATCTCAGCCCAAGTCAAATCCTGTGGCCCCACTTCAGAGCCCGGATCTTGAGGTACAGCAGGTAGTAGGGGAGAGGAGAGGCCAAGGATGCCCAGACCTATGGGAGGAGGGCTCTGTGGTCCCAGGGCTGTATTTGGGGTGGAGGATGTGGTTTAACCCTGCCTGTTCCCACAGAGGGAGCAGAATAGTCGGGACATTGTATGTGGCATCTGCATGGACAAGGTGTGGGACAAGCCAGAGGCCGAGCGGATCTTTGGCATCCTGCCCAACTGTACCCACGCCTACTGCCTGGGCTGCCTGCGTACCTGGCGGAAAAAACGACAGGGCTTCCCCTTGGATGTCATCAAGTAAGTGTCATGGAGAGGCAGACAGGGAGGGTGGGAGGCTTCCCAGAGAGGTGCAGGCCCCATGGACTTGTGATCACTCTTCTCCCACCCACCCCACTACACAGGTCCTGTCCCCAGTGCCGTGTCCATTCCAGTTATATCATTCCCTACAAGTTCTGGGTGAGCACAGGGGCTGAGAAGGAGCAACTCATCAGGAACTTCAAGGCTTGGACTGGGTGAGGCTGGCGGGGGAACTGGGTGAGGGAAGAAGGGAAGACAGCCCCAATCCATTTCAGCTCAGTTATGATGCCTCAGCTCCCCCAAATCCTGGAAGTTCCTAGTGATGGAGATGGCAGGTATAGGTCTACTGTGTTAGAAATCCCTGTAAATAATGGCGAGTGACTGCGAGAACAGCCAAGAACGAGGCCAGGCTTCTATTCTAGCCTGGCTCAGGATCCGTGTAGAGCAACTTTGGTGCTTTCAGGGCACTGAGAAGTTCTGCTTGGCTTTTCTTTCTTTTTCTTTTTCTTTTTCTTTTAAGATTTATTTATGCATGCAAGAACTGGGGTACAGGCCAGAGATGTGGGGGGTGAGAGGATTCACCAGTGACAGAGCGGGGAACAGAACAGCAGAGTGACAGAAACACACTGCTGAGGGAAGCAGTGGGAGAAACAGGAGAGGTCTGCTGTGCCATGTGGGTAGCTCCCTGGCCAGGGATCAAACTCATGCTGTAGTGGCTGCTGATAGCTTCATGGGTTGCGTCTTAACCCCTTGAGCCACCAGGGAGGCCCTGCTTGGCTTTTATTTCTCATGTTGTCTTTTTATTTTTTAAACAGGCAAGTATATTGATATGAATACATGTTGTTTGGTGTTTGTTTAGTTGATCTTTGAAAATCTACCTGAGGAAATTAAAGGGCTGTCGTTGGCAATGGGGAAAAGTTGGGTAGGTTTTAATCCCTTGGGGGAGGGTAGGCATTAATACAAATCTGGAATTAACTACAACTCCAGATTCTTCATTCCACTTCTCCAAAGGGTTTATTACACTTGACATATGCAAAGCATATTTAAGTAAAGAGAGGGATAAAGAAGAAGCCTTGGCTGAACCTGCAAGATACACCATCTCACTGAACAGACTCTTGAATATTTTTTTTTAAGATTAATTAATTTATTTATACAAGCACTGGGTGCAGTCAGAAGCGCGGGAGGGTGAGAGAATTCACCAGAGCCAGAGGGGGAGCAGAACAGACAGACTGATGAAGAAATACACTGCTGAGGGGAGCAGCAGGCGCGGCAGGAGAGGTCTGTCGCACCATGTGGGACCCTCCCCAGTGGCCGGGGATCAAACTGGTGCTGCAGAGGCTGCAGGCAGCTATGCAGCCCAGCGCTCAACTGCTGCGTCACCAGGGGAGACCCAGACACTTGGATTTTGCCTATGAACTGTAATAGCTGCAGCCACAAAGATACTAAGAAAAAAATGTGAGTTCTACAGAGGGACAGGTATTTGAGCTGGGTATTAGAAGAGGAGTAGGGGCTTTGCAGGAGGAAAAAAATAAGAGCAGTCCAAGCAGAGTCAAAGTAGAGGCATCTTGGCAGCTGCCATACCAGTTGGGAGACTTCCAAAGTTGACTAGGCCTAGATCGGATGGAAGAAAAAGTAGGTAAATGAATCCATGAAATAGGGACTTGCTGTCCTCGCACTGCGGAAGGAGAAAGTGAGACATGAACTACGTGACTTAAGCGAGGAAGTGGGGCTTGAACTCTGGTCTTCTGACACACAGCCTGTACTAGGAGGAGTGGGGGGGGTGGACATCAACTTGGGAGTAAGAGGGGCCAGCTGTGGGTGACCAACTGACTGTGCATGTGAAATGGAAGTTTAATATGGCTCATGCTCTCAGTATAGTGGCCATGGAACTGGTACTGCCACCTGAGAGTTGGGTGAGGGAAACTGGGGGTGTCTGAACAGGTTGCTTGTGGGGTCTTTTTATGCTCTCTGATAGAAGTTTGGTCAACAGCAGGAGAATGAGGAAGGATAGCCATTTAGATGGATTCTCAGGCTCATGGAGTGGGTAGTCAGTGGGGCCCGCTGGTCACACTGGGAGGGCAGGAAGTGGGAGACACTCAACTGTGTTGGAATCCAGCAGAGAGTGATGGAAAAAGGCTAAAAATGCCCTTGGCTCTTTCTCCCTTCTCATCCAACTTTCTGTTCAAGAGAAAGCTGGTCTTAATGGGCAACACTTAAGTTGTGGCACATTCCCCTGTATCTGACCTTTCACAGAATGAAACTGGAAATCTCAGAAGTGGGAAGTCTCTTGATTAAATTCATTATCTGGCCAACTGCCAAATCACATGACCACCCCTCAGAACAGGATACTGTTCTTTTTTTTTTCCAAATTTATTTCTTTGTGCATACAAGAACTGGGGTACAGGCCAGAGGTGCGAGGGGAGGGGTGAGAGAATTCACCAGAGACAGAGTGGGGAACAGAACAGGCAGATCTACTGAAATACACTGCTGAGGGGAGCAGCGGGCGAGTCAGGAGAGGTCTGCTGTACCATGTGGGTAGCTCCCTGGTCAGGGATCGACTCACTTGTGATGCACTGGCTGTGGCTAGCTTCACAGGTTGCATCTTAACCCCTTGCACCACCAGGGAGGCCCCAGGATACTGTTCTAACTTGGTTACAGAGATACATTTTAGGGGTTAATCTTCCTATCCCCTCGCCTTTGATGGTATCCCTGAAACTTAGTTCAAAGAAGGAACGTTTCCCAGGGTCACTGCTTGCCTGAAGAGACAATTTGAAAGTTGCCTGAACATGAAAAGCAATCCTTGAATTACTTTACTGCCATCTGCTGGGAAACAGTTGTAGTAATGTCAAGTCTACCCCAGATTCTAGCAATGCCCTTGTGCTGAGTGCAACCTACCCAACCTTGCCTGTCAGCCTTGAGTGCCCTGGGTTCGTGGGGCCACCATGCTTGAAGGCGATGGGCTTCTCTTCTCTCTCTCACAGCCAGATCCCATGCCGGTTCTTCATACGAGGGAATGGCCATTGTCCCTTCAAATCTGACTGCATTTATCTGCACCAGCTCCCCACTAAAGCCCCAAGCTCTGGTCCTCCCTGGCCAGAGAGAATGCAGTTAGTCCCTGGAAATAAGGTGCGTAACAGCATGGAAAGGGGGGCCGTAAGGGGGTTGCTGGTCATGGCTTCTAATAACTGTCATGTCTGCTTAGAAGTGGCACCTTTGTGCTGTGCACAGCCTACCCCAATAATGTGTCATCCTTGATTCTCTTGTTCCTGGGGCAACTAATGGGTTTTCACTGATTTTTTTTTTTTCCCCCTGTACTCCCAGGTGCTGGGCCCAACCACGTTCTCAGGAGGCACTGAGCAGGAGGACGAAGTGTTCGTCACAGACTGTGTCCTGACCATGGCCTTCTGTGGTTGACATTGAACTTTTCCCCTCTCATCCTAACAGTTCTTACCACAGTCTCCTGTAACCAGGATCGGTGGGGGGGCGGGAGGGGGCTGAAGGACAAGGGTTGCTAGGTGGTAGGTCTTTTCCCTTTTTGGGCCTGGTAGGGGATGAAGGTTGCGAGCCTTCCACCCCATGAAATGCAGCTGGGGAGCATGAGGAGGGGTGGTGGTTCTCTCTGGAAAGAGGAGGGTTCTCATGTTCTTGCCAGGGCCTTGTTTTTTAATTGCGCTCTTTTGTAGAAGAATTCTGGAAGGAAATCAATAAAATGCACCTAAGCCATGACTGCTGGTGTCTGAAGAGTGGTCTGCTCACAGCCCTGTTCCCTCCCCCTGCCCACTTCCCCTCACCCACCCCAGTTGCTTTTTCTGTCAGTCTGTTGCAATATCACCTATCACTTGGCCTCTACAAACTTCACCTTCATTCACAAGAGAATGAAAAGGGCCAATAACATCATAGTGAAATGAAAATAGTAATGATCTCACAGACCCCAGGGATGGGTTTGGGGCATTTGCTCAGGGTCCTTGAAACCTGCTTAGCACTTTCCTCCCTCCCATGTCTCCTTCTCATCGGCTGGACCTTCCTGGGCAGACTTTACACCTAGAAGGTTGGGCGGGTCAGCCCAGTGTAGTTAGCATTCTTTTTTTTTTAATTTATTTTTTATTTATGCATATAAGAACTGGGTGGAGGTCAGGGGTGGGGAGGGTGAGAGGATTTACCAGAGACAGAGTGGGTCTACCGAAAAACATTGCTGAGGGGAGCAGCAGGTGAGTCAGGAGAGGTCTGCTGCGCCATGTGGGCATCTCCCTGGCCGGGGATAGAACTCATGCTGCAGTGGCTGCTGATAGCTTCATAGCTTTGACTTTAACTTTTGTGCCAACAGAGAGGCCTGGTTAGCATTCTTGACTGTCAAAGTCAGCTTTCCCATCCCCAATAGTTGATCATTTGAAGACCGGTAACAGGGTGGTCCCCAGGAAAAGGGGAGGTTCCAGATTCTCTGCCCCACCCAAAGGAGAGTGTTGCTGAGCAGGGAAGAAAAAAGCTGGAGAGAAGACTGAGGAAGGAAGGATGAAGAGTAAGAAGGAGACCTGGAGGAGGCACATGGAGCAGAGAGACATGTGAAGAAGCTGTGCTTGCCTTTTGGTCCTGGACTGGTTGAAACAGATGTGGGTGAGAGACCGGTGGAGAGGTTAACAGTGGCAGCTTTTATCTTGATTTTGATTTTGCTCTTTTTCTCCCAAACTTGTCTGGCTGTTTCTGACCCTTTGCTATGGGTCCCTGCCCGAAGGTGCTTTAGACTCGTGGCAGGCTTTGGGGCCTTGCTCTGGGCCAATCCCGTTTGGGTGGACTTTTACCCACGAGGGGACGGGAAACTTTGGGTGCTTCATTTAGAAACTGTATTCTTTGTCTTTTCTGTATTGTTTACTAATTGTATTAAAGTTCCTTTCCATTAAAGGTCTTATGTGTTTTGTCTTGATGTGGTGGATGACAGAACATATTTAGAGCAGGTAGGTTTGTGGGTTCTGCGGTACCCCTCTCCCTGCCCTGTAACAGACCAAGAACATCTCCTACCAAATTAGAATCACTAGGGAGCCTCCCCGGTGGCACTAGGGGGTAAGCACCACACTATGAAGCTATCTGCAGGCTATGCAGAGCAAGTTGGAACATGGGCCAGCCAGGGAGCAACTCACATGGTGCAGCAGACCTCTCTTGTCATGCCCACTGCTCCCCTCAGCAGTGTTTTCAGTCATTCTGCCTGTTCTGCTCCACTCTGTCTCTGGTGAATCCTCTCACCCTCCCGCACCTCTGGCCTGTACAGTTCTTGTATGCATAAATAAATCTTTAAAAAAAAAATAGAACCCCTAGAGCCTTCCTGATGGCGTAAGGGGTTAAGATGCAACCTATGAAGTTATCTGCAGCCACTGCAGCACGAGTTCGATCCCCTGGCCAGCCAGGGAGCAATCCACATGGCACAGTAGACCTCTCCTGACTTGCCTGCTGCTCCCCTCAGCAGTGTATTTCAGTCCATCTGCCTGTTCTGTTCCCTACTCTGTCTCTGGTGAATCCTCTCACCTCCCCACACCCCACCCCCCGCCCCACACCTCTAGCCTGTACCCCAGGTCTTGTATGCATAAATAAATCTTTTTTAAAAAAATTAGAACCGCTAATCTGAGATATAAGTGGGAGAAACTTCTTTCCTGCCCACTATTTTGGCCTTTGCAAAGAAGACACTATTTAAGGAATATTTCTTAGTCTTTTTCAATAGTTCTCTTGAAGACATTTTGGGGAAAAAAATTAAAATCTTGGCTTGAATGGAAATCAGCTCAAGGTCAAAATACTCCCATGGCTTTCCATACAACTCAGAGTGAAAGCCAAAGTCTTTGTGACCTCCAGGCCTCAGGCGATCTGGATCTCATTACTCCCCAGCGAGTGCACTCTGCTCCAGCCAAGCTTCTGTCCCAGGACCTTTTGCATTTTCTGTCTTCTCTGCCTGAAACAGGGTCCCCGCAGACCTCTTGCTCTCTTATCTCCTTCTGGTTCATTTTGCCTGACCATTCTATTTAAAATTACCTTACCCTATCTCCCTTCCTTGCTCTATTCTTCTTGAAGGTACTTAACACAATCAAACATTCTTTTGTTCATTTATTTAGTTGTTTGTCTGTCGCAGCTTGAATGGCAATAAGGGCAAGGGTCCCCTGTATTCCCAGTTCCTAGGTGCTCAGTAAAGATTTATTGAGTGAAGGAAAGTGTGTGCAGAAGATGGGAGGATGGAAATGCAAGCTGGAGCTCAAAGTAGCATTTATAGGGTTTTCTCCCTTTCCCCTTTTTTCCTTCCCTCTGCAGTGATTCCCCTCACCCCACCCCTTCCTGGAAGCTTGCCTCCTTCTGATTTCCTTAAACTGAAACCATGGGAAGTGGAGTCACTCCTGGCCCCCAGAGCAAGGGTGATTTTCTGGAAATTCACAGCAAGATCTTTTACCATATCGGTGGCAGTAGGTTTTATTGCAACCCTATCCTCAGGGGTATTTGTACATCAAATAATTTTTTTTATTATTTTTTAATTTATTTGTACAAGCACTGGGTACAGTCAGAAGTGCGGGAGGGTGAGAGAATTCACCAGAGCCAGAGCTGGGAGCAGAGCAGGCAGAAGGACCGAAGTACACTGCTGAGGGGAGCAGCGGGCGGCAGGAGAGGTCTGCGCGCCATGTGGGACCCTCCTCCGGTGGCCAGGGAGTAACCGGGGATCGAACCGGCGCTGCAGAGGCTGCGGGCAGCTTCGCAACCCAGCGCTCAACCGCTGCGCCACCAGGGGAGGCCCTCAAATAATAATTTTGGAGAGGACTGAAACCCGAATGATAGCAGTTGATGGTCTGTGAAAGTGATGAAGTTATGATGGGGTGATACATTGTGAGCAAATCCTAGAGTAAAACCTATCTACAAAGAGCAAGGCTGTCAGCTAAAATTAAATGCAAGTGCAGTTTGTATCCCGAAGTACAACGCGACTCCTGACATCCATTCTGCAGCCCTACACTTCAGGGAGCTGTGGAGAAAGTAAGAGAGTTCAGGACCCCACATCCAGCCCCGCTCCGCCTCCCTCCACCCAACTCTCGGGGCTGATCCCGCCCCCAAGCAACTCTCTTGCTCTGGCTCCGCCCCGACCTTTACTCCGCCCACTCGTCAATACACGCGCGCCCTTCGCCCCGCCCCCTCACGCCAACTCTCGGGGCTTTTCCCTCCCGGCCCCGCCCCTTCCGGTCTCCTCACGTCCGGTCCCGCCCCGACCACGCCCCTCTGTCGTCCTCTGCTTTCGCGCGCTAAACTTCCCGGCTCGCGGGGCGGCGGGGCAGGCGGTGGCGGCTTCCCAGCGCCCCGGAGGGGCCCGGCGCTGCAAGCTGCTCCCTTTCCCTCTGCTTGGGGGCTGAACCCCGAAACCAGAGCTGGGGCGGCGCGGTATGGCGGCCCCAGAGGCGGCGCCCGCCGGGGCCGAGGATGCTGAGCCGGCGTTTTGGGCTCAGCTGGAGGCCCCCGTCCGCCTCCTGCTGCGGGCGCTGCAGGCGGGGCCCGAGGGGGCGCGGCGCGGCCTGGGGGTGCTGCGGGCGCTGGGCAGCCGCAGCGGGGAGCCCTTCACTTGGGACCGCGTCCTCGAGGCGCTGTGCCGGGAGGAGCCGGTCGTTGAGGGCCCGGACAAACGCCTGAAGCTGTAAGTCGTCCGGCCCTCCTGCTTGGCGGCCGCTGGCGCTGCGTTTTCGCCCTCACAACCGCGCGAGGCGGTGCTTTTATTTATTTTTTATTATTTTTTTAAAGATTTATTTATGCATATAGGAACTGGGATACAGGCCAGAGGTGTGGGGGGCGAGAGGATTCACCACAGAGCGGGGAACCGAACAGGCAGGTTGACTGAAATACACTGCTGAGGGGAGCAACGGGCGAGTCAGGAGAAGTTTGCCGTGCCACGTGGGCATCTCCCCGGCCGGGCATCGAATTCCTGATGCAGTGCATGGGGACAGCTTCATAGGTTGTGTCTTAACCTTTTGCGCCACCAGGGAGGCCCAGATTGACCATCTTTTTAGTGATTAGTTTCTCTCTGTTTATTTTCCACAAAGAAATAAGTTCTGTAAAGTGCCTGTATGTGATGACTGAAAGGTTCGGCGCAGTAAAGAAAAGGAGAGCCAGGCTACATTTCTCAAAGGGAGGGAAAGTTTATTGCGCCCCAGGCGGACCTCACAGACCCAACGCGGGGGTCAGTGGAGTCGCGCACGTTGTTAGGGGGAAGCAGGATTTTATAGGGTGAGGAGAGGTCAGGTGGGTAGTTGGGCTCTAAGGTGGGAAAAGTTTGTAGGGCAGGTAGAGGTTCTTTGTCTGAGATGAGACTCGTAGGGAGTGGGGGGAGGCTCATTGTCTGAGTCCTCCAGGCAGGTATCCACATTCCTGCCCCCCAGGTGGGCTTCCTGGTTGGCTCCTGCATTCTGGCTTCCTGCATGGACCTTTCAATGACAAACAGCCTTGCAAAGTCGTGTAGACAGAAGCATGATGGGTGTAGCCATGGCTTGCCACACCAACAAATCCCAGGTCACACAGCATCTGGATTCATGTCTTCATGACATGCAGTCGGCTACATTGCTCTCTCCTCAGCAGTCCTTGTTGTTGACTGGATACTTATTCTGAGACAATCCATCTAATAAACGTGCCCCAAATGCCTGCTGTGGGCTGCTGCTGTTTTGGGGGCTGGGTCACAGGAAGGAGATGCTGTCCCTACCTCTCAGGAACACATGTTCTTGAACATCAGAACTGGGCAAATGAGTAACTCTGAGTTCCAGGAAATTACCAAGGGAGCACAGGTCTGCAAGCCATGGGTTGCACGGCATCTTGGGAGTATTATTTTTACATTTTTTTTTCTTCCTCCCTGGTGGCACAAGGGGTTAAGTCACAGCACTATGAAGCTATCAGCAGCCATGGCAGCACAGTTTGATCCCCAGCACAGTTCGATCCCAGGCAGGGAGCTGACCCACATGGCTCAGAAGACCTCTCCTGTCTTAACCGCTGCTTCCCTCTGCAGTGTATTTCAGTCTGCCTGTTCTGTTCCCCACTCTGTCTCTGGTGAATCCTCTCATCCCCCACACCTCTGGCCTGCACCCCAGATCTTGTATGCATAAATAAAATAAAATAAATCTTAAAAAAAAACCAAGCATGGCGAAGAAGAGCAGGTACTAGCATAGAGTAGATAATGAACATGTTGAATGACTCATACTGTTCCCCTTCTTCATACTGATAGGCACCATCTCCCAACCCCCTTGCCTGGTGCCATCTAGCCCCCATCTTTACTCAGTCTGCCATATGCATCCTTCAAGGCACCTAAAATTCACTCTTCCTCTCAGGAAACCACTGCTGCTGCGACTGCCCCAGTTATGCCAGAGGAACCTGATGACCCTGTTGATAGCTGTTCAGCCATCATTGCCTGAAAGCAAGCTCCTCCCAGTGCTGCGGATTGCTCAGCAGGACGCAAGCCCTGACCCTGATGTCTGGCTCAGAGCCCTGGGGGAATTGCTGCGAAGAGATCTGGGACTTGGGTTCTCCACTGAAGAAGCGTCCCCATTGTCTAAAAGGTGCCAGAGTCAGCTCCAAGGCCTATGTAGGCAGTTGTGCCAAGGCGGCAGGAGATTGAAGTTGCCCCAGACCCCAAACCCCAAAGAGGAAGAAGAGAGGGACTCCCAGCAGCCTGGGAAGCGCAGAAAGGAGCCAGAAGATGACCCTGGCAGTTCCCAAGGGGAAAGGACTCCCAAACGATTCCGTTGTTTGGAAATAGAAGAAGAATGTCATGAGACAGCTGAGCAGGAATCATTGGAATCCCTGGCAGATGGAGAAAGTACATCACCTGTTAAGAAGCCACATGTTGTGGGGGTGGAGCCCAGAGAGCCTGGTCAGAGTCTGGAGGATGCTAAGGGCACAGCTGCGAGTTTGGAGTTGCCCAAAGCTATCCAGGTATTAGGGTGAGGAGACTGGATTTAGTTGGAGTGATCCTTCAGGGGTGGGGATTTATCAGGTTAAAAGCTCTTTGGGACACTTTCTCAATTGGGGTGACTAGTCCTTGGAGCAAGGGAAGGTGGGCAGGGTTGAGGGAAGGCAGTCACGGTCCCCATTATCCACTCCTGGAGATGGGAAACCCTTGGCGTAATGATCTCACTTGGGGCTAAAGTGTTCCCGGCAAGAGGAGACCCTCTGGAGCCACTCCTGCCACCCCATGCTGGTACCCAGCCCAAGGCCTGGGTCTGTCCCCATTAGGGTGGATGCAAACAAGACAAGAATGCAGAGCTGATTGACACAGGACTTGTCTAATTTGAATTTTCAAGTTCAGGATACAGGCTTCGTGTTCTTGGCTCTCTTGAATCATCTCTGCCCAACAGCTCCCACTGAGCTGGGGCCTTCTCAGGAGAGGGAGTCAGGACTGCACTTGTGGCCACACGATGGGGGTCAGGACTGGGTGGTGACTGGGCTCTCCTTTGCAGGACTTGGTTCCCAGGCTGCAGCAGCGGCTAAAGACCTACAGAGAGGTGACTGGCCCCACCCTGCTCACAATACCCCAGCTGTGCCCAGGGAAGCCTCTGTGCAGTGAGGTTCCAGCCGGGTAGGACTGGGGGGCAGGGTTGGAGTGAAGGTCTGAGGACAGTCACTGCAGGGACTTTTCTTGGTCCAGGAACAGATAAGTAACTCCAGACATGTTTCTCTCCTCTGCCGCGTCTTCCAGGGTCCTCAGTCACCCCCTGTGCCCATGTAAGGGGGTGGGTGTGGGAGGGACTCCGTGACTTAGTGTGACGCACAGCAGCACTAATGTGGGATTTATCTTCCCAGGGGTTGGAGAGGCTGGAAGGTGACCCCCCAGTTGAGCTGCAGCTTCTCCATGAATGTAGTCCCAGCCAGGTGAGCCCAGAAAGACGGCCCAGCCCTGAGCATACATCCCCTCTCCCCAGCCTTTTTCCATTTCCCGGACTCAAGTGCATATTTAGGGAGGGAATTTTGTCAGGTTTTCGGACTCAGGTGCTGTGATCACGCTCAGTGGTTTCCTTCAGCCCTGGTTCCTCTAGGGCAACTTTCCAGACTTTCCTTGCCCTGCCTCTTCCGCCCAAGTGCTTGAGGCTGAAGACAGCCTAGCAGGGACAGTCTGAGTGTCCCCCTGTCTTTCCTCCTGCTTGGCAGATGGACCTGCTGTGTGCCCAGCTGCAGCTCCCGCAGCTCTCGGACACAGGTCTCCTGCAGCTCAGCACCTGGCTGCTGGCCCTCTCACCAGATCTCAGCCTTGGCAACGCTACTGTGCTGACCAGGAGCCTCTTTCTTGGGCGGGTAAGTGCCAAGGAAATGTGGGAGGGGCTGAGCCCTCAGCAGGGTGATGGCTGGGAGAAGGGGTTCCTAGCCATGCAAGCGACTTTCCTTTGGGGCCTCCTGAGGCAAGGGGATGGCATGGACCCCCAGGCTGCCCACCCTCATGCCATCTGACTCCTTCCTCTTGGGCCCCAGACCCCTTAGAAGCTGCTGAAAGGGCTTTTGGGTTTGGGAGCTGGGATGAGGTGCTTTTTGAGTCTTTCCAAAGGCTGGGTCCTTGTAAGTCCTGAATAAAATATATTGTTTTCCTCTGTAATCTGTATTACCGTTTGAACTATGGATCTGACATTTATGAAGGGAAGAATAAATGCTTAATGATTTCCTCCCCATTGACTATAGATTCTTACCCTGACTTCCTCAGCCTCCCGCCTGCTCACGACTGCCCTGACCTCCTTCTGTGCCAAGTATACCTACTCTTTCTGTAGAGCCCTCCTTGGTCCTGTGCTCCAGGCCCCAGGAATAGGTAATTCTGGAACCAGCCCCAGGCCTGGTAGCTCTGCCCTGTGTTCCTGGCACCCTTTAGCAGGGTGGCCCTGGCAGCAGTTGGGTATAAAATAAGTAAAGACACCAGTTGCTTCCCTGACGGTACCTCCTAGTCCCATCCTCTCCTGCCACCTACTCCCAGACTGTCCCCTGCTCTTTCCTACCCAGGTCCAGCTCAAACAGAGTTACTGTGTTGCCTTATGAAGGACAGGTCCCTGGAGCCAGACACTCAGCTTCTACTGCTAGGGTGAGTGTACAGGCTTCCATGCTGCCTATTCCTGCTCCTCCCTTGGCCAGTCCTGCTCCTGGCACTCTGGCGTTGGTGCTGGCAAGGCATTAGACCCTGGCCTGACAGATGGGTGACATCACAGCCAAAGCCCCCCAGCACTATTACCTGCACCTGGCTTATACCTTCTCAACTGGCCCTGTACAAGTTGCTATCCCGTGCACATTCCCAAGCCATACTCCTGTTTTTCCCTGTTCTGCCCCCCGCTGCTGGGGTTGTTCTGAGTAATTCACAGTATAGCTGGGACATGGTGCAATGGTTAGGCACAAGGCTCTGGGGTCAGATGGACATGGTTTCAAATCTCAACCTTATCTTTTAATGAACTAAATTCCTGAGCCCAGGAGAATATGGAATATGAAAAATGGCGATGACAGTGTAGGATTTTTCTGATGTTAAACATGCTAATGCAGGGCCTCCCTGGTGGCCTAGAGGTTAAGTAAGTCTCAGCGCTCTTACCTCTATGGCCTGAGTTCGATCCCCGGCCAGGGAGCTGACCCACGTGGCGCAGCAGACCTCTCCTGTCTTGCCCGCTGCTCCCCTCAGCAGTGTATATCTGTTCTGCTCCCCACTCTGTATCTGGTGAATACTCTCACCACCACCCCCACCCCCCGCACCTCTGGCCTACACCCCCATGCTAATACGTAAAGACCTGTAGTCAGCAGTGCTATATTCAGTAATTGCTCAAATATTATTAAGTTGGTGTTAAATTTAAGTATTAAAATTGGGGAATCAAGATGCAGACATGGAGAAGCAATGAGTATCAAACACTTTCTCTGTGCCTTAGATTCTTGATCTCAGTCTTCATGTAGTCCCAGGAGGTGTAGTTGGTGCTGCAGCCTGAGAGATGGAAAAACTGAAGCTCAGAGAGCTCAAGGGGCTCGGCCAGAGGTCACATAGCCAGCAAGTGGTAAAGCCTAGGAGCAAACCCGAGCCTATTTGCATGACATGCTGCTTTTCCAAACAAACTGAGAACGGCGCAGTAGGACCAGGCAGCTGGGCTGGACCTCGCCATGGCTTGAGGAGGCTCTCTTTTGAGAAGCCTTGCTGCCGTCTCCATCTTTTTTTTTTTTTTTTTAAAGATTTATTTATTTTTTATTTATTTATACAAGCCCTGGGTACAGTCAGAAGAGCGGGAGGGTGAGAGAATTCACCAGAGCCAGAGCGGGGAGCAGAGCAGGCAGAAGGACCGAAGTACACTGCTGAGGGGAGCAGCGGGCGGCAGGAGAGGTCTGCATGCCATGTGGGACCCTCTGATGGCCGGGGAGCAGCCGGGGATCGAACTGGTGCTGCAGAGGCTGCGGGCAGCTTCGCAACCCAGTGCTCAACCACTGCGCCGCCGGGGAGGCCCACGTCTCACTCCATCTTCATCCTCTCTCCTGGGTTGCCTTCACCTTTTGTACTCAGGATTCACTCTCAACTCCTGGTCATTTTTCAGGGGACCTTTGTACATCTCACTGCCAAGTCTTTCATTGTCAGCTCCTTGGGGCTTCCCAGCACTGAGAATGGGCACCTTGGCAGTGGCTACTGGGTGGCTGACCACATCACGGGTGCTCTGACTGCTTCCTCTTTGCCTGGGATTCATGGCTGTCCTCAGGCCCTTGCCCTGCTTTGGGAAGAGGAGCAGTAGACACCCAGCCTTGGGTGCGAGGCTGGGCTTCTTTCACTGTGACCTGTGCTTTGCAGGCAGATCTTGGAGCTTCCCTGGAAGGAAGAGACTTTTTCAGTGTTGCAGGCACTCTTGGAGCGGCAGGTGAGTGAGCTACCACACCAAGAGTGGATGCGGAAGTGCCCCGTGTGTGACAGGCATGGGCTCGTGGCTTCTGATCCTTTCAGTGATGGAGGGGGAGGTAGGACAGCCACCGTCCAGCAGGGTACCCTGTGTTAATGGGAGAGTCTTAGGGCTTGAAAGGCTGGTCACAGAGAACTGACTGCATGGTAAACCCCACTTCTACCTCTTACAAGTTGTGTGGACTTGGGAAGGGACTTTTTTTTTTTTAAAGATTTATTTATTTGTGCATGCAACAGTTGGGGTATAGGCCAGAGGTGTGGAGGATGAGAGGATTCACCAGAGGCAGAGTGGGGAACAGAACAGGCAGACTGACTGAAATACACTGCTGAGGGGAGCAGCAGGCGAGGCAGGAGAGGTCTGCTGCGCCATGTGGGTCACCTCCCTGGCCAGAGATCAAACTCGCACTGGAGTAGCTGCAGATTGCTTCATAGTACTGACGCTCAATCCCTTGCGCCATCAGGGAGGCCCAGGGAGGGACTTTTCATGTGTGTGTGAATTTAACTTTATTTTTAAGTAAGTGGTAGGTTCATATGTTCACAATTTTGAATGTTGGAAAGGATACAGTGGGAAATATTCCCCTTTCCTCTCCCTGAGTCATCCAGATTATCCTCCCTAGGGCTAACCAATTTTACTAGTTTCACGGGAACCCTCCCAGAGATGTTTCATAGATAAAAAGAAACACGTTTAAATGCACTTTCCCACTGCTTTTCTCAGAGAGAGTAACATACCCCACTCAGTGCTTTATAATTTGCTTTTTTTTTTCACTTATTTTGGCATTTTTTCTGTGTTAGTACCTAAAATTCTACCTCATTTGTTTATAACTTGGATAGCTGGCCTGATTTCTTTATGCTTCAGTTTCCTCATCTACCAAAGGATTGTACTTCTCACATAAGACTAGGTTGAGGTTGGAATGATGTAGTTGGTATCAAGTGTGTAGAACAGTGCCTGATACATAGAAAGTACTTTATTAAAGTCTTGTGAAGAGCTGTTGTTACTATGCTGGGGGTACGCCTTGTAGCTTCTCTTTTATACATTCAGCTCTTTTCTATCTTCAACCACCAAGCCAGGATAGGGATCCTTGGCTTCCCATTGGTTCTACTTTGAAGCCTTTGCAACAGTAGCTACCATTTTCTGAGCTCTCTGTGCCAGGCTTTTGATGCATTATCTCATGTAATCCTTTCCACAGTCTTCGGAGTTAGATATTTAATGAGTCCCCTATTACAGATGTGGAAACCGAGGCTTTGCTTGATTGAATGACTTGCCCCCTTAGGAAACCATGGCGTTGGGAATTGAATCCAGGACTAACTGAATGAAGAGTCCAGGTCTTTTTCTTTTTCTTTTTTTTTTTTAAAGATTTATTTATTTTCACATATAAGAGCTGCGGTATAGGCCAGAGGTGGGTGGTGGTGAGAGGATTCACCAAAGACAGTGGGGAGCAGAACAGGCAGATCTACTGAAATACACTGCTGAGGGGCCTCCCTGGTGGCGCAGCGGTTGAGCGCTGGGTTGCGAAGCTGCCCGCGGCCTCTTCAGTGCCTGTTCGATCCCCGGCTGCTCCCCGGCCACCAGAGGAGGGTCCCACATGGCGCGCAGACCTCTCCTGCCGCCCGCTGCTCCCCTCAGCAGTGTACTTCGGTCCTTCTGCCTGCTCTGCTCCCCGCTCTGGCTCTGGTGAATTCTCTCACCCTCCCGCGCTTCTGACTGTACCCAGTGCATGTATAAACAAACAAACAAACAAACAAATAAATAAAACATGCCTCTATTAAAAAAAAATTATTAAAAAAAAAAAAAAGAAATACACTGCTGAGGGGAGCTGCAGGTGAGACAGGAGAGGTCTGCTGCGCCATGTGGGTAGCTCCCTGGCCAGGGATTGAACTCATGCTGTAGTGCTGCAGATAGCTTCATAGTGCTGATGCTTAACCCCTTACGCCACCTGGGATGCCCTGCCAGGGCCTTGCTTCTGCTACTGCTCCATCTCCCCATGTGCAGGTGGAGATGACCCCTGAGAAGTTCGATGTCTTGATGGAGAAGCTCTGTAAAGAAGGGCCAGCAGCCTGTACATCCATGGCCTACGCCAAGCTCATGCTGACAGTGATGAACAAGTATCAGGCCATTGTGAGTGTTGATAGGGCCATGAGACCGGTCCTGCTGCTCTGATCCTGCCACAGGGTGTCCAGATGTTTGCAGGGAGAAAAACACTGAGCATTAGCCAGGAAAATTACAGATTCAAGCCCTGGACTGGGGAATGGGACTTCTTTGGAGTTCTTTCATCTAGTCAACACTACCATGGGACAGATGCTGTGTGGGGCATTGGGAAATCAACAGTGACCGCAGTGTAGTTCCTGCCCTTGAGTTGACCCCTCTTCCCTAGAGGGCAAGTGCGAGGGGGACAGATGATAAACATATCATATCTGGGAGGAGCCAGGTGAGAGGTGAGCACTGGAGTGTCTCTGAACTTCAGTTTACTCATCTGTAAAATGGGAGGGTTGTGAGGATTATATGAAGTAATGCATATAAAGTGCTCCCACACAGGAAGTGCCCAATAATTGCCAACTGTTCTTAATGTGGCTAACTTAGTAAGTTGTACAGCTAGTGTTTGACCGCAGCTCCACCTGAATCCAAAGACCTTGCTTAATCATAGTGAAATAATAAGGTTCGATTGCTCAGGTAGTCATCTTCTTCCATTGTCCTTGTGGCCTGGTTTCCTTTCTGCTTCCTAAACACAGCTTGTGGGGCAAAGGGGGGTGGGGAGGGATCAACCTATGGAGTCCTGAAAAGACTTTTCCTTCTCAGATCACTGAGACTCAGAGGCTGGGCCTGACCACAGCTCTGGAACCCAACACCACTTTCCTCAGGAAATCCCTGTGGGCTGCCCTGCGACATCTGGCGCCCTGACCATCTACCGAGGGACCACACTCCTGGAGCTACCTTGCCAGAGTCCTGAAGGACACTTCTGCCCTCAGCACCTCACCCTGACCCCTTGACCCCTTGCCTGCAATGAGCCTTGTTATTCTAGGAACCAGCTGCCTCTCTGCTCCAGGCTGCAGAGAGGCGATCTAGGCCTCCCAGCCAGCAGGGAGGGTCCTGAACTAAATGGGCCAGATGAGCTGTATTTCCAAGTGCTGCTGACCCTGCGCTAACTCCTTGACATTGCTTCCTCAGGCTGAGGGGACAGAAACTGATAGGCAGAATGGTCAGAGCAGAACCAGAGGAGATGAATGATGCTCCAGGAGCCCTGTAATCTCAAGTGTGTATTAGGACCTTCTGTGTACTTATTTCTGGCTGGAATAATTTATCATTGGTATTTAATAAAAAGCAGAAAATTCAATAATGTCTTATTAGAAGCAGTACCTGCCTGCCTATTAACTGGGTGTATGTTGAAAGTGAACATTCACATAGATACACACATACAAACCTCACTCCCATCCTGCTCAGTGACAAGGGTCATCTTTTTCCTGGTGGTTGTGAAGTTCATTCATTCATTTTCTGTCGGGCCAGATAATATGTGATACCACCAGCTCCAGTCCCACCACGGACGGGGGCTGAAAGCTGGGGGTGATTTAGTGTGGAGTTTGGAAAGGCTTTTGGGCAGATGATATTTCAGGAGAAATCCGAAGGGCTGCTGGGTTTAAGTTATTTGTGCTGAGAAGAGGCTGGGGCCTGTTGGACCCAGGAAAGAGCAGAAGAAACCTTAAGAGTTTGCAATACCGTGGGCAAGTCTGTCGTCCATCCTTAAATTCCCACTGTGCCTAGCCAGGCCCTTCTAGTAAACGCTCACCTGAATCAACTGTCAGGTGAAAGTTCATTCCAGTACCTTGCCAGCTCTCCCCCACTTTAAAGCTTGAGAGGCTAGGAGCAGAGCCTTGAGTCTTGAGCTTTCCTTTCTCAACTTCCTCTCAGAAGCCATGAGTCCCCAGTTAGAACCAGATGAGGAGGGAGAGGTCAGGAGTAAAGCCTGCTTCAGAGAGCTGAAGCGGGTGCCAGGGTCAGCTGGAAGTGGACAGCGGAGATTTGAGACAAAACACAGGAATTGCACGCTCTCAGCGGCGATCACGGTGCGGTGCCCAGGACGTGCGACTATTGAAGCTTGAACCCTGGACCCGGTCTGTTCCCTAAGAGCCTGGCAGTAGCGGGCGCGAATAGCGATCTCGGTGCAACGGGGCGCGCTGGCCTGCAGCATCTCGGGTCCTCGCCTAGCTACAGAGCTGCGGCGCAGCGCGGCGCCCCCCAGCGGCCACAGAGCGCGGCGCTCGGGAGGGAAGCCACCGGAAAAGGCATGTCTCGCGAGAACAAGGCCCGTATTTGAGCGCATGCGCGGTGGCTGCTAGCCTCTTTTCCGGCTACTGCTGCGGGAGGCACCATGAGGTAAGTAACGTGTAGAGTGCTATCCGCGTTCATCCTCCCCCACACACCCTCGTGGGGTGGGAGACCCTGCAGACGGAATGGGGGGGGTCTTTGCCAGTGTTTCACGGGGGGCATTTCCTGCCCGGATGGTCGGCTTGCGGGTCCGCCATTGGAGTTCGCGCCCAGACCTGGCCGACAGTAGCGGCTCTCGGGGCTCGGATCAGGTTCTGGGACCCAGAGCGTCCGACGTGGCGCCCTGAATCGTGGAGTGTGGCCCCCGCGCCGCCCTCGCCTGGAAGCCTGAGGCTTCGCGGACACGCCGGAGGTCTTGAGCGTTCGTCTTGCTTGTCTCCCGCAGCAGCAAAGTCTCCCGCGACACGCTGTACGAGGCGGTGCGCGAAGTCCTGCACGGGAACCAGCGCAAGCGCCGCAAGTAAGCGCGGGCCGGCGGGCGGGCGGGCGCCGGGGCCGGAGCCGCGGGCGGGGCGTCACTTGCTTTCTCTCCCTCAGGTTTTTGGAGACGGTGGAGCTGCAGATCAGCTTGAAGAACTATGACCCTCAAAAGGACAAGCGTTTCTCGGGCACCGTCAGGTTGGCACCGTTCCGATCCCACCCGGCCCTCAGTGCCCCCCGTGTGGGTCTCCGCCGTCGGGGCTCGCCTTGAGCCGGAGGCAGACGGGCACGGGCGCCACTGAAGCGCGCGGGTAGTTCGGACCCTTGCCTCGGGCAGGCGAGTCTGGACGGACCCCCACCCTGGGTCTTAAAACAAGAGGGGAGGCGTGGGGAGGCCTCGGCCGAGCCCGCCGGCCAGTCTGAGAAGCCAGGCTGGCTGTTGGTGACTGTGGACACGGGGTAAGGCTCAGCAGCGGCTGCGGTCCCGGACCACTCACCTGTCCTTGGACCCCGAGCTGGGCGTGACTGGTTCTGTTCCCCAAAACGCAGGCTTAAGTCCACCCCCCGCCCCAAGTTCTCTGTGTGTGTGCTGGGAGACCAGCAGCACTGTGACGAGGCGAAGGCTGTGGACATCCCCCACATGGACATCGAGGCGCTGAAGAAGCTGAACAAGAATAAGAAGCTGGTGAAGAAGCTGGGTGAGCAGGGCCGGGGTGGTGGTGTGTGGGGAATGGACCAGAGTTAGCTTGGAGCGCTGCCAAAGGGGTACCTCTGCCATTTGGGTTTTTTTAATGAAGGGGCTAGAATTATGAGCGGGATCTGCTGAGGCTAGGTAAACTGAAGTTTCCTGTGTTTGCTTGAAGATTGGATTTTGGTCAGGGGAAGAGGGCAGGCAGTGGCTCTCTAGAGAGGTCAAGTCTATTGACTTGTGAGGTGCTGATGTGTTCTGAATTGGACATTTTAGTCTTTGTCTCTATGGCCTAATGCCCCAAGACATTAGTCTCTAATGCCTTGGAGGTAGCCTGAATTTTCGGCTTGGATCCAATTGTAATTTTCCATTGCAACATGGGCTGTGGGCCAGCTGGGGCTTCTGGTACAATGTGATGTGACTATTGACTAGTAAAAAGTCCAGAGGATGGAGATAAACTAGGTTTGGGAGAGTGTTAGGAAAGACTGTCCTGCAGCTGTGGTGGAGTGTCCTGGTTGGAGGCCTATACTTGCAGTGGGTACAGATCTCTGTTTTGGAGGTCTGCCATCGAGGGCCAGTTTCTAAACATCATCTCTTTTTTACCAGCCAAGAAGTACGATGCATTTTTGGCTTCTGAGTCTCTGATCAAGCAGATCCCACGAATCCTGGGTCCAGGCCTGAATAAGGCTGGAAAGTTCCCTTCTTTGCTGACCCACAATGAGAACATGGTGGCTAAAGTTGATGAAGTAAAGTCCACCATCAAGTTCCAAATGAAGAAGGTACATCTGGTTTCCTGTGTGGTAGGGACATGTGGCTAAAGCCAGGGTGAAGGTGGCAGGGCCCTGAAGGTTATCCACATTTAGCTAAATAGGAGCCTTGGTTTGCATTTCTAAAGATACTTAGCACACATGGCCACTCACCTGTTTGGATTGGAGCTTTGCAGACAGCCCTGGTGAGACTCACCAGAGTCAGCCACTGTGCTTTAGGTGATGAGAGGGAGGTGGGCCATTTGGCGTGCAGATAGATGTGTGCCCACTCTTGTCTTTCTCTTCCATTTCTCTACCAACCTGATAACCTTCCCCTTCACGCAGGTGCTTTGCTTGGCTGTGGCTGTTGGGCACGTGAAGATGACAGATGATGAGCTTGTGTACAACATCCACTTAGCTGTCAATTTCCTGGTCTCATTGCTCAAGAAGAATTGGCAAAACGTCCGGGCTTTATATATCAAGAGCACCATGGGCAAACCCCAGCGCCTGTACTAAGGCACCGTTTAATAAATTTTAATTGCTGCCATCATCAGAGTCTGTCTGGTTGGGGGATGTGGGTACTTTGTAGCCTGTGAAGTTCCTGGCTTCCCAGTGGTAGGTGGTGATTCTGTTCATACTGCAAACCAGTTTGCCATCCCATTCACACCTGTTGGACACTTGACAACAGAACCAAACAGGCTGCTAGACAGCCCTGAGGGAGGTGTTCCCTGGGCCTCTGGCAAAGTTGTTCCTGCAATTTGATAGTAGAATGAGAGATTGGGCCTTCGTATTGGTGATCTTAACCTCAAGTCCCTTGGCATTGTGAGCCTGCATCCTGAAGCTGCTTTCCTGTATGTCAGGACTTGTATTTCTTTTTGTTTTAGCTACTATGGGGAATTAATGGGAGGTTGGCATCGAGGCTAGAGTCACGCTTTGGTATCTATTGCCTCAGTGTGCTAGAGTCCTCGAAGAGCAAATACTGACCTTATTCACTGGCTGTGACCTTTGTGGTCTAGTCAGTCACCAGGCTGGTGACACATGATTGGGATTGGGTTCCTAGATGCTTCTGGTGGGAGTGGTCCATAACCCCAGCCTGTGCAATGGAGTGATTTACTAAGACATGGAGGAAAATGGAGCTTTTGCAACACTAATCTTTCAATGTTTTTCTAGGGGTGCTTAGTCTGGGGTGGAGTCAAACTGGAAACTTTGGAGCCCTTTGCCCCCCAGGCAGTTTCTGTGACCCAGAAGTTGGGTTACAGCACCAACATTGCTGGAAAGGTGGCGTTTTTTTTTTTTTTTCTAAAAGATTTATTTATTTATACATGTACTGGGTACAGTCAGAAGCGCAGGAGGGTGAGAGACTTCACCAGAGGCAGAGCAGGCAGAAGGACCGAAGCACACTGCTGAGGGGAGCAGTGGGCGGCAGGAGAGGTCTGTGCGCCATGTGGGACCCTCCTCCAGTGGCCGGGTTGCAGCTGGGGATCGAACCGGTGCTGAAGAGGCTGTGGGCAGCTTTGCAACCCAGTGTTCAACCACTGTGCCACTGGGGAGGCCCTGGAAAAGTGGCTTTGGTCTAGGGAAGCCTGATTTTAAGATTTATTTATACAAGCACTGGGTACAGTCAAGTGCGGGAGGGTGAGAGAATTCATCAGAGCCAGAGTGGGGAACAGAACAGGCAGACTGATGAAATACACTGCTGAGGGGAGCAGTGGGTGAGACAGGAGAGGTCTGTGGTGCAAGGGGAGTGGGGGGTCCTTCGCCAGCAGCTGGGGATCGAACCAGCACTGCAGAGGCCATGGGCAGCTTCGCAGCCCAGTGCTCAACCGCTGTGCCACCAGGGGAGGCCTAAGTCTGATTTTTTATTTTAAAATACATTTATGCATGGAAGAACTGGGGTACAGTCCAGAGGTGGGGAGGGTGACAGGATTCACCAGAGACAGTGGGGAACAGACTGAAATACACTGCTGAGGGGAGCAGTGGACAAGACAGGAGAGGTCTGCTCTGCCATTTGGGTAGCTCCCTGTATGGCTGGGGAGCAAATTCACAGTGCTGTGCTTAACCCCTTGTGCCACCAGGCAGACCTAGTAATAAGCCATTGTTTATTTTTTTTAAAAAAAAGATGCATACAAGAGCTGGGGTACAGGCTAGGGGTGTAGAGGTGGGTGAGAAGATTCACCAGAGACAAGAGTGGGGAGCCGGACAGGTGGACTAACAGACACACTGCTGAGGGGAGCAGCGGGTGAGACAGGAGAGGTCTGCTGCACCATGTGGGTTGCTCCCTGGCCAGGGATTGAACTGCAGTGGCTGCTGATAGCTTCATAGTGCTGAGACAACCCCTTGTGCCACCAGGGAAGCCTCTAATAACCCATTGTTATTGGGAGTTAGCATCTAGGTTTGTCAAACTACTGATAAGTAGAGGGGCCAAGACTGGCTATAAAACTAGAACACAGTTTGAAAGGGGAAATAGTTTATGTGTAGTAAAGATGATTGGAAGTTTAGATTACCAAAATGTCCATTTAAGGTTTATTGATGCATACAAGAACTGGGGTACAGGCCAGAGGTGTGGGGCATGAGACAGTGTGGGGAATAGTGATGGTCTTAACCCCTTAGGCTACCGGAGAGGCCCTACCCTCTTTATTTATTTGAGGCATGTTTTACTTATTTATTTGTTTGTTTTTGTTTATACATGCACTGGGTACAGTCAGAAGCGCGGGAGGGTGAGAGAATGCACCAGAGCCAGAGCGGGGAGCAGAGCAGGCAGAAGGACCGAAGTACACTGCTGAGGGGAGCAGCGGGCGGCAGGAGAGGTCTGCGCGCCATGTGGGACCCTCCTCTGGTGGCCGGGGAGCAACTGGGGATCAAACCGGTGCTGCAAAGGCCGCGGGCAGCTTCACAACCCAGCGCTCAACCGCTGCGCCACCAGGGAGGCCCGCCCTCTTTATTTAAAAAAAAGATTTATGCATAAAAGACCTGGCGTGTAGGCCAGAGGTGGGGGGTGTGTGTGTGGGAGATAGAGTGGGGAGCGGAACAGGCAGACTGAAATACACTGCTGAGGGGAAGCAGTGGGTGAGACAGGAAAGGTCTGTTGTGCCATGTGGGTAGCTCCCTGTCGGGATAATGAACTCATGCCACAGTAGCTGGTGATAGCTTGATAGTGCTGAGGCTTGAACCCTTGTGCCACCAGAGAGGCCCCAAAGGCTTTAATTTTCTTTTTTTTTAAAAGACTTATTTTATACAAGAACTGGGGTACAGGTCAGAAGCGTGGGAGGGTGAGAGAATTCACCAGAGCCAGAGTGGGGAGCAGAACAGGCAGATGGACCAAAGACACTGTTGAGGGGAGCAGTGGGCGAGGCAGGAGAGGTCTGCTGCACCATGTGGGGTTCTCCCTGGCCGGCGGGGAATTGAACCGGTGCTGCAGAGGCTGTGGACAGCTTTGCAGTGTGGTGTTCAACCGCTGCACCACCAGGGAGGCCCTGGCTTTAATTTTCTTAGGGATTTTATTGAAGTTCTAGGCTCTTTGTAATCAGAAAAAGCTTAAAAAATAAGGCAGAAAAAGTGATTAGATGACTTAGAGGAATAATAGAAAAAACTAAGGTGAATACACTTTTTGCCCTGCCTCTGACCAAGGCTGCTCACAAGACACTGAAAGTACAGCAAGCAAGAGAAGATAAGGTTGAGGGCCATGAGGCTATCAAAGTCCCAGTACTTGCTAAGATGGGCCCTGATTGCTCCTCGGGTTGCCAATGGAACGCAGAGGAAAGGTCCAGGATAAAAACAAACCACCTCTGAGCCTAAGAGCAAACAGTCATTCTGTTTGTGCCAGTAGTGGTCAGGGGTGAAGTCGGTCACAGTGGAGCCAAGGATTTCAGAGGAGGTTCCTGAGACCTCAAGTGGGTTTACAGTGATTTGTTGTGCACATGCCTACCTGTGGGATTACCTGTGAGCTGAGCCCCCAGTGCCACCCCTCCCCACCCCTGCACTGCTTGAGTGGGAATCCCAGACCCGCACTGAGCTCTGGGAGCCAGTTGAATGGTCTGTTAACCTCACTAAACCTTGTTTTCTCATCTGAAAGTGCAGATGGTGCTAGTATTTGCAGCAGATGGTAGTGCCTACTTAAAAGGATTGTTTTTGCACAGTGCAAGGCACGCAGTACTCAAACAGCGGTTGTAAATGGTGATTACATACGGCTACCTGTCCTGCTGTAGGCACACCTCCCGACTGTTGCGGGGTCAGTGCCAGATCACTACAGTGGAGACTCAAAATCAAACAAGGGATTATGCTCAGTGAAATGTCAGAAGGAAAAAGAAAAATATCGGATGGTTTCACTTAGGGGAGGAATATAAGGGAATCAAATAAGGGATCAGGGGGAAAAAAAACAGTAAAAATAAAAGGAAAACTAGCAGGCAACTATAAATCAGACATTCTACAGGGAAGGGAAGAGCACAAGGGACTATGGTGATGGTTCACAGGCGATCTGGTGGTGGGAATTCTGAGTACTACACTTGAGAGGAGGAAGCAAACAGTGTCCAAAAAATGAACAATGAGGGCTTCCCTGGTGGCGCAAGGGGTTAAGCACTGCAGTATAAACTTACCCGCAGACTCTGCAGTACGAGTTCGATCCCCGGCTGGCCAGGGAGCAACCCACAGCAGACCTCTCCTGTCTCACCTGCTGCTCCCCTCAGCAGTGTACTTCGGTCAATCTGCCTGTTCTGTTCCCCACTCTGTCTCTGGTGAATCTTCTTACCCCCCTGTATCTCTGGCCCGTACCCCAGCTCTTGTATGCATAAATAAATAAATCTTAAAATCTTTTTAATAAATTAATATTTATACCATACTACATTAATATGGGATGGTGTTATAACAATGCACATAGTTTAAAAATACTTTTTCTGGGCTCCTTTGGTGGCCTAGGGATTAAGTCTCATGGTTATCACCTTGCTGGTCTGCATTCGATCCCCGGCCAGGGAGCGGACCCATATGGCAGCACAGCAGACCTCTCCTGCCTATCCCACTGCTCCCCTCAGCAGTATATTTCAGGAGATCTGCCTGATCTGCTCCCCACCCTGTCTCTGGTGACCCCTCTCATCTCCTGCACCTGTGGCCTACACCCCAGTTCTACAAAATAAATAAAAATAATAATTAAAAATAATAAATACTGATCAACAAAAAACTATGAACCAGAGACACACTATGGGGAAGGGTCGGGGAAAGGAGGGTTTGGGGTCAAAATAAGGGGGTTGTAATTGTATGGGGAATATAAAAATAAAATAAAATAATAATAATAAATACTTTTTCACTAATGGTAACCCTCATCTGAGCTGTTGGAAAATGGCTCTGATAGATTTGCTGGTCTCAGGGTGGCCACAAGTCTTTGGTTTGTAGAATGTGCAGTATCAGTGGGTATACTTGTACCCAAATACCTGTCTGGCTCAACCTGGGAATTTTTTTTTTTAAAGATTTATTTATGCATACAAGAACTGGGGTGTAAGCCAGAGGTGCGGGGTGGGGGGTGGCGAGAGGACTCACCAGAGACAGAGTGGGGAGCAGAACAGGAAGACTGACTAAAATACACTGCTGAGGGGAGCAGCAGGCGAGGCAGGAGAGGTCTGCTCCACCATGTGGGTTGCTCCCTGGCTGGCCAGGGATCGAACTCATGCTGCAGTGACTGGTGATAGCTTGATAGTGCTGTCTTTAACCCCTGCAACACCAGGGAGGCCCCTGGGAATGGATTTTTGTGAATCTTGGGGAATGACTGATTCCATTCAGATCAGTCCCTCTCGGTCGGCTGCAGGCAGTCCTACGGTCCTGTCATCGACTGCTGGTGAATGGAGAGAGCCTTGGCCTTCAAAATCAGTCACACCCGTGTGTTCGAAATGAGCAAGGAAAAATAGTTTTGGAAACGCTAAGGCAAAGTGAATGAGTGTGTTTTAGAAATACTTGGGAACTTGGAGTCTTTCTGGGTTATTGAGTTGAATCAACCAAATTTAAATCAAACCCACTCCATTTTATAAATCCATTAAGCTTTCTGTATCCAAACCAACAAACCAAATTTAAAGAAACGCTGCTTTCTACTGGGCTCTGGGGAGTCTGTTTAGAGCCATGGGGCCTGCCTTCCAAGAGGCCACAGCACCAGAATGAAGAGAAAAGAAAGGCGTAGCCAGCAGAAAGAAAAGGTAGAGAACATGTGTGTAGACTGACCAAGGCGATTATAAATGAGGGTTGAGCTATTTTAATCAATCCCGGCTTCTAGGCTGAGTAGTTAAAGCTTAATGTGCACCTGCATTGGAGTTCAGGGTTCAGCTATCTGGGGACCCTAGTTCTCTGGCATTTGTGCTGCAGAGAAATAAACCCCCCATCATGTGAAACCCCAGGGCAGTGCCCAGACCATAACTTTGACAAAAGATTACTTTTCTCCCTCTTCCAGGGGAACGTGAGGACCGACGATCAGAGACTGCAAAGACCACAGGCCACTCTTTGGTCTCAGTCTCCCAGCCCTTTACAGCTTCCCCAGACCCTGAGCAGGGCACAGTCACTTCCGGGAGAGTCTGGGCCTACCTTGTTCTGGCTCTTTCCCTACAATACTTTGGAACCTTGACAATAGTCATCATCCACCTCTAGATCTGTTGCATTTGTGGGGCTTGTGAGGGAGAGGTGTGTGTGTGTGTGTGTGTGTGTGTGTGTGTGAGAGAGAGAGAGAGAGAAAGAGAGAGAGAGGGAGGGAGGGAGACCCCCTTCCTCAGTTTTCTCCATGAGAAGCCTATTCTAAAAGAAATTACCTGGGGCCTCCCCGGTGGCTGTGGCGGTGGAGCAGCAATTGAGCACTGGGTTGCAAAGCTGCCCGCAGCCTTTGCAGTGCTGGTTTGATGCCCGGCTGCTCCCCGGCCGCGGAGGAGGGTCCCACATGGCGCACAGACCTCTCCTGCCGCCCGCTGCTCCCCTCAGCAGTGTGCTTCGGTCCTTCTGCCTGCTCTGCTCCCCGCTCTGGCTCTGGTGAATTCTCTCACCCTCCCACGCTTCTGACTGTACCCAGTGCTTGTATAAATAAATAAATAAATCTTTATAGATAAGTAAATTAAAATAATATAAATTACCTGAAGACTGTTTAGTACAGGATAGTGAAGGCAGCACACCATTTGATGAGGCTTCAAACCCCATTACAGCTATTACATATTACAGCAGAGACCGGATTTATATCCAGCCTGGCAGATTGTGGGTCTTTGTAAACCAATTTCTGCCTCCAGAACTTCTCCCGCTTGACTGAGGCTCCAGGCAGGATGCCTCTCTTCACCCTGCAAGTGACAATCTATGCTCCCTCCAAAGTGGTAGAAAGACAAAAAGCCACCTGGTTATTTAAGTAGTATAGTGAGCATATGGACTTGGAGTTACGTAGACCAGATTCAAATCTTGTGTCACCACTGACTGAATGAGACCATTTAACCTCAACCTCTTTTCCCATTTGTAAAATTGGAGGTTGGACCAGAATGATCTAGAATATTCTAGATTCTTGAGTACGGTTGCCAAACACAGCAAATGAAAACACACCCAGATATATTTAAATTTGAGATAAACAATGCATTTTTTGGTATAACATGGCACTTAAATCTTAAAATATAGTCATTGTTTATCTGAAATTGACTTAATTGGGCAGCCTGCATTTTAGTTAACTTCATGAATCTCCTCTCACTGAACATTTTTTTTTTTTTAAGATTTATTTATTTATGCATACAAGAGCTGGGGTACAGGCCAGAGGTGTGGGGGGTGAGGATTCACCAGAGACGGAGTGGGGAACAGAACAGGCAGACTGACTGAAATACACTGCTGAGGGAGCAGCGAGCGAGACAGGAGAGGTCTGCTGTGCCATGTGGGTTGCTCCCTGGCTGGCCGGGGGATCGAACTTGCGCTGCAGTGGCTACGGACAGATTCATAGGTTGCGTCTTAACCCCTTGTGCCACCAGGGAGGCCCTCACTTAACATTCTAAACTCAGTTCTGTTGTCATAGTTCTTTAGGCCCAAATGTTCAGTCCATTACTGAACAAGTCCAGTTAATTCATCCACAACTGAGGGAAAAAAGGCTGAAGTAGCCTCCATGGGGACAATCTCCCTTGAGGACACTGCCTTCACTCTGTGGCCCCTGCCTTGTGAGTGCAGGGGGTAAGGGTAGGGTGGGCTCAGCCAGGAAAGGGCTTTTCCAGGCAGGTGGGAGCAGGTTGGAACCTCATTTCCCCTGGATAGACACCCCCATGGCAGAGCACTCAGTGTCCATGAGCCTCTCATCCATGTGAGTGTGGTGGGGATTTGGCAGCTGGGTGACCATGGGTAAGTCATTTCATTTAGAGAGACAATGCAGCATAAAGAGGCTAGGCCAGGACCTCCCTGATGGCGCAAGGAGTTAAGATCAGCACTTTGAAGCTATCTGCAGCACAAGTTCCATCCCTAGCTGGCCAGGGAGCTACCCACATGGTGCAACAGACCCCTCCTGACTTGCTCCCCTCAGCAATGTATTTCCATAGATCTGCCTGTTCTGTTCCCCACTCTGTCTATGGTGAATCCTCTCACCCCCTGCACCTCTGACCTGTACCCCAGCTCTTGTATGCATAAATAAATAAATCTTTTTTAAAAAAAGAGGCTAGGCCAGTGCTGGGCATATTCAAGGCTCTACTCACAGCTAGAGGAGGTGGGATAAAGGTTGGGGTTGGCAAAATTTTCACAGGTCCTTTGAATCATACCTATTTAGAGGGTGGGTAGGGTTTGGGGTCCCCTGGCAGAGATAGAGTGGGATTGGGTGAAACACCAGGACCTAGAATGAGTGTCTACCTGCAGCTGCTCCGACCGGAGGTCTGACACACAGTTGGCGCACAAATGACCCACAAACAAATAACTTTAATTTTTTTTCCCCTTGAGCAGGAGCCGGGCCTTGGGGGCCCCCGCCCAGCCACGTGCCACATTTATGATATAACCCATCACAGCTGGATTTAAAAAATACACAAAAAATATATAATATACATTATAAAACCTAGGTCGGGACTGGAGGTGGCCTGAGCGATATGCAAACTGTGAGGACCTTCAGGAAGCTCAGGGGTGAGGCGGGGCGGGAGGGAAGGGAGGAAGGAAAGGAGGGGGCACAGTACTTCATATGAAACTCATAAATATCCAGAGGCGGCTGGGGGGCAGGCCGAGCCCGTTGAAGGGCCTAGGTGTCGGGAAGGATAACCTTCAGCACCAGAGCTGGGTGCGGGGAGCTGCTGCTTCAGCCCAGGGAGACCAAGGAGGGCCACTGTTCTCACAGGCTGGGACTCGGACTCCCTCCTGGCCATCCGGCCTATTTCTGAGCCGGGGTCTGCCCGGGGCCTTCTCCCATCTGGAGGGGGCTGGGTGGCTTGGCACCCAATCTGGGCAGTTTGGAGGGGGCTCCTGAGGGTCTCTCTGAGGGTCTCTCCTGAGGGTCTCTGGACTGCAGGCAGACAGAGGGCACCTACCAGGTACTGAGTACCTGCTACCCGCTTTCCTGCCTGGTAGAAACAGCTACTCCCCGGTGTCGGGGTCCCCAGCCAGCTGGCCCCAGGAAAGCTCTGCTCTTCACTGCATCATGGTTGTCTTTGCTTCTGCCCTCACAGCGGACTCTCTCCCGCTGCGGCCAGCCCTCACTCCAGGAAATTCGAGAAAACATGGGCCCTGGGCCCTGAGTGAGCACTCCAGCTTCACCCAGCCCTCCCGTGGGTCCCTCAACTTCTTGGAGCTCCAGCACCTCATCTTGAGACACCAAGGGTCTTGAGACACCAAGACCCACACTTGCTTTGTAGGATCTGAGGGTGGCAAGAGTCACGCAGGGGCCTGGCACCAGGCCTGGCACACAGTAGGTGCAAAGGAAGTGTGGGCCCCTCTCCTCAACTCAACCTCAACTTGAACTTTTCTTCTGGGGAGTCTCTGAATTCGGACTCCCTCAGTTTCCATTCTACCTTCACCCACCCGGCACACCCCTGGGGGGGCCAGTGGCCACACACTTCAGAACCAGAAGGTGTCCTCCCATCTGGTCATGGCTGGGCAGAGCTGGGTGGGGCTGCTTCCTTGCCCCAGGCAGGCTACCCCACCGCCGAGGCCTCCTCTCCTCTCCCACAAATAAAGCGCAGAACAGTGGCAGGGAGTGTGTGTGCTGGGGGTAGGTGGGGAGGCCTCCTGGGTCCTGGGCCTGAGGCCTGGCAGGCAGATGAGTCCTCCATCCTGGACCCCCTGGGGGCGCCAGGCAGGCGTGTGGAAAAGATGCTCATCCTGGATCCTGGTGGGGCAGAGGGCGCCCTAGTCTTTGACCAGCTTGTAGACGTGGTGCTGGGCCCCATGCTCACTGGTGGAGACTTCGAAGACGAAAGCGATGACGAGTAGGGTCTCCTGGGAGTCCCGGCTTGTAACCACCTGGGGGTTGGGTAGGAAAATTTGGGAGGTCAGGCCACATGGGGACCTGGGGCTGAGCAGATCTTTCTCCTTGCTAGGTCTGTCTCCTCTGAGCCGTGGGGCTGGCCCTTCCCATGTAGAGGCCCCCACAAGCCTGCTCCACACCCCCCCACACACACACCTGCAGGATGGTGAAGTTCTCCAGGACACTGTTCATCATGTACTTCTCGGGCAGGTGCTTCAGCTTGTGGATGAAGTTGATCATGTACTCGCACATGGGGGAGCGGTGGATGCGGTACACGAAGCGCCCGTTCTCCAGCCTGGCGTACTCGGTCTGCGGAGCCCAGGCCGGGGTCAGTGCACATGCCTGCTCCCCCCGCCACGCCACCCGCCGGCCCTCACTCACCTCCACCTTCTCCACCACCTGCTTGCCAAAGGAGCACACCTTGGTGGAGACACTGATGGTCATGCTATCCGCCGAGCTGTACTGGGAGCTGACCCCATAGAAGGCTCCGGGGCCCTCTTGGATGGTGCTGTTGAGGTCAGCCTGGGGGGGGGGGGTGTCAGGGGTGGGGCTTAGATGCGGGCAGAGGCCAGAGCAAGACTTTCTTTTATGTCACATCAGAGTCCCACCCAAGGACCCATCTCTGGCACCTTGCCACAGGCCACAGGGAGGAGGCAGGGTCAGGGGTCAGTGGGGTGGGCCTGGGTATACTGTACCTCTGGGGAGGGGTGTAGGGGCAGGGAGGGACCCCGGCAGCTCACCCAGAACTTGACCAGGAAGAAGGCATTAGGGGGCCCCTTCTCATAGAGCTCCTTCAGTCCACCCTTTTTCTCTGGGAACTTGTCATAGATCTGCCGTACGTCAACTGCCTCGAGGGGCGGGTCTGAGAAGGCGGGGTTCGTCTGGCCGATGTGCACAAAGAGGTGTTTGCTGTACTGTGGGGAGGGCCCAGGACAGGGTCAGGAGGCCACCAGCTGTGCTGGCCTGGGAGGCTGCCCAGGGACAGAGAGCAGCTTGGGGTTTCCTCGCCCCACGGCTCTGGACCAGGACCTTCTCCTCCCCAGGGCGTCTCCGCGGCTGTACAACCGCCTCCACCCCACGTTACCGTGTCAGGGTCTCGCTGCACCTCCATGAAGGCGGAATACTCGAGGAGGCGCAGCCGGGAGGAGGCGATGGTGCGGTCCTGCCACACAGGCGCAGAGGCGGCAGCTGAGGGGAGCGGGGCCAGGGGCTCGTAACCTGGGAGGAGGAGACGGCCCGCGTCTACATGGGCACGTGTGTGGTTACGAAGCTCCGCCCCAGCCTGCCCGGGGCCTTGATGTAGATCATCAGTGGGGCTGGCTTTAGACTCCCTTCCCAGGTATTCTGGCAGTGCCCAGCCTGCACCCCCATGGCCACGCAGTATAGGCAGGATAGACCTCACTGAGTTTTTCCCTAGGTCACTATCTCTGTGTGTTCCAGCAGAAAATACAGAGAAATTAAAAAGGAAAAAGAAATATTAGAGTTCTACCACCAAAATTTAAGTTCTTTAAGAGGAAATCTGGGGCGCCCCTGGTGGCGCAGGGGTTAAAGACAGTGCTATCAAGCTATGGCCAGCCACTGTGGCATGAGTTCAATCCCCGGCCAGGGAGGTGACCCACACGGCACAGCTGCTCCCCTCAGCAGTGCATTTCCGTCAACCCTCCTGTTCTGCTCCCCACTCTGTCTCTGGTGAATCCTCTCATCTCCCCCACCTCTGGCCTACACCCCAGTTCTTGTATGCATAAATAAATAAATCTTAAGAAAAAAAAGATGAAATCTGTTAAGATGCTATTGTATTTCCTTGTAAGGAATTTTCTACCCACTGAGCCATATCAATGTAATACCTTTGGTGGTGTGTACTTGCACCAGAGTTCTGGAAACCACACTATAAATGACAAAGGGCTTATTCCTGGCCCATCCCACTTCTCCTTCCCAGTGCAAATGCACACACACAGGCACTCACACACACAGTGGGCCCCCGAGCAGACGTGCAGGGACCAAGGAGGGAGAGGGGGTGGCGATGTGGGGTACTTACTGCTGAGTGCTGGCGGCAGGGGCGGCTGGATGGGGTAAGCTGGCTGTGCAAAGGGCTTGATGCTGCAGACAAGAGGACAGCCTGGTTAGAGTCACCCCCTTCCCCACCTTCCACCTGGCCCAGTCGCTTTGGGTCTCAGGTGAGACCCTGATGGGGAGCCAGCCACTGGGCTTTTTCCGCAGAGGCCCAGAAATGCATGCTGACAAGCTAACTCAGGAGCTTTCTGTTTTCGTCCCATTTTAGCTTTTATCCTGCTGCATCTCACAGTTGATGTGCACATTTAATGTAGCATTTCAACCCCACCCTGAAGAGTTGTTCATTCAACGGAAGGTGTGCTTACGACCAAAGTCATCTCAGAATTGAAGGATCCAACTGTACTTGACTACCTGACTTGTTGACTGAGAGATTGACTCAGAGATTAACTGAGTGGAAAATAAACGAAGGACGGATGACAAGGAGATGAGTGGGTTGCTGAATGAATAAACACATGAATGAACAGACACATGCGTTAGCTCTTACGGCACTCTCCATGCCTGTTTTTGAATTAAAACTATGCTGAGCTCTTGCCAGAAAGCACATGGGAGGGGATGTCCTTCAAGGCTGCCAGGGGAAAACAGGGGGTGTGGGGCGGAGGCACCAACATACTCACTCCTGAGAGGGTCCAGGCTGCTGTCCCAGGAGAGGGGGGCTGCTCCAGAACTGCAGAGATGGCACAAAGCCCAAGGGCCCCTCAGTATCCACGATCCCCACCACGGCACTCCCTCACCCCAGTGCCACCTCCCAGGGCCCCTGTACCCGTGAGGAGGTGGAGAAGACGGCCTGGGGCAGAGGGGAGGGTGGGCTGAACTTGTTCTGTAGGACGCTGGCAGAGACGATCTGGGCAGAGGACATGGACGCCATGCTCTGGAGGGCTTTGTCCTTGGACACCTGGTCCTGTGGGAGGCAGGGGCCATGTGAGGATGGGGCCAGGCGGAAATAGGACCCCCCGCGCCCCCAGGCCCTCAGAGCTCTGCACTTCCAGGTCTGGATTCTAGCGCAGCTCCACTGTGTGGGCGCAGGGGCCTCTGTTTCCCAGGTGGACATCACCCCTCCCGTCATAGCTGGGCAGGGTCAGGCCAGGTGGCAGGGAACCCCACACCTTCAACTTGGACCGACTCTTCCCTAACCCAGTATATATCGTGTGTCATGCACTCTCCTATTTTCTATGCTGTTTCCTCGGTGGTTTTCAAACTAAGGTCTATGGACCAACAGCACCAGCTTCACCTGGAAGCTTGTTAGAAATGTAAATTCTCAGGCCCCAGCCCAGACCTACTGAACCTCTGGGGTGAGTCCCGGAAATCTGTCTTCACAAACCCTCCAGGAGATCCTGGTGCATGCTCACGTTTGCAAACCATATATTTCACTTTTTAAAAATGCTGTTTGCAATCCTATTACATTTATGTCACAAACCAGATTTTGAAAACCCTGTATCAGGTGTCTTTCCTACCATCTTCTTTCCAGACCCAGACTTCCCCCCCTTTTTCCCAATGGGAGGGCAGGGCTACTTACCAGGTTCATGGCCTGTGAAGAAGAGGGAGGAGGGTTAGAAGAGACACAATCAGGGCTAGATGGGGGGGTGGGGGGGACATGTTTTCATTCCCTTCCACTCCCCATCTACTGACTGGGCTCTAAGCCAATGAGGCCAGGAAAGCTCAAAGGCAGTTGTGGTCCTCATCCTGCACCCCACTCCCACCCAGAGGGAATGCTGCCACTGAGGCTGTCCCGGAAAGGGCAAGGCAAGGGCGCACAGGCTGGACGGTGGGCCAAGATGGTGCCCTGGCATGAGCCCATGTCCTCCGGGGCTGTGCTACAGGCATAGGGTACTGGCGAGGACAAGACAATGCAGCCCTTAAGGGGCTCTGACAGAAGCCCCGGCCATGAACCCCAAGTTTTGAGACCCAAAGCTGTAGCTCCGCCAAGACTGAAAGTGTGATGCAAGGAATTGCCATGCCCACCACAACAGCTCTGGCAGCCAATACCCCGCATGGCTCCTCCCTGCCCGCCTGAAGTCCCAAGCAACCAGCAAGCAGCACTGAGGAAGAAGGAGAAAAAGGAAACCGCAGAAGAAGAGGGGCTCTTCCTCTCCCCCATCATAGGGCCGCTGAGCCCTCCGGCTCCAGCATTGTCTGCAGGGGCATGGCCCTGTGTAACCTGAAGTAATCTTCGGGTTCCTCGCTGCCCCTGTGTTTCTAAGACACCCCCTACCCCCAGCAGCCCCCACTGCCAGAGCTCCTCAGGCCTTCTCCCTGCCCCAGGCTGGGGTCAGAGACTAGTAATAGGTCTGGGCCTGGCAGGAGCTGGGCAGGTTCAGGCCAAGTGGCAGGGAACCCCATACCTTCAACTTGGACTGAATCTCTCGAGATTTCCGCCTGGCTAGAACCTGCAAGTGGCTAGAGACCTGTAGAGAGAGAGAGAGAGAGAGAAAGAGAAAAAGAGTAGAAAGAGCAAAAGAGGCAAGAATAGAGCTTCAAGGGTCAGAAGAAAGGCACAGGGGGGCCAGAGAGCTGGCCAAGGCAGAGGCCTGAGCTGTGCAGAGATAGCAGTGGAGGCGCCGAGGGTGAGGGGCTGAGGAGGGGCTGGAGGCCCCAGTCAGGCACCCAACATACCTTGATGCCAACCTGGTACTCCCGCACCTTCTTCCGAGCTAGAACCTGTATGTGGCTGGACACCTAGGGGCCGCCCCGCGCCCCGCCACAGAGGAAAACATAGACAGTGAGGAGGCACGGCATGGCGCCATGGGCAAGGAGAAGCTCAGCCCTCATCTCTGGGACCAAATGTCAGTGGGATGTGGAACTTTTGTGGGAAGATACCCCTCTCTCTTGCCGGTTCTGCTCTCTTTTGGCCCTGCTTGATCAAGATTCTACAGTGGGGCCTCCCTGGTGTGCAAGGGGTTAAGCACAGCACTATGGAGCTATCTGACGCCCCTGCAGCACAAGTTTGATCTCCGGCCAGGGAGGTGACCCACATGGCGCAGCAGACCTCTCCTGACTCACCCGCTGCTCCCCTCAGCAGTGTTTTTCAGTCTGCTTGTTCTGCTCCCTACTCTGTCTCTGGTGAATCCTCTCACCACCACCCCCAAAATCTGGCCTGTGCCCCAGTTCTTGTATGCATAAATAAATCTTAAAAAAAAAGAACCTACAGTGGCTTCCAGGACTACCATGTACAGTTGTGTATGTGGTGGTTCACTGCACAAGAGCACTTGGCCCAGTGTGGGCTGAATCCCAGCCTAAGTTCTGTGGCCAAGTCATGTGCCCTGGTACGGGGCTGCTTCTCACCAGTAGAAGAGTCTCTTGTTTTTTCAAAAACAAGTCACTTTTTCTCACTAGCGTCCTCAGAGGAGATGTCTTGCTCTAACTGGCACCACAGAGGACCACCACACTTGTGCTGGTCATCAGATTATATAGCAGGGCTGTGGCCTATTCGAAAGATCTTCCCCCGAACCACTCCTCAAGTCTTCCTCAACAGTTCGCCCACCTGAAAAAGCAGGTCTGCTCCTATTTCCACTTTGCTCACACAGCTTCTCCCTCAACATGCCTCCCTTCTCCTTGACTCGTATCTGCCAGTGTATATAAGACCCAGCGGGTGCTCTGCAGTGTGTTCCTTCTCCAGCACCTCCTCCCTGAAGCCTCCCTCTCCTGGAAACCCTGAGTTAATCATGAGGATGTGCGTGTCCCTGTGTGATGGTGTCAAGGATCTGACCCGAGCCTCGGAGAATCCAAAAGCCACCCTTCTCCCACGAAACACAACCAAACATATGGTGTCTCTAGATGCTCCAGACTTTCACACAGCTCTTGGCTCTCCTTTGTAAGTTTCCCACAACAGTTTTTCTTTTTAATGAAGGCCTGAAAACTGTTTTGTATGCGATGCTGGGCAGTCCCCATACTACTGGCTAGGACTCAGGGGTGCTCCTCACCTGCCTCCCCACCCACAGGAACCCAGTACACATCAGTGAGACCACTGGTCACTTTTTGTCTTGATAATAACTGACCTCTGCAGAGCACAGCTGCTACCGTTCTCAGCACTGTACACACACCCACTCATCTGCTCTTTACAGAGCAGATTTACAGATGATCAAACCAAAGCACAGAGAGGGTAAGCAGCTTATCCAGGGTCACACAGCTGGAGGCTAGCACCGGGATTCACATCCAGATGGTCTGACTCCAGAGCCCACTTGCTCCACTGCTAAGTGATGCTACCTGGACCCTCTTAGCACGGAGCCACCTCCAAATGATCAGAAGCGACAGCCAAAAGTCACATGGGACTCAACCCCAACGTAATATTTAGCTTTTTTGCCAATATGGAGGCACTGTACTTGCTATTAACCTCTGTGTGTTCTAATAAAAAATTGCCTATAAAAAATAAAAACAACTAAAAAGCCCTTGCCTGCCAGCTGGCTGCTCTTCGCAACACATAAAGACATGTAGGATGGGTTCCCTTTTTAGGAGAGATTAGATATCAGAATTGTTAGAGGGAATAAAATTAGAGTCCCACTCTTGCAAAAGGATGATGGTCAGTGTTTTTATAAAATTCTGAGTTTGCCAACAGCCGTTTTGTAAAACCTCACGGGACAGCCATCCTTCTCAGGACCCCTGGCCAGCCGCAGGGAATGCTGGGCGCAGAATGAAGAGGCTTGGCTACCCACCAGGGCCTCAAGTCCAAGTGAGGATCCCCCAGGCACTTCCTGCTCTGATGAACAGGTCTCTAGAGACACATCTTTTGGGTAATCAGGACACCCACAGGGTAGGACCTGCCCTTCTCCTGGGCCTGGGATGATTTCTGTGTCTGCCCACAGAGCAGTAGCAGCAAATTCTTATGTGGGCACACACTCTGTTCTAAGTGCCTTCAGCATTAACTAATTTAATGGCCAAGGAACACAGGCTGGGAGGTGCCGCCGCCCCACCCCTACCCCCACTCTGGTAATGGAGCCGCCATTGGAACCCAGGGGTCTGATCGGGTCGAATTCTTCCTGTAGGTTCCAGGAAACAGGACCCTGTCTGTCTGGTTCCTTGCTGTATCCCTGCTGCCTAGAGCATAGTAGTAGCTCAATAATTTGCTAAATGAATAACTGCTGTGCAACCTGAACTGGCCCAGGAAGGGTGGTTAAAAAATGCTTGAACAGGGCCTCCCCAGTGGCGCAGCGGTTGAGCGCTGGGTTGCGAAGCTGCCCGCAGCCTCTGCTGCGCGGATACGGCCACCGGAGGAGGGTCCCACATGGCGCGCAGACCTCTCCTGCCCGCTGCTCCCCTCAGCAGTGTACTTCGGTCCTTCTGCCTGCTCTGCTCCCCGCTCTGGCTCTGGTGAATTCTCTCACCCTCCCGCGCTTCTGACTGTACCCAGTGTGTGTATAAATAAATAAACAAATAAATCTTTAAAAAAAAAAATGCTTGAACAAATGAAGGAGGATTTGGATTTCTGCTCCCACACTGGGTGGGGGGGGGCCCAGAACCTTCCTTTGAGACAGTGGGTGGGGTGGGGCAGGCTTGCCATTTGCACAGGCTGGAGTCTGGGGAAGTGGGTGCAAGGTCCAAATCCCACCAGACAGACAGGCTGGGAGGGCTGAGGGTCACAGCTGGCCCCTGTGTCTCCAGCCTGCCTCTCTCCCAGGCACCCCCATGCGAACCCTCCCAACATGCACCCCTTCAGGCTTCCTGTCACTACCACCCTCCCGGACAGGAAACCACCCCATCATTTCTCAAATCATTCCTCTCCACCCCCACCACTACTACCCTCACCTTGGCCACTGCCCAGGCTACCAGTGCTGTTGTTCTAGGCCCTGTCTTCGCCTGGCCCCTCAGCTCCAGGGCCAGCATTCCTAGACAGCTGCCACCTATACTCCCTGTGCCATTCCCTCCCAGGGTCCTGGCTGCCCCAGGGGAACCTAGTCTCTCAAGCCTCCAGGGAAATCACTCCCGCCCTGGGCTTTCCCACCCCCTCCCCTACTGCTGACTTTCCCGCTGGGTGGCTGGGATCCTGGACCCACCAGCTGCCATCCCTGTGACCTTGAGAAAGTTGTTTCACTTCCCTATACCTTGGCTTCCTTATCTGTAAAATGGAGCTAATTACTGTACCTACCTCATAAGGTTGATGTGAGGATTAAAATAAATTAATATAAAGTGAGCTCTGTTTGGGTTCACAACTATTATTTGTATAACTAACTTCCTCAGTCTGGAAGAATCCTCTCCCTTTTTTTCTGCCTGGGGGAAATCTAATTCCTTCTTAAAAACGTATCTCCTCCAGGAAGCCTTCCCAGCCTACCTACCCTCCTCTCTTCCCTGCCTCGTCCAAGTTTACTGTTTTTCTGACAGCGCCCCCCACACACTCCCTATTTCGGTCACACCGATCTGCTTTGCACTTGCCCATCTGTCTCCCTGACTGGCTGGTGGGCCACAGTGAGCACCAGCTGCTGCCAGGGGGCTTATCTGTGGTCACTGAACCAAAGGCTGGTGTGGGGGTGGCCTGAGACAGTGCTCCATCTCTAGGACAGAGGGACAGTATCTCCAAGAGAAGTGGGGGAGCCATGGAGCCGCTTGTGGGGTGTGGAGTCACCCGGAGAGGGAGTGGGTGGTGGGAGGTCCATGGGGTGCTACTGAGGAGGGGGCAGGGCCCGGGGAGAGCTCTGGACAGGAAGGGGCTAGGGAGCAGCTGAGAGTGTGTGGGCAGAGGGGCCGCAGCATAAATCGTCTCTTTACCTGTTTTCTCGTCCGAGTCTTCCCCGTCCTCAATTTAATATATCGTGCGATCAACTCATTTCGGCCTAGATTGGGGTGAGAAAAAAAAAAAGAGGAGTGGGCAAATGGCAAACGGAGGGGTCGGTGGCTGGAAGGCCCCACCGGGGTAAGCCATACCTCCCCACCCGTTCACTCCGACCCTCCTTCCTCAGGGGCACAAGCAGGGCAGCAAATGGGGGCAGGAGCATCCCTGGCACTCCCCCCCCCACCTCCAGGAACTGGGGGCTGCTCTTTGGGGTGGGGGAAGTAGGGGACCCGCAATGTGGGAGAGAGGGCAGAACCAAGTCAGGCCTGACAGGTTCCCCTGCAGACAGACAGGGGCAGGTGTGGGAGGCCAGCAGGCCAGCCGCCCGCCCAGCAGCGCTTCCGTCCTCCCTCCCTGTGTTGTCACCGGCTCCAGAGCTCTGAGCGCAGATATCTGTGCTTGAGTGCGGCCTGCCCCAACTGGCAGATATCTCGGCACAGGGTCCCCAGGTGTGTCTGGAAGGTTTTGGGCCAAGTTCCTGTCCTTTCTGTCCTTGCCATGGAGGAGACCCTGGACAAGCCCCTTCCTTTTTTCTGGGGAAAGGGGCAGGAGGGAACGCGTGACCTCTAACACGCTTCCTACACTGACAACCTGCTTCAAAATAGTTACTATGTCCTTGTGCCGGTCACCCCTACGTCACCAGCTACCAGGGCCTCTCACGCCCTGTGAGAGCCCAGCTGCTGCTGTTTGGGAGGTTGGGGGGGTGTCTGCTCACAGACCTTCTGAAGGCCCAGAAGCTGCCTAGTGTTCAGAGGGTTTGGCCCCAGGAAAGGGGTGCTTAGGACACATGACAAAGCATATGTCAGCATCCTCAGGGTGTACATCTCTTACCCTCGCAAATCTAGGTCCCCTGCTCCCCCAACCCCATAACCTCCTCAGAATGGGCCACATTCTCCAAATTCTTCTTCAATGACAGAACCAGTCTCGCTGCTCCTCCCTTCCCGCCGGCCCCTTTCCACCCCATTCCCTCCGCCCTGTCTAAAAATACCCTTTGGGGCTGCCCCAGTCATTTGGGAGGTAGCAGCGGGCACAGGCACCCCCAGCCCTATGGAAGGTGCCCTGGAACTTCTGCTTGCCTGGGAGTAGGGCTCAGGGGCTGGGGTGGGCGTGGCAAAGTGGGTGGGGCCAGGGACTTGGGCAGCCCTTACACGTGGCCCAGCTGCCTCCTTCCTGCACCAGCCAGGGTACTGGAACCTGGGAGGAGACAGGCCGAGGGCCTGTCTCACTCAGCCATAGGGAGGATCTGGAGGGAGCTGGCAAGGAGCCAGGGTTGAGTTATCCTGAAAATGCAGCTCTGGAAGGACTCTGGGAGAGCCCTCCTAGGGCTGGAACAAGAGGGGGACACTCCCTTCAGGAGGCAGGAGGTGGGCAAAGTGGCAAGGAGGGGCCAGAAGAGCTGTGGAGACATGGGAGAGGCCTGAGGAATGGACGAGTGTCCTCGTCTCTCTGGCACCCTTCCCCACACAGGCCCTTGTCACCCTGTGGACTCTCTGTACCCCCACGCACCCTGAAGGGAACTAATCACTGGGAGGCCCTGCTTTGCTGGACTCCCTCCTTGGACTTCCCCACCGCCTCCCAGGAGAGGGACCCTCTCCCAGACCTGGCCTGGAGCACACTGGACTGTCGACCCAGTTTTTGGGGCCTACTGAGTCACCCCGAAACCTCCTGGCCAGTAAGGGGGAGGAGAGGAGGAGCAGATGGGGGTGTCGAGGTGTGGGCGCGCTTTGGTGGAGGGGGCAAGCCTGGCTTGTTTATGAGGAGGATCCAGACGCACAGGCTCACACGCCCAGACTCGCCCCTGGCGGGCTGGCAGCACTTCGCCAAACCGGTTGGGTGAGGGGGCAGAGAGCAGGGGGAGGGGCCGGGAGGCCGCCGCCGCCTCCCCCAGTCCTGTCCAGCGTCCCGTGCCTCCCCACCTGTGCCTCCCCACACGCACCGTACATCTTGCCCTCGTCCGACAGGATGATCTTGCGGCGGCCACAGGGCGGGTAGATGGCCAGGGCCTCCTGGAAGCTCTGCTCGATGTCCGGGCTCCACACGCCCTCTGCATCGTTGTCCAGCCCCTTGTCCAGGCCCTCGGGCCCATCCTCCCGGGCCTCCCCGGGGCTGCTGCTGGCGTTCCAGCTGTTGGACGCTATTGTGCTGGTTGCTCTGGGCTCCGGGCCTGAGCCCACTGGGCAGCCTGAGCCTGGGGGACAGATACACAGGAGTTAGGACCAGGTCCTCCCAGACCACAGGTATCTGCTACCCCCAGCCGCTGGCGCTGGACTTCTGCCCCCACCCAGGGGCAGGTGCCCCAGGTGGGAGGTGGAGGTGTAACAGAGGTTATGCTTATTCAGTGGCCTGTGACCTTGGACGAGCCACCGTCCTGTGAAAGGAGAAAGGGTCTCCTTGAGGTCGAGAAGGTTAAAACTGAATGAGATCACGCCAGAATGCCAAGTGCAAGGCCTGGCTCATAACACTCAACACAGCACCGGTGGTGGTCAGTGACGACGGCAATCACGCCTCTGATCTACACAGCACTTCCGTGTGGAAGAAGCACTTTCGCATTCATTCTATTCTCAAAGCTAAAGCAAGGAGGGCAAGGGGTGACACCCATTATTCAGATGAGGAAAACTGAGGCTCAAAGGCCACACAGCTGCCAAAGGCATCAAGATGGGCAAAGAGAGGAGGCACAAGAAAGGCAGGGCCCAATGCTCTGTGGCTCTGCTGGCAGCTTCTTGGCTTGCACTCTGCCAGCTCCCCCCCGCCCCCCACAACAGGAATCTTCACTGGAGGGGACCCTGCATCCCCTGTTCTCCCCCTATAGCATCAGGACCTGCAGTGGGACAAGGAAGGTCCGAGACCCAGGAAGAGTATGGTTCTGCCTTCCCCAAATAGATAACCGACGGGAATCCTGCCAAGGAACCTAACCTGGGGCAGGAACTGCCCCAGGAATTGCAAGAAGGGAAGACGCTGGTTGGCAAGGGAGCAGTGGAGAAGGTGCCTGGCCAACAGCCTTGCTCAACCCCACTCACTCCTCCATCCCACTTCCTGTTCCCGCACCTTCTGGCCCCACAGCAGCCCATAAACCACCCACACGCCCGCCCCTGCCCTGGCCCACATCACGGATGTGTAAACTCTGAGTTCTCTGCGCACGCCAGGCTGGGTTGTTAACTTAGACCACACCCAGCCAGTGCCCCCAACATGCACATCCCCAAGGCTCACTCCAAACCCCCTTCAGCATCACAATCTGCATGCCCAATAGATATGAAGATCTTCAGAGTCTTAAGGCCCAAGATGGCTAGAGCCTGGGATCACAGGGAAAGCAGGGGCAGGGTACAGACGTGGGAAACCCACTCAGAAGTCAGAGAGGGGCATTTCCCCCCTCAGTCATGAATTCCAAGTCCTGCTGAATGGGTAGGGGTTTTCCCTGTGGGGCCACCTGTTGCTTAGGGAGGCAGGAAGGGGGGTCACCAGTGAAATGGGACCGGGAAGGCTTAGGGGGCCTGAATATCAAATGGATGTAGAGTTTAGATTTAATATTACTACTAGTGACAGCACCTGCCATTTGGCGGGTCCTGTTGTGGAATTTTATATACATTGACTCATTTAATCTTACAATCACCGATGGGGTATTAGTATTCCTACTTGACAGATGAGGAAGCCAAGGAACAGAGAGGTTAAGCAATTTGCATGAAGACACAAAGCTAGTAAGTGCTAGAGCCAGATTCTGGACCGAGCAACCTGGCTTCAGCCTCTTAAGCAGGGGGATGTGGCGGAGAAGGCCCACCACCTGCGGCAGAGAGGGGGGCCACCTGTCTGTCATGTGTGTGCCCAGTGGGGTCCAGGCCAGACCACGGGAACCTTAGCCCAAGTGGCTGGAGAAACTTCAGGGACCCAAACATTGCAAGAGCCCTTTCTGTGAGGCCTCGGAGACCACCAGGAGTAGCGCTCCCCACGCAGACAGCCAGGGGGAGGGAGTCCTGCTCCACACTCCAGAGGACACTCTTCCTCTTTCCTCCTAGCCTGTGTCACCCCACAGAGCTGTGTCTGGATCCCCATCCCTTCTTGACCCCAAGGCCAAGCTCTTGGGACAAAACTGTGAGGGGGACAGAGGTGTGTTAGTTGATCAGGAAGGGGATCTGGAGAAACCAGCAGCTCCTATATTGAGGTGGTTGAGATACGGGGTCTCCCCTCAGGTCTGACACTGCTCTTTGCTGTCCGAGGGGAGGAAGAAGAGGGGTGCCAATGAGTTAAGACCCCTCCCAGAGTCCTCAACCCATTTTCCTCCCCAGTCCTTTCCTGAGGCCTCTAGAGGAGAAGCCGGGGGCCTAGCGCATGGGGGGCCTTGGCAGTCCCAGACTTTTAAAAGCAACTTTCCTGCCTCCCCCAAGTCTCTGCCCGCCTCCCCTCATCCAGGCGGTGGCCCCCCCTTCTCGGGGTGATGTCAGCCCCGCCCCGCCCCCCGCAGGAGCACTGTGGCCAAATATGGCGAACACAGCAGCGCTCGGGAGCTGGGACAGTCTGGGGGGGGCGGGGCTGACCGGCCCCTGGCTGGGACCGCTGGCAGCTGGTGAGGGGGAGGGGAGCCGAGGGGGCGGCTGCAAGGACGAGTCAAGGAGAGAATCAGGACCACCGGCCCTTGTGCGGGTTCCTAGGTACACGCAGGACTCACTTTCTAGGGCCACTCCTGTGGGCTTAGGCACCAACACAGGGGCCTGCAGGTGACCCCCACCCCACACAACCATGCACAGGAGCCATGCATGCAGGTATGCTGTGTGGGGGCCTGGGCTGACATCCAAAGAGGTAACCTGTCCCCCCAGGCTGAGGCCAACCATGGGCCATGGCAGGTAGGCAGGCAGCCAGGCAGGGTGCAAGTGGGGCCTCTGTCCCACTCATCACTCAGATTCGGGGAGGTTGTGAAGAGCCTGGATTGGATGCTCTGGTCTCCTCAGTTTTTGCGATGGGATGAGATGGAGATGTACACATCCTCCTTTCCTGACACCCCCAAATCACTGAGACCCAGCCTAGGAGGGCTGCAGGGCTGGACTGATGCAAATGTGGGGCTCGGGAAGGTGGAGAGGAAGACTCTAGAAGCAGGGAGGGACTAGAAAGGCAGGCTCCCAGGATGGCAGCCTCAGCCCAGGGTAGGGACTCCTGGTCCCTGAAGAGAGGGTTTTCCTGTGTGTGTGTGTGTGTGTGTGTGTGTGTGTGTGTGTGTGCGTGGAGGGTTTTCCTGTGTGTATGCGCGTGTGTGTGCTGAGGGCCGGAGGTTCCCAGACCACTTTTTAAATTCTTGACCAGGTATTTAGAACCTCTGCCCTGCTGGGCAGTGCCCTCAAGAGGGCTAGGAGAGAAGGAGAAAGACCCAAGTGAGGGGTGCGGGGACTGGCGCGCGAGACAGACTGGAGAAAGGGGTCAGAGTGTGTGGGTGGGGGAAAGAGAGGGGAAGACAGCCCCAGAGAGACAGGCTGGAGACACAGGGGAGTCCCAGACGGTGAGATACAAGAAACTAGAGAGCAAACCATGGAGAGACCCAGAGGGAGAGACAGGAGGAGCGGGAGGCCTGGCAGAGTGCGGGCTGGCTGGCGGAAGTTCATCCACAGACAGACAGAGCCAAAGTGGGGGTGGGAGGAGGAAGCGGGCGGGGGTGGGGGGACAGGGAGAGTGATCATGATAAACAGACTCAGATAGACACAGAGACCAAGAGCCAGAGAGATGGAGACGCACAGCTGACGGGGGCGGCGATGGGGTAGGAAGGGGAATAACTAGTAAACTCAGATAGGGTCGGGCAGCCAGAGGGAGTCAAAGAGAGAAGAACCCAGAGGCAGAGGAAGGGGGTGACAAGGGAAGACTTTTCAGGTGTAGGGGGCTGGGGGGGGGCAGGTCTGGGACATGCCCATTCTGTCCCTCTGCACAGGGGCCGTTATTCCAACTGGCTGCAGCCCTCCCGTGGGCTCGGCCTTCGCCTGCCACCCACATCCGATCAGTCGCACTGCCTCCCCTCACCCAGGGCCCTCAGCCTCCTGAGGTCAGAAGGTGCCTCTGGGTGGTGGCCTGGATGGGATCTAGGAGGCTGGGCGAGCAGGCTTTGGGCCCTGGGGGGATAAAAGGGGGATCTAGTTGCCCACTCCCCTCCCTGGGGCCAAATTTGCTGGAATAACTGGCTGGACAGCTCCAGGGATGGAGGTCAGAGCTGGGGTTGCTGTAGAGGGCCTAGACCCCTACCCCCACAGGCTCTGTGGCTTCCGCACCACCCTGCCCGCCTAGTCCCTTTCAAAGGGAAGGAGAGGCAAGCCAGAAGCTTGGGTTCCCCCCGGGCCTCTGCCTTGGTAGGGGATGGGCACAAGGCAAGTGCAGGCGGCAGGGCCCCTCCCTGACTCATTCCCCACCCTCCCCCCAGCCTCACTGGGAGGATGAACTGAACCCAGTGACCTGACTGGTCTAGCGCTAGTAGCTGTCCACTCTTACTGGGCCCCCGGTCTGCCAAGTGCTGGCGTGCAGAGTGAGAACATCACTCCAAGTGTGGGAAGATTAGTGAAATCAGCAGTTTCATCCCAAATTCCCGCCCCCCTCCCCAACCTGGGTTAGGCTGACCAGCCAGGGAGGTGAGGCTGGGGAGGACAGTTGATGAGGGATGAGGGAAACACCCCACCCCCTCTGCTTTTCCCTCCTTCCTCCCCCCCACCCCCACAGCGGGGCCAGCTGTTCTCCAGCTGCCAGAGACTTGCAGCCTAGAAATGGCCACACTCCGGTTGACCCGAGAGCAGGGTGAGATGGGGATGGTGTCTGCCTCCCTCACCTCTGTCCCAGGACCCCTGAGGACCCTGCCTGAGTGGCCACACCCTGTGAGGCTGGGGAGGGAGTGCCACCTCCCTGGAGCAGGGTCCAGATTTTTACAGGAGGAAGCAATTTGCAGAGCCCACTAGGAGGGAGGTGGGGTCCTCCTCCCTTCTCCCCAGCTTATTAATGTGCTTCCAATTTGGGAATCAAGGCTCTCTGGGGCCCCATCCACCCCCACTACTTGGGGCACAGGCTTCACAGGGAGCAGAGGGGGCGGGCTTCCTTCCCTAAGCTTCTCCTCCAAGCTCATCCTCACTGTCACTGCCCCCAAACCCCCACCGGTGTAGGAGGATAGAGGGACTCAGAGGCCACAAGCCTCCTGCAGAGAGAAGGGCCCAGTGATCCCAGCACAGTCTCTGTCCTGCCCTTCAACCGGCCCCATCCAGGGAGGGCCGGATAACCAGAGCGGGGCAGGCCGCAGCGCCAGGGAGGCAGCCATTGGGTCACTGGGTCCATGGGTGTCACAGATCCCAGTTAACATGTCAGGGTACATGCCCCATGTACCCTGATTCACCCGCGAGCTGTCACCGCTCAGTGTCCACATCCCAAGAGTCGCAGTGTCATCTATAAACACCCTGGTTGCTCCACCCCGCCTATTTTTCCCCCTCACACAATCCTCTTCACGGCCACTGTCCTGCACATTCACCAGTACCTGCGTCTCTGCTTTCTGTTTGTTTTTAATTATTTTATCGTGATAGGCCTCCCTGGTGGTGCAAGAGGTTAAAATGCAACTATGAAGCTATCTGCAGCCACACAGCACGAATTCGATCCCCGGGCAGGGAGCTACCCACATGGCGCAGCAGACCTCTCCTGACTCACCTGCTGCTCCCCTCAGCAGTGTCTTTCAGTCGATCTGCCTGTTTTGCTCCCCACTCTGTCTCTGGTGAATCCTCTCACCCCCCACACCTCTGGCCTGTACCCCAGTTCTGTACGCATAAATAAATAAATCTTTAAAAAAATATTGTGATAAAATAGCCATAATAGAAAATTTACCAAGTCCACTATCTTTAAGTGCACAATTCCGTGGCATTAAGTACAGTCCAGCTTTGTTTTTAACTGTTATCTTTTTCATGGTCCTCCATGTAGATGCAACCAGGGTCACAGGCCCCCAAATCTGTCACGCACCGAACCCCATGCTGTGTCTGTCACAGCCCTGAAGGGTGTCACAACACCGTCCTGCAGTCCCAAACAACCTCAGATAGTGCCCACCCACAGAGCCAGTCTCAGTCACACCCACGGGCGCCTTGACACGCAGCCCTGTGCGTGTGGAGTTTCTTTCTCACACTCAGTCTCACCTACACACCTGGTGCACACTCAGCCTGGCCCTGCGGCGTCTCAGGATGTAGTCAGCCATGTCCCAGTGGTTTCTCCCCGACATACACCCCCTTCTGGGGACAACCTTTCTCACACCCAGTGTCATGGATGGACACACAATGACTAATTTCGACAAACCTGACGTCACCGCCTATGCGTCATCGGTAGTCACACGTCATGGAGAATGTCACTCATTCTGCTCCAGACACACACGGCGTCACACGGTCGTCGAGGCCCTCAGAAACACAGAGCCCCGAATCCAGCTGTGTCACATAAGCTCGTGCTGCTGTCAAGCAGCTTTCACAAATATAACCTGTGCGATGCTCGCTCACGCGGAGCTGGTCACCCCCCCCCCCGGCCGCTTGCACACGCGCGCGCCACACAGGCTCTAAGGTCGTTCACGCAGCTTCCTGCACACGGCGCCCAGCTCCCCGCATACAGGGATGTGATGGAGGCACAACGTCACCTCCAGCTTCGCTCGTGCATACGGCAGCCTCACATGCAGTCACACACAAACTGGTTTTACCCGGTTCTCTCACGCGCATCCACCCTCCAGTCTCACCCACACACCATGACCCACTCAGTTTCTCTCACACGCGCCCAGCGTCACACACAGTTGCGCTCGCATTTCCCTCTATCACTTCCTGTCCTTTTGGGTCTGGCAGGGAGCACAGGAAACAATCAGCACTCTAGGAAACCTAGGTTCAGGCTCGGAGAAGGTGGGGTGACTGGGTCTCTGGGGTGGCTGAGCGGACAGGCAGAGCCCTCTCCCCACCACTGTGCTCCCTGAGGGGCAGCCCCCTCCCCCACATAAGCCTAAGCTGGCACAACGCTAGAGCAGGGAGAGGGCAGGACAGCGCGGGTGGCTCACCTCCAGCTCTGACCAGAGAAGTTCCAGCCAGGCCCCGAGGCCTCTGGGGACCTGGATCCTCAAGACCACCCTTCAGACCCTACAGCTTCTGTAGCCCCCACGGGGGAGGGAACTGGGATGCCCCAGGCACCTCACAGAAAACTGCAGCACTTACAGCCCTGGTGGCTCCCGGGCCCCCTGGGACTTGGCACCGCAGCTCCCTTCTCCACTCTCCTCACTGCGAGCTGCCCCTCTGCCCTTCTTGAGCCAGGAGGAGGGCAGGACTGACTGCTTCTGTTCCCTACCAGCTTCCACACTGAGCCCCAGGGGACCCTGGGAATGGGGCAGAGGGGGCACCATCCCAGTGGCTTCTGAACACCATTCATTGCGGCCAGCCTCACCAGACTCCACTACCACGTTGGAGGACAAATCCCCCCAACTCTGCCTGGCCTCCCTGTAGACACCTGCCGTCTGCCACCAGTTCGGCCATGCTTACCTGGCCTAGCTGCTCCTCAGTCTGGCCCTGGTGTGTCCACTGCGTCACCTACTCACTTCGCCAGACCCCACCAGGTTTAGGTTCCATAACGGGAAGAGAAAGAAGGCTGACTAGAAGACAGAGATTCTGGGATGAGCTCAGAAAAAAAGAGAACTAAGAAGTCACTTATTCCAAGCAGGGAAACTGAGCCGCCCCAAAGAGGTCCACCAGCATAACACAGCTGGTTGAAGGCCCAGTGGGATCAGACCTCTAATTTCACCTCCCTTGTTGAGGTGTCTCCTTCTGGTTTTAATATCTCCTCAAATGGCAGAAGGCACTAGGGCCTGCAAACCTGAGGGTAAGAACGCGAACAGGAGCCAGGACACACACACAAACATACACACCTCTTCTGTCAGCCACTGACCATCCTACTTAGCCATTCCCCAGTCCATGTGCTAATTGACATTAATTACTGTTTCCTCCCTAGGGGGTGGGGGAAGGCCCAAGAAGCTGAAATTCCTATTGGCTCTCAGCCTTTCTCTGAGGAAGGGTCACCGCGGGGGTCCCTGAAGTCATCCTCACCACACTCTAGTTCTACACTATACACCTGTCCCTCCCCTGCCCATAGGGCAAGCAGGGACCCAGAAGACTGCAGAACCAAGTCTCATAGTGAGGCCTCTAGGGGAGGGTCTGGAAAGGGAGCTGTAAGAATCTGAAAGGAAGGAGGACATGATTCTCCCAAATCTCCAACTTCTGGGGACTTTGGATGTCCCTCCTTGCCCCAGGCTGTCCCCAGCCCCCCAGCCTTCTGGCCAAGGCTGTGTCCTGGCCCCTACACTCGTGTGGAGCATGTGTACACAGAACCAGGCCACAGGAGGGAGGCGGGTACACAGAGCCACCATGGGCACCAGCCCCTCTGAGCTGTGTCCAGCCCCCACCCCCATCCCCTGCTCTCCTAGGCTACAAGTCCAGGCCTGACCTGGTTCTGCCTCTACCAGGAGAGAGGGAAGACAGAGAGGGAGTGCCCCCTGAGAAGCCCTCCCTCAGGGCCCTATTCCCTCTTGTTCAGAAAGAATCTCTCAGTCCTGAATCACAGGGCCCCTTCTACCTGAAAGATGACAGAGTGGGGTCTTAATGACACTGCTCCAGGCCTGGCTAGGCTGGAAAACAGATCCAGACAGGCACTTCTGGCCTTCCCTCCCCAGGCGGGAGTAAAGGGCATGACAGACAATGGGGGCTGGAAGGGACAAGGCTTCTTCAAACTCTCTGAAGTCTAAACAGGGGCTCTGAAAGTGTGGCAGAAGAGAAGGCCCCAAATCCAGCCCCTTTGGAGCCAGGATCACTGAGCTCAGGGCTGAAACTCCGAACCCTCGGCCCGACACAGGCGGGAGAGCCGGAGGGAACAAGCCCCTGCCTCTCAGGGGGCACACGCCCCGGGCGCACAGCTTTGCCTCCGGACACCCCCCACAGCCCGGCGCAGCCGAGGGCACCGCGCGCAGGAGCCGGCCTGGGCGCCGGGAGGCCGGGCCCGAGGCCTGCTTGGAGCTGGGGCCGGGCGGGCTCGGAAGAGCGAGAGCCGGGAGTCCAAAGGGCGGCGGGGCCCGGGACGGGGAGACCCGGGTACGAGCGCCCCGGTGGCAGGTCCGCCAACCCCTGCGGCTCCCAGATGCCCGCCGCGACACCTCGAGCGCGGACGGCGGGGCAGGCGGTGGCACCGGGGACGGTCTCGCGGCTCCCCTACCTCCCCCCGACCAGCGCGCCCCGGTCGCGGAGGGGGTGTAGTGGAGGGGTGGGCGGGGCTTCCCGGAGAGGTTTTACCCCCCTTCCCTCTAAACTTCCCGGCACCCAGATCCGGGGCTCGGGCTCCGGCTGGACAATAGCTCGGGGACCCAGCCCCCCGCGAGTCCCCCCCGCCCAAGCCAGAGGCAGCCAACCACGCCACCTCTCTCCGCGGGGCCTCCTCCCGTCGTCCGCCGGGCTTACCTGGTCCGAGCTCCGGGGGGCGCTCCGGCCGGGCCGCCGTGCCGGGCCCGGGGGAGCTGAGAGGGGGGCCGGGAAAGGGGGGTCGTGGGGAGGGGACTGGCCGGAATGTGCGGAATGAGCCGGGCTGGAGCGAGAGGCGCCGGGCGCGGAGGAGGGAGCGAGCGGGACGGAAAGTTTGTGTTGAGGAGCCGGGGCGGGTGGGGGCTGCGGGGAAGGAGGGGGCGGGGCGCCCAGGGGGGCGGGCACCGACCGGGAGGGGCGGGGCCGCGCGGGGCCGCCCCCAGCCCCGGCGCCCACTGCCCTCCCGGCGGCGGAGGGACCCCCAGCCGGTGCCGGCCTTCCTCGCCCGAGCTCCCCGCTCCCGACCGCCGGCGCGACGCCCCTACCCTCCCGCGGCGCGCTGGGCCTGACCCACCTCCCCAGGACCCCGACGGAATTTGGGGCTCCGGCCTGGGCGGGGCCGGGGGTGGAGCTCCCGCCTTGGGGGCAGGACTCCCGTCGGTGCCCCGGCCGCGGTGCCGCGTCACGAGGAGCCCGGCGGAGTCGGAGCGTACGGGCCTCGGGGCTCCCTGGTGCCCCCCCACATTCGCGAGCCGCGAAGCGGAGCGCCCTCTCCCGCCCGACAGCCCGCCCCCCACTCCCGGGGCCCCAGACCCGGCCCCGCCCTGGCGGCTGCGCCCGCCCTGCCCGGACCCGGTTTGTCTGGTTCTCCTCGAGAGGCTTGTTTCTCGAATTTCTCCCTTTCCCCCTCTTCCTGGACCTCCGGGCCCACCCTCTCGGCCCGGCTCCCCGGGGCCCCCGTCGGGGGCGTCTCGACACCGCGAGCCCGCCGAGTTGCGGTAGGACCCGCGGTGGGCGCGGGGGTCGGGGGCGGCAGACGCGCGAGCGCCCCGGGCCCGGGAGGGAGCGGAGTCGGGAGGGGGCGGGGAGGCCTCGCGCCCGCCCCGGGACCTCCCCGCGCGCGCCCCTCCCGCAGCCTTCTCGGCCCGGGCGGAAAAACCACTGCTCCGCTCGGCTTAGGACGCGGCTTTATTGGGGCCGTGGGCACCCTGCCCCGTCGCCCACCCGCCGCGCCCGCCCCGGCTCCGCGGAGCCCCGGCGCGGGCCCCGAGGGGGTTAAGACAACCCCGACTACTGCTCCCGGACAGGAAGTGGCGGGGCGGGGGGGGCCGGGAGCCGCGCAGGCCGGCTTCGCCACCAGATGTGCGGCTCGGGCTCCAGATGTTCTTCATCTCCATCCGATCCGCTGCCCGAGCTCCGCCCCGCCTCTGCCTGTGCCAGGCCGGGGAGTGGACGAAGGTCACTCAGAGACAGATGGGTCAGCCTCGACCAGGGAGGCGTCTCCGTAGGGTCTTTGGTAAAGGGAGCCTGCAAGTCTCTGCTGAATCGCTTCCCCCACGCTGGCGGGCTTTGGGGACCCTGGGGGGCGACCGGGATCACTCGCAGGCCAACTTCCCGTCGAAACTGGAGAGGGCGATGGCGAACGCCTGCAGGGCGCACAGCGGGTACCGGTAGTCCAGGGTGAAGGCGTCGTCCGCCACGCGGCCGAACTGCAGCACGATGTAGTCGGCTGTGAACACACAGGGGTGGGGCGGCCAGAGGCCTCCTGGGGCCGGAGCTTGGGGGTTGTAGACAATGCCCTCCACACTGGGGGAACATCGCCCCCTGTGCCTTGGCTCCCAAGCCTCAGTCACCATCAGTTATTCAGCCGCCACCCACCCCCGCCCACGGCCAACACCACTCCCGTGTAGGAAAACTAGACCCACCTACAGCTTCACCACCCGTCGGGACTGAACGCCCCGGAGGGCAGGGACCCTGCCTTATCTTCTGCTGCTCAGAGCTATGCATATAACCACCACTTAGGCATGGGAGGCTGTCACACTACCCCAAGCCTGGTTCCAATATCCACTTTGTCTTCTGACCCCATTCCCTTCCCTACCTCTAGACCCAAGTCCTCTCTCAGAGTGACAGGCTCTATCCTTGACTGATCCCCAAGTTCCCTTCCCAACCCAGTGGCCCCACTCATTACCTCTCCCACATCTGGTCCAGGTTCCCAGCCCCAATCCCAACACTGTCCCCAGCATCCATAGGGACAGGAAGTTGCTAAAAATACCCCCAACCTGGCAGACTGTGCTCCACCAGAAATGTGATCTGGAGAGCAGTTTTCCAAGGCCACAGGACAGGTGACATTGGGGACACATCCCTAGGATGGAGTGGGGGATAGCCAACCTTGTTAACCTAGCATTCCTTGGGAGACACGGTTCCACCCCAAACTTCCTCAACCCGTTGGGGGGCACCTTTTCCCCAGGCTTGTAACAGGGATATTTTTACTTGTATTCTAGTTACATCTTGTTCCCTGAGCTCCCCAAGTGAGGCCTTTGACCTCACTTAAGGGAAGATAATAGAGAAGGCACTGAGAAATGTGTTGTCGTCCCTAAAAGCAGCCGTCTTGATGGGGTTTGGAGTCCCGGGCACTGGATTGAGACTCCCTGGGATCTAATTCCAGCACAACTTATTAGCTGTGTGACTTTGGGCAAGTTACTTAACCTCCCTGTACCTCAGTTTTCTCATCTGCCAAATAGGGACAATAATAATAACTTTCTCAAGGGTTGTTCAAAGAATTTAATAATTCAGTATCTGTAAAGTCCTGAGAGCTGTGCCTGGCACATAGGAAGTAACATGTAAGCACATTTGGGGGCCGGTGTAACCCGGAGGAGCCAAGGGACTGTGGGTAAGGTGCTTCTCTCTGAGCCTTAGCACCCTCTTTAGCCACAAAAAGTTGGGGCTATCTGTTTTTCAAATACTAACAGCTTAACTCTCCCTTCAACACAGTCTTACCCAGAATATTCCCTTATCGGCCCCAGGGCTCTGGTTAATGCTAGAATAAGAGCCTGGAACCACAGGCCCCAACATACTTCCTTGGATTATCTGAGGCTCCTGGGATCAGTGTCAACACCCTGGAGGAGTGACTGCTGGATGGGATGTCCCAGCTCCAGCAATAAAGGACAGTTCCATGGAGTGGAGGGTGGGGGGCCGAGAATGGTGGGGGTGAAAGACTTGAGTGAGCCGAGAGTCACAGTCCTGGAGATGGTGGGGAAGGACTTGGGCTGGGCCCTCAGCTACTCACGGTCATCAGCATGGACAATCTGGAAGTTCTTGACTGAGGCCTGGGTAACTCGACCTTGGAAGTTGAGGGTGTAGGAGCCGCTGTCTTCGTTCCAGACAGGTGGTTTGTTGTGTAGCTCGATGAGGTTCTCCAGTGTCTTGTTCTGCCAGCGCACCAGCAGCCCATCCCTGGCCTGGGTGCCCCGGGGGAGTAGGTAGAAAGAGGACAGTTAGGGGTAGCAGAGATCTCTCAGAACTGACAAGGGGTGGGGCCTGGGGACCTGTGCATGCCTTTGCGTGTGTGCGTGCGTGCAGGCGTGCAGCCTCATGTCAACATCCATCAAGGTTCCCTTGAGAGCATGCTTGATGGATGTGTAGTGGTTAGGGTGTACCTCTGTGAAAATGGGGCCTTGCTGTAGAAAGCCAGCAGGAAGGGTTAGAAAGCAGCATGCGGCACACAGTAGGTGCTCCATGCCATTGGTGCCATGAGTTCCCAAGAACAACCACATGCTGGCACCTGATTACAAGGACGAGGCAGACATTTTAGGACCTATAAGGTGTTCACAGCTGAACTTGGGGAGATAGACAGGAAAACAGTGGTTAAAATAAAATGTCCTAGAGGAGACTTTCTGGCAGGAAGGAGCAGTGTCTGATGGTGTTCCTGAGCTATTTCTTCTCTGACTTTCCTTCCACCTGTTCTACTTCATGGTTTTAGAGTTAGCCCTTCTCCAAGTAGCCTTCCTGACCCCACATCTGGTTTAGATGTTTTAACTCTGAGCTTCTGTAACCTTGCTCTTACTATTTCTCTCACTGCACCTTAATGGACAGGGATTAGGTACTCTAAGGCAAGCATAGTATTTTACCAATGTCTGTGCCTTAGTTTCCCAACACAATGAGGTATTGTGAGTTAAATAAATTAATAGTAAATGATGTGTTATTTAGAAAAATTCCTGGCAGAGTAAAAAAGCTCAATACATATTAAATATTGTTTTGATGGTAACTTGTTGATTTTGGATCTTCAGTGCCTGGCTTTAATAAATGATTATAGAATGATGAACTATGAGATGATAAAGAGAGGCCCAGGGCAGCACCGGGTAGTTCTTATCAAGCTTACATGCGTGGGAGGCACAGCCTTTGAAGGGTTCGTGCATTTATTCCAGGCACGGAAGGAGCGACTGTGGGACCCACAGGCTTCTTGAGACCGGAACCTTGCACGGCTGTTGCCCCGTGGGTTGCCAGGCCTCTGATTACTGCATGACTTTCCAGCAGGGAAGGATGTATGATGAGCTGACAGGGGTATTATTTTCCATTGTAAATGAGTAGAGTGACATCACAGTGAACATGGGCCATGCCAGTTATCCCATCCCTGAAGTCCTGGGCTAGCCGATCTGCAGTGCCAAGGAACAGAGCATGGGGCTGGCACGCTAAAGGAGGTGGCCTCTCTCTAGGATGTCTCCGCATTTTACCCTACACCTCACAAACACATGTGCAAAACAAACAACCTTTGCTTTTTAAAATATAAGTCAGGGGCCTCCCCTGGTGGCGCAGCGGTTGAGCGCTGGGCTGCGAAGCTGCCCACGGCCTCTGCAGCACTGGTTCGATCCCCGGCCGCCGGGCGAGGGTCCCACATGGCGCGCCGACCTCTCCTGCCTCCCGCTGCTCCCCTCAGCAGTGTATTTCATCGGTCTGCCTGTTCTGTTCCCCGCTCTGGCTCTGGTGAATTCTCTCACCCTCCGGCGCTTCTGACTGTACCCAGTGCTTGTATAAATAAATAAATAAATCTTTTAAAAAAATAAATAAAAAAAATATAAGTCAGGGCTTCCCTGGTGGTACAGGGGATTAAAACACAGCACCTCAAAGCTATCTGCAGCCACTGTAGCATGAGTTCAATCCCTGTCCAGGGAGGTGACACACATGACACAGCAGTGGGCCTTGCCTGCTGCTCTCCTGTCTCGCCCGCTGCTCCCCTTGGCAGTTTATTTCAGTCACTCTACCTGTTCTGTTCCCTACTCTGTCTCTGATGAATCCTCTCAACCCCCGCACCTCTGGCCTATACCCCCGCTCTTGTATGCACAAATAAATAAATCTTTAAACAAAATATATGTCATATTATGCCATTTCTTTGTTCAAAATCTTTGTAAGACTTTCTGTTTCTCTCAGTTAAAACCAGTTACTGACCCTCACTCTCACCTCTGACCACATCTTCCTCAGGCCTCATTAGCACTTTGCTGGTCCTCTAACCCATTAGGCACCCTCCTGCCTCAGGGCCTTTGCACTGACTCATCCTTTGGGGGATGCTCTTTCCCCAGATATCCACAGGCTTCCTCCCTTACCTTCTTCAAGACTGCTCAAATTTCACCTTCTCAATGAGACCCACTCTGACCACTGATTTTTTTTTTTTTAAAGATTTATTTTATTTATTTATACAAGCACTGGGTTCAGTCAGAAGCTCAGGAGGGTGAGAGAATTCACCAGAGCCAGAGCGGGTAGCAGAGCAGGCAGAAGGACCGAAGCACACTGCTGAGGGGAGCAGCGGGCGGCAGGAGAGGTCTGCGCGCCATGTGGGACCCTCGCCAGGGGCCGGGGATTGAACCAGCACCGCAGAGGCTGTGGGCAGCCTCGCAGGCCAGCGCTCAACCGCTGCTCACCCGCTGCGCCACCAGGGGAGGCCCTGACCACTGATTTTTAAGTTCAAAACACACACACACACACACACACACACACACACACTTTTCAGCTTCCTTTCCCTATTTGACACTTTTTTCCCTACAGTACTTATCACCTGCTAACATCCTATAAATTTATTGGATCATCACATTTACTGTCTCCTGTCTGTCTCCCTCCACAAGCTTCCCCGGGGAGTTGGGGAGGGGGGGACAGCTCCTTGTTATGTCCTCAGGTGTCCTCCAGGCACCCAGACAAAGACTCTACACTCAATATGTGTGTGCTGAATAAATACATGGATGAATGATTTGGTGTACGCTAAACAAACAGAAAAGAGAAATTGTGCTTGTTTCAGTGAATTCAGTTCCGTACCCCCCACCCCCTCCAATTCACAAGTTGCTAGAATGAATTTGTGTCTTATGTGTTAGGTATGTTCAGGGGGCTGGGTATTCTGCAAGTTGAGTTCCCACCCGCCACTCCCTGGGGTTGGTTCAAGTAGGCGGCAGGGCCCTCAGAGGCGTCAAGGACACAGGGGCTCACATTTCGGGGCCGGATGGGAACCGTCTGGTTGTCCGCATTCATGCCGGGAATGATGACAGTCATGCGCCGGGGGCCTCGGAAGCCCAGCACATTGGTTTCCTGGGAGCAAGAAGCCAGTTGGGCCAGCCGGTGCAAGGGGAAGGCCTGCCGAGGGGCTGGGGGAGGGGGAGGCTCTCACATAGATTACAGCTGCCAGCTCCTGCCGAAGGCTCCCCACATCCGCACCACCTCTTCTTTTCGGGTTCTGCCCATTGTCAAAAACTGTGAAGCGGTTCCCCAGGAGGTTGGACCTGCAAGCACGGTAGAGCTGGCGGCGGGGCTGGGGCGTTCCACACCCCTACCCCAAGACTCTCCCTCACAGCCAAGCAGATCGTGAGCTTCCAACCTCAAAGGTAGGGGTGTCTTAGGACTGAGCAATTCAGGTCTCTTACCCCAGGCTTTCCCTACGGGGTCTTTTAAAAAGCTGCATCTAGAAAGGGGAGGCTGGGTACGGTTCAATTCTCAGCTCCATCTCTTACCAGCTGTGTGATCTTTTTTTTTTTTTTAAAGATTTATTCATTCATGCATACAAGAACTAGGGTACAGGCCAGAGGAGCTGGAGGGTGAGAGGATTCACCAGAGACAGAGTGGGGAACAGAACAGGCAGAGGACCGAAATACACTGCTGAGGGGAGCAGCAGGTGATACAGGAGAGGTCTGCTGCACCATGTGGGTAGCTCCCCGGCAGGCGGGGATGGAACCGGTGCTGCAGATGGTGCGGATAGCTTCACAGCGCTGTGCTCAACCGCCTGCGCCACCAGCTGTCTGATCTTATGCAAGTTACTTACGCTCTCTGAGCCTTGACTTTCTCTTCTGTAATGTGGGCACAATGATAATCTTTTCATTTGGTTGATAAAAAGGATTATTTACATAGTGTTTATTAAATACATAAGTAAAAGAACTAAAGCCTGCCTCAGGGTCCCACTTCTTGGATTTGTGGTAAGGATTAGATGAGCGGTCATTGGAGACAACACAGAGTAGGTGCTAAATATTTGTTCATTTATTCACTTAGTAAATATATTTTGAGTAGCCATCATGTGCCAGATGCTAGGAATTCAACCATGGACAAGACAGGCAGAGCCCTACCCTCACAACTTGTGCCCTACTCCAGATGAGGTCCCTGGATCGGCAGTATGAGCAGAATGCGGGCTTCCCTGGTGGCACAAGGGGTTAAGCACAGCACATGAAGCAATCCGCAGTCTCTGCAGCATGAGTTCCATCCCCTGCCAGGGGGGTGACCCACATGGCACAGCAGACCTCTCCCGTCTCTCCCGCTGCTCCCCTCAGCAGTGTATTTCAGTAGATCCGCCTGTTCTGCTTCCCACTCTGTCTCTGGTGAATCCTTTCACCCCCCACATCTCTGGCCTGTACCCCAGTTCTTGTATGCATAAATAAATAACTCTTTAAAAAAAATGCAGAATCTTACTCCCACCTCAGACCCACTGAACAATTATCATGAGCTCCCTCAGCGATCTATGCAAAGTGTGAGAAGCTCTGGGCTGGGGAACGCTTCTGACTAGTCCATTGTGGCGGGCACTCTGCAGGCCCAGGGGGACAGAGATGACAGCACGGCCCTCTTCCTGCCCAGGCCTCCTAGCGCCAGGGAGCCCAGCCCACCTCAGCTTCCCGATGAAATTCTCCCCTCCACGGGACAGATTGGTAGGGTCGCTGGAGATGAGGTAATTGGCTGTCTTACTCCGTTTCCGTTTCCTGCCAGCCAAGAGGAACACCTGGGGAGGGGGAGATAGGGGAGAGGATGGGAAGAGAAGACAGTGGCAGAAGGAGGAGGGTGAGGGGAAAGAGAAGGCCCCCTGCCCCTGAAACCCAACCCCTCACCTTTGCCCTTGACCTTCCCTCCGCCTGGGTCCTGGCACCTCCTCTGTTTTCTCTCCCTTACCTCTCCCCTACCCACCTTCTTCTCCGTGTCCAGGTGCAGGAAGTAGGAGGGGTACAGGCCCCGATCTATACCCTTCTTGTCCCGGGTCAGCCGGCAACGCACCGTCCGGCCCTGGGGGGCAGGCTGAAGCACAAACTCCTGGGGTTCACCCACTTCCACTGGTGGGGACGTGACTCTGTCCTCCTTCTGGGTGGGGAAGAGGGTGCATCACCCACAGAGCACTCGCTCCCCTGCCCTCAGTGTGTCCCCACTACCTGGACAGGCAGGACAACTCACTGCTGTCTGTGGGGAGGGAGGGAGAGGCCGGCTAGAGTGTGATGGGCCCTCACACCTCCCCAATAGCTTGGCTCCTCAAGCACCCCAGTTAGGAGGTTCTGGGGAGCTGTGTGCTTTATTATTATTGGTCACCTTGTGAATAACAGCCCAGGCTCTGGAGTCAGTGTCGGTGCAAATTCTGGTTTCACTAGTAATTGTCATATTTTTAAGTTTTGACCCAGTTTTTTCCATCTAAGAAGTAGGTAGGGTGAGAGTGGATACCTGGGACAGACCTTATTTATGCGTTTAACACACTTACATAAAGAACTACCACCGTGGCAGGTATAGTTCTGAGCACTTTTCAAATATTAGCTCACTTAATGCTCATATCAAATTAACTGAGGTGGTGGCCCAATTTTACAGATAAAGAAGTTGGGGCCCAGAGAAATGAAATGACTTGTCCGTGTTCATACAGCTAGCAAGAGGAGCATTTGAATCCTGCCCAGGCTCCTGTCAGACCCAGAATGTTTAGGAAGACCTTCCCTCTCTGGACACTATCTCAGGGGGTGAACTGAGGTGGGGCTGGGGCATACAGCGATAGAGAAGTGTCAGCTGCTGTGATTATTATGACCATACGTTGTCAATGAATGTGGTAGCCGGCTTCCAAGATGGCCTCCAAGGAACCCTGCCCTATCCTATTTAGGCCTTTGTTTTGTTCCCTCCACTGTATCAGGGGTGGCCTTTGTGACCCACAGAATATGGCAGAAGTGATGGGGGAGAGACATTTCCTAGTAAGACTTGGTCATAAAAGATGCAGTGGCTTCTGCTGTCTGCGCCCCAGGGGAAGTTGGCTGCCCTGTCGCCATTTTAGAGGCAGATCCTCCCTTTGCAGTGAAGCTTTCAGGATAACTACAATCCCAGTTGACATCGTGACTAAAGTCACAATACCCTAAGTCAAATTACCCTGTTAAGCTACTCCCGGATTTGTGACTCATATAAATTAAGGAAATAAATGTTTGTTGTTTTAAGACACTAAGTTTACAGCAATATATATAGTTAATACATGAATGAAGAAATAAGCTCACTTTGCTCATTGCAAAGCTCCTAATAATAATTTGGTTGCATGAGGCCTGAGGGTGGCCTGGTGCCTTTCACTCTCATGCTCTGTCCTTCTTAAGAGGAGGAGGTGAGATTCTAACCCCAACTTTCCCAGCAGGGGAAAGTAGGGGCTGCAGCCTGGGGCATGCATTTAAGGATCAAATACTATCCATGAGCCACTAAGAAGTCATGATGTTGGTCATTTTTGCTGAGGGCGGGACTGCACCGTGTGTGAGGTGAGGTTAGTGTTGGAGAGCGAGCCTTAGCCAGTGGGCAAGTGAACATGTCTTGCCCACTCTCCACAGTACCAGAAGAAAATTGGGAAAATACAAGATTATAGAATATGATGTGGAGAAAGCCAATAAGAATGGCCCCCGGTAGGCCTGGAGGAGATCCCTGCAAGTCCCTGGCAGCCCATGTTGGCCTTTTTGTTGCCAGATAGTTTAGTTACTATAAAGCTGGAGGTCCTGGGTGGAGTAGCAGAAAGTGCTTGGGGAACTCGGAGCAGTAGGGGGGACTTTTTTTTAATAGCTCACGGAGAAGGCCATTGGTCCATGTGCCCTCTGGTCTGTACATAGGTGCCGGTCTCCCTGTCCACTTCCCCTCCCTGGTACAGAAAGTGTGTCTCTTCCTGTGGGGGCTGTGTGAGCATTTCTGGCAGTGTCTGATGGTCAGGCTGCAGAGGGAGGGCTCAGACTACATGACATAAGGCCTCAGGTGGTGACCCTCAGTCCCAGTCTGGTGACCCCACAATAGCCTCTTCTGTTCTCAAAAGCTTGGTGCCCTTTGTGCTTATATTCTGTTGCCAGAGGGGGAGCCAAGATTCTAACCCTACAGCCCCAGTATGCGAGGACCCACATTCTAGTCCCCCAAGCCCAGGCCCCTGCCACTGCTCCCTGAAGGGGCTCAGCTCCTGTGCCCCAACCTTTTTGCCTTTTCCTTTCGCTTTGCCCTTCTGATTGCTGTTCTTGGTCACTCCTGCTGCCAGCTCTCCCTCCTCGTCCTCTTCCTTCTTCCTCTTCCCTTCTAAGCCTTTGGGAGTACCTGGGCATGGAGCGGGGATAAGCCTGGTAAGCCCTCACCCTGGGGGAGCACTGCAGGGTTGCAAAGTGCTTCCAAAGCCCATGTCTCATGTGGACTCTTCCCACACCACAAGGGAAGAGCCCGTGTTACTATGGTCAGAAAGGCTAAGACATTGTTCTGAGGCCACATAGCTACTAGAAGCAGGGGGTTCAGATGTCCCCCACGTCTTCTGACTCTGGAACCCACACTCCTTGACCTACACTGCACCCCAGCTCCCCATGCCCTGAGACTGTCATCGCAACCCACCTTTCTTCTTCAAAGCTTTCTCGGGTGGACCATCCTCTCCAACCAGAAACATGGCTGCTGGCACCTTCTTCCTTACTCTGGTTGGACTTGCGGAGGGGTCCTTGTCCGCCTCCCCAGAGCCTGCATTGTGCGAATGTGAAAGGGTCACAGGCCCATCGCACCCAGAGCCCTGTTTTTTCCTAGACTGGACTCACCTTTTTTCTTGATCTTTCTCAGCTCGGTCCCTTCCTCCACCGGCACCTCCTTCTTAGCGCGCAGAGGTTTTGGTGGGCAGACAGGGCTTCCCAGGTCCCCTGGAAATGGCAGGTGGGGGTTAGACAGAGAAGAGCCTTTGGGGCTGAAGACCACGTAACTGTTCCTCCAGTCCCCTGGGAGGCTGAGGCCTGACTAGGACCCAGAATCTATCTTCTGTAGGTCACATTTTCAGTCCTGAGTTCAAAAAGGAGTGGGCAAACTCAAGGAATTTATTAAGCAGTTACTGAATGGCTGGCTGGCTGGCTGGCTGGCTGGCTGGACGGATGGATGGAGTGCAAGCCAGACCTCCTAACTGAGCCTCTGAATCCCAGCTCCCACCTTGGCTTCCTTTGGGTCCCCCTGGACAGTGCTGGAATGCACGTTCCTGCCCACAAAGGTCCAGCCTCTGATCCTGTTTAGAGCAGATGCAGAACCTCCGGGGGGGGGGGGGTGGCGCTCAGGCCAGGGAGCCATCACATTTACTCACTGACTGGTTTTTACTGTGATCACTTTGATACTTTCATAAAAATTATAACAACAATTCATATTGAGTTAAAAAAAGAACACTAAACAGAAATCACAAAGAAAATGAAAATCCTCTGCCCTCCCCTGCCTAGGCCACTGAGCACCCTGCGCAGGGGCAGGTGGGGCCAGGCACAGGTTGATCTTGGTCCTTAAGGACTATCCTGGGCAGGAACCCTCTGGTCCAGGCACTGGGTGACCTTTTGATGTCTCCAGTCCTGAGAATCAACCAACTCGCAGCCCCTCAAGGGCAGGGCCTAGCAGATGCTTCCATACCCTCCACACCTACCCCTCTGGCCCTGGGCCTTGACCCTCTTCTTGATATCTGTGGAAGCCTTCTCTTTGGGGGACAGAGGGATTTTCTCTTTCTTTCCTTCCTCTTCTTTCTCTTCATCCTCCTGGTCCTCTTCTTCCTCCTCCTCATCTTCTGTAGGTGGAAACTCCTCATAATGGGGTTTGGGGTGGGCCCTCTTAATGGGGATCCCCGTCCCTCCAGATTGCTGGAAAGTGGGGAATCCAGGGGAGGGGGCAGCAGTTCCCAGAACTGTCCTTCAAGAATGGGAGTGACCCCAAGGTGCAGGGGAGCTTGGGGAGAACTCCTGGGAATCCTCTTACGGGAAAACGTTTCCCCAGAGGCCCTTCCTCTCGCTGGGCTGCCTCCTCACACCCTGCACACCTGGGCTGCCCTCTCTCTGGCCCTCTTGTTGCACCCCCTGGTCCTCGCACTTTCCTTGGCCTGCCTTCCGCCCTGCCCCTCAGTGGCTGGCCTGGAGTCAGACCCCTCCCTCCACTCGGCCCCTCCCGGAGCTGAGCTGTAGTTCAGAGCAAGCAAGCAAAAACCTCGCGGTGCCTCAGTTTCCCCAGGCGGAAAGAGGGGAAAACAAGAAAGCAGGGTTTGCGGGCGCACAGCCGCGACCTCAGAGGCGGAGGCTGCTTTCGGGGCGCCGCGGCTCGCGGGCGGTCCCCACCGAGCCCCGGCTCCGCCCCACCCGCCCTCCCGCGGCCCAGCCCCGCTCACCGTCCTCCGCGTCCCCGGCGCCCGCCGCCAGGCAGGTTCCCCGCGGGTCGCGCCGCCGGGCCTCGGGGTCCCTGAGGAACTGGGCGCGCTCGGTCTGCCGCGCCCTGCGCTCGGCCGGCTCCGCGGCGGGGTCCTCCCGCGGCCGCCCCCTCCTCCCGACTGAGCCGAGACGCGGGGTTCAGGCAGAGCCCCCCCCGCCGGCGTCCCGCGCCCCCCTTAGGGTGCCTCAGCGGGGTCTCCCCGGCTCTTTTCCGCCGTCGTCGCCTCTCCCGGGGCTTGCTTTCATCGCTCCGGCCCCCACCCGGCCCGGCTCTGCCTCGGCTGCTCCCGGCTGCTCCCCACTTCCCCGCTCCGCGCGCCCAGGGTCCCCTCCACGTCCCTCGCCGGGGGGCGCCCGCGGACCCTGTCCCCCCACCTCCAGGTCTTGGGGGCCGCGATCTCGGCGGGCGGGGAGACTCAGGGGCTTCGGTCTTTTTCTTCCTCGGCTTCTGTCCCCGCACGGGTCGCTGCTGAGTGGGGGGCCAGAAGGAGGGAGAGGGAGAGAGGGGTCCCGCAAGCTGCCCGACACTTCTAATCTCTTGAGCTGCCAGAAATAACCGCGGATGAATCGGAGGGGAATTGCGACCTGCTTCTCGGGGTGAGGCTCCCTCCTGTGCATCATGGGCACCTCGGAGGCCCCCAGAGTCCAAATTCCTCTCCCCGACAACCCAGGTCCCAAACACCTCTACCTTTCCTCCACTCCCCCCAAAAACCCCAACAACAACAAACAAACAAAAAACATCAAGGAAGCAAGCACCCCTAGAAACTGAGGATGTTCCCCACCCCAGTCCCCCTGCCCGGTGTGGGTTTCCGCGCAGCGAGGGATCTTTAACGCCTCCTTTCCGAGGGGGGTGACATACCGGCTGCGGGAGCCCCTGGACCTCTGCTCTCCGGTCTTCCTCCTCGTGCCCGCTGAGGGTAGCAGAGGAACCAGTCTGTGTCCCTCCCCCTTCCCAAACCTTCCATAGGGGACCCCAGGGTTCGGGTAGGATGATGAGGGGACAGGGGCTTCGGACCTGTCGGAGGCCCACACCTCTCGGAGGGTGTCCTCCTGCAGCGGCATGGTGCCTTCGCCCTTCTGCACCCCTGCTCTGGCCGCTCTGCTCCCCTAGGAGCTCCTGCTCCTCCCTTCCCCCAGCTAATCCAGGCTCATCTCCATCTGCCTCCCATTGGTTCAAAAGGGTGGCCTGGTAGCATTCACGGGGCTTGGGGGGGGACGGGGGTGTTGGGGTGTGTGTGTGCTCGTGGTCACCCCCCCTTTTGCATTAGAGGTGCTGACTTGTAATTTATCAGTTGACAGTGGGCCACAAGAAGAAAAATTAGGTCAGATAGTCTACTTATCACTCATAAAAACTTAAGAACTTGGATTTGCAAACATTTAATATATAAATTGACAAAACCATGTGCATATACTTTATAAAGAAATATGCTAGGGCCTCCCCGGTGGCGCAGCGGTTGAGCGCTGGGTTGCGAAGCTGCCCGCGGACTCTGCGGCGCCGGTTCGATCCCCAGCTGCTCCCCGGCCACCGGAGGAGGGTCCCACATGGCGCGCAGACCTCCCCTGCCGCCCGCTGCTCCCCTCAGCAGTGTACTTCGGTCCTTCTGCCTGCTCTGCTCCCCGCTCTGGCTCTGGTGAATTCTCTCACCCTCCCGCACTTCTGACTGTACCCAGTGCATGTGTAAACAAAACAAACAAACAAACAAACATATAAATAAATAAATAAAAATACGTGCCTCTTTAAAAAAAAAAAAGAAAAGGAATATGCTATACTGTGGGCATATATGTAAATTTTTTTAAAGATTTATTTATTTTTGCACAGAGAGCTGGGGTGTAGGCCAGAGTTGTGGGGAGTGAGAGGATTCACCAGAGACAGAGTGGGGAACAAAACAGGCAGACTGAGTGAAATACACTGCTGAGGGGAGCAGTGGGCTAGACAGGAGAGGTCTGCTGCGCTATGTGGGTCACCTGTCTGGCGGGGGATCAAACTTACGCCTCAGTGGCTGGTGATAGCTTCATAGCGCTGAGACTTAACCCTTGTGCCACCACCGAGGTCCAAATATCACTTCTTTAATTGACACCTTTGCTCAGAAACATTCATTGTCTTCCTACTGCCAAAGGGGCAAGTATAAAATGTGCCGGGTTGTCATTCAAGGATGACCCCACCTGCCTGTCTACAGGGTGCCAGAGTCTACTCTTCACCCAGCATTATAGATTCATCTACTGCCTTTATGCTTTCTCATCCACAGCTTTGCTGGAGCTGTCTCCTGGAATGCCCTGGAATTCTCCTGGAATGCCCTGTTTTCCTTGAATCATAAACAGCCCTGCAAACCCACCTCTGATTCTTCAATCCTCCTCACTTACCTCTGAATGCATAATAATAACAATAATAACATGTGTTGACCACTTACTGTGTTTCAGGCCCTTTGCTCCCTTTTGGGCTCCACTATCACCTTAATTCTCATGGTAATGATGGCGGGCATTAACACCCTGATATTAAAGGCAAGGAAATTCATGCTGAGAGTTGGTCAATAAATATTTCTTGAGCCCCGAATGAATATGTGCCAAGTCCTGGCTATAAAGTGAAGGACAAAAGGGTGAGGTCCCCACCCTCATGGAGCTTATGTTCTTATGAGAAAGACACTTAGTAAAGCTGTAAATACACAATGAGTCATAATGACCTCATCATCACTATTAATTGTAATAAATGCCAAGATAATTGTTATATACAAATTAATAATTAACAAACAACAATTAATTTAATAAAGGTGAATGTAAAAAAAGTCATCATTGTAAAAAATGCCAAGAAGGAAGAGAACTAGATTCCATAAGAAGGCAGGTGGGATCCAGTCTGAAAAGTGAAATTTTATTTTATTTTAATTTTTTAAAGAAGATTTATTTATTTTTGCATACAAGACCTGGGGTGTAGGCCAGAGGTGTGGAGGGTGAGAGGAGTCACCAGAGACAGAGTGGGGAACAGAACAGGTGGATCCAATGAAATACACTGCTGAGGGGACCAGATAGATCTGCTGCGCCATGTGCGTAGTTCCCTGGCCCGAGATTGAACTCTTGCTGCAGTGGCTGCAGATAGCTTCATAGAGGTGAGCCTTAACCCCTTGTGCTACCAGGGTGGCCCCATGAGAAGTAAACTTTTTTTTTTAAGATATATTTATTTACTCATACAAGAACTGGGGTACAGGCCAAAGGTGTGGGGGTGAGAGGATTCACCAGAGACAGAGTGGGGAGCAGGACAGGCAGACTGACCAAAATATACTGCTGAGGGGGGCAGTGGGCAAGGCAGGAGATGTCTGCTGTGCCATGTGGGTAACTCCCTGGCTGGGGATCGAACTCATGCTGCAAAGGCTGTGGATTACTTCATAGGTTGCATCTTAACCACTTGCGCCACCAGGGAGGCCCCTACAAATATTTAATAAGATGGAATCAAAACTGCCAAAACCATGTAAATTTTGACACATTCGTTTGAACTACATCTGTCTTTTAATTTGAATATATGACTTTCTAGATATTCAAGAAAAGTCATTTTTGAAGACACATGAAAAAAAATTTTATTTATTATTATTATTTATTATTGTTTTGAATGGTGAACGCGTTTATATTTAGAATTAACCAGCTGGACTCACTTTAGATGATCCCAACATGTAAAGCCCCCTGGTCAGAGACAGTTGACCTTCTTCTCTCCCTCAGGTGTGTTCAGGGTGTTGACTTGGGCCATGTCCGTGCCATAGAGCTTCTTCACAGCCTGTTCCACCTGGTGATCCTTGGCCTTGACCTCCACAATGCACAGCAGGTGCTCCTGGCTATCTTCCTCACAGCTGACTCAGTGCTCAGGGGGGCCTTGACGATGGCATGGAGGTCAAGCTTGTTTCTAGGATATCTGGGCTGCCTTCTGTATCTGGGCTGCCTTCTGTATCTGGGCTGCCTTCTGGGCTGCAGTGTCTTGGGGCATCAGGAGGTCGGACACGTGCAGATCATCTTTTGTTTGTGGCTTGGACGCCTTTCAGAGTTGCCTTCAGAACCCAATCTCCCTGCAGGAGGGCACTCCCTGGACATCATCTCAGCAGCATCCCCTGAGGCCTGGGGCTGTGACCTGATCCAAAGCCAGGCAGGATCCTGCCAATGACAGGTGACAGAATCTAATGCAAACTATCACATATTCAAAGAGAAACTGGCCTCTTAACTGTTCTCACTAGGATTGTCCTCCCCTCAGGCTGGACCCCAAAGATGTCCTCCTATTTCTCACCCTCTCTGTTTTGCCCTGTGTTGGTGGGAAAGGTGAACCCTAAAGCCCCCTGGTCACTTCAATCCCTTCAAGCAGGCCTGGCTGGTTCTATTTGTATCACATGGTGACCCCAGGACAGATTGATTTAGTTCAAGAGGATGGAGTGCTCAGCCACTTGCTTGCCCCAACTGTTACCTATGGAGAGTCCCCCTGTGAAAGAATGATACTTACGGGAAGGATAAGAGGGGTTCCACCACTGCTGAGCCATTGTTGAGAAGCCCATACGGGGAGCTATTGATCCAACAGCAGTAGTTGTGACGTCTACTGAGAGCCTGATGGGTTCCAGGCACTCTTCTAACTGCTTAATCTGTGTCAGTGCGTTTAAAACAACCACTTCAGGGGCCTCCCTGGTGGCGCAAGGGGTTAAGCACAGCACTGTGAAGCTATCTGATCCCCAGCCGGCCAGGGAGCTACCCACACGGTGCAGCAGACCTCTCCTGTCTTGCCCGCTGCTCCCCTTAGCAGTGTATTTCAGTCATTCTGCCTGTTCTGCTCCCCACTGTGGTGAGTCCTCTCATACCCCTGCACCTCTGGCCTGTACCCCAGTCCTTGTATGCATAAATAAATACATCTTTTAAAAAAATAAAACAACCATTTCATGCCACAGAGGCTACTTTGATGTGGGTTTTACTTATGATGCAACTTCACAGAGAGGTGTGGTCACTTGCCCAGGGCCATACAGCTAGGACACAGTGACCAGGCAGGTCTTACCCAGGTTGGTTCTGGGGAACATGCCCCCCACCCCCACCTTCCTCAGCACAGTACAACCTGCTGTCCTGCTGCATTTACCCCGCCAGTGTGCCTGTGAGCAAGCACCTCACTGTGTGTTCCCCTCACAATGTGGGGGAGCAAGCACCTCACTGCAGATAGCTTGTCAGGAATTTGCCTTTACCCATGAGCAGAACCTCAAGGAAGAGAAACAGGGATGGGCTTGTTTGTTTGTTGCTTCAGTCATTCATTCCTTCATCAGTTTGCTGAGGTACCACTGATTTGCAACACCATATATATTTTAGGGGTATAGGTGCACACCAGGCCCACCACTAAGCACCCATAACCTTCCACCTTTGTCCATTGAGTCCTCTCCCTGCTTTACTCCCCACCCCCAGTCTCTCCCAATAGCTGCAGATCTACAGTCAAACTTCTAGGAAATGTTTTGTCTGTTCTGTGCTTTGTTTTCTCTATTCCACATATGAGTGAGATCATCTGATATTTGTATTTCTCCTTCTGACTTACTTCACTTAGCATTATCGTCTCCAGTTCCATCCATCTTGTTGCAAATGGCAAGATTTCATCTCTTTATAGCTAAGTAACATTCCATTGTGTAGCTGTACGACATTTTATTTTATTATTTTATTTTATTTTTAAAGATTTATTTATTTATTTATACAAGCACTGGGTAGAGTCAGAAGGGTGGGAGGGTGAGAAAATTTACCAGAGCCAGAGTGGGGAACAGAACAGGCAGACTGATGAAATACACTGTTGAGGGGAGCAGCGGGTGTGGCAGGAGAGGTCTGGTACCATATGGGATCCTTGCTGCTGGCTGGGGATGGAACCAGCGCTGCAGAGGCTGCCGGCAGCTTCGCAGCCAAGCGCTCAACTGCTGTGCCACCAGGGGAGGCCCCTGTAGGCCAATTTCTTGATCCACTCCTCTGTCCTCAGGCACTGTGGTTGTTTCCCTAGCTTGGCTACTGTAAATGTGCTGCAATGAACATAGGGGGTGCAGACACCCCTTTGAATTAATATTTTTGTATTAGATACCAAGGAG